CAACTTTGTCCTTTTCGGAGCCATTAATAGTGTAAGTAGACAATTATCACTTTCAAGAACTTAAGGTGCATTTTTCTAAAAAAAATTGTTATGTAAGACATCGAAATTTTCACACCGTTGTTTAGATAATTATCACTGTCATCAATTTCGAACGAAAAAAGTATGCGTTGTCATTTAAAAAAAAAATTATGTCATCGCTGCGTAAGTGGATTATCGAAAAAAAAATTTTCCACATAACAAGGTGCCCTGGATCAAATAAAAATCGACGGGTCTCACCGTTTTTCGAAAAAAAAATTGTTTAACGAAAATATGAATTTTATGCAGAACTTTTTTACCACGCTGTATACAGATACAGTGTAAATAGTTTTCTTTAATAAAAATATATATTTTTTATTAGGTCCCTTATTTGTACCTTATTTTAAAGATAATAAGCTAATTCCAACAAATTCAAAATTTTTTTTCTATTTTGTAGTGCCGCAAATATCGCGCTCCTATGTATCAGTACAGAGTTCAATCTGTACAGTTTGATTACAAACTTCGAGTGGTCACAGAGCAGAGCTCATTGACCTTTATAGAACAGAAGTTACTATGGAATGTAATACTTCTACAATATTACAGGAAAATTAAAAAAATATATGCTTTATGCCGACTGAGCAGAGAAATATGAAAAAAAATTACATATCATTCTCGGCGCCTAGTAGGAAAAAGACAAAACGTAAATTGTCATCCACCATCACTGTATGTAGGTAGCTTCAACTTCCATCTCCTTTCTTATAATACATTTTCAAACTATTAATTTATTAATCACTAAGAACTATGAAAGAATGAGAATAATATAAATTTTATTTTTACAATTTTCCGGTGATCTTAAATTACCTAAATACAATTTTTACATCTCTAACAGATCTTGTACCTTTGTGATAATAAAAAAATAACAGAGCATCGTTGATATTGGCTGTTCCAGAGTTCTTTTTACGAGCAATACGAACAAAGAGGGTAAGAACACTACCGTCTTTTTTATAAAATAATTATTGATAGGAAAGAGAAATCCTAACTGCAATAGTCAAACATCTAGCTGTATTATAGTGGTTTGAATTACTTTTATAATCATTTATTTTGCTATAAGGTGAAACAATTTTTAAATAGCAAATAGGAAAGTACTACCACAATTCTCATAAAAAATTACGTTTGACTAAAGAAAACACTAGAATTTTCATGTCCATTATAGATTCGTTAGACAGATAAGTAGACTATTATATACCAATTATAATCTGTAGTATCAGCAATTAGCTAGTTTTTTCATCTTCAGGTATTTTCAATGTCTCCTAGATTTTTTAAAAATGATTCCGTATTATAAGTTGATGAAATGTGCAGGGATTTTAAGTTGATGCTATTTAAGGCTATGCATTCAGAGTTTTAGTAAAACCACCACGCCACACTAAAAATTGCTTCTAAAAAAATAACTATACCTAAGTGATTCAGCAAGTAGGTAATATAAGAATGCGTCTCAAAAAATTTTAAAGGTGTGTTCTTAATGTTTGCACCTCAATAAGTTGAACAACATATAGTCCGTACGATATTTGTTAAGATAGAATTCCAAGAAGACATCTGCGTTAGTTTCTTGGAATGAACCGCATTCGGTTGTCGAAGGTAGAAAGTTACTGGCTAAAAATTTCAAGGCACGCCCCTGATTTTGTACGGACTAAGTGTAATTCGTTAACAAATTATTTACATTTTTCATTATTTTCATTCGATATTAATCATTTTCCGACATTGAACTTTGAAATCTTTGTAATAGTAGGTACCTCTTGACCTGGAATAAACCCTGACATAGTATGTGTTCGATAAATCGACGTCATGGTGAATTATATTTTATTGAAAAGTACTTAAAAACATTATCGTTATCAAATCTTACAATACAATTGACCTATATTTTCAGCAATGCATCTTTAACAGAGCGTGAGAATTACCTAAGGTAAATCCCATTCTACATTATCCACAGGACTTCTTCTGATCAAAACAAAGCAATAGTCTATAACCGTCAACTAACAGTGACAACATAATAATTTCTTGAATGCTATAAATGAATTACAAATGTTTAAAAAGTATGTGAAACTTTAAATTTTGTCATGTGATCGGGAAAGCATTGTGACGTCATTTAGTGCGACCTAGAACACAACCTGCTTCTGGGCCATCTACCGCACCCATTATGACGTCATTTAGTGCGAACAAGAACTCAACGTTCTTCTCGGACGTCTACTGTACGCATTGTGACGTCATTTAGTGCGAATGAGAACACAACCTGTTTCTCGGCTCTACCGACGTGACGAAAACTAACCCAAAGAAAAGCTCATGTGAAAGCTTCGAACCAAAGTGAATGTGGCTATTTCTAGATTCCTTTTATTTACTATGTTCATTCTCTAGGTTTGTCCTGTCCCTGATATTCATCTTCTCGATTATCGATAGCACAAAATGAGCTTATGAATTAACGCACTAAAAATACATAAATCAGTTGTCATTTTCGGCCATATTTTATTATTGGTAGAAATTTTGAGAAAACATTGCTTTTTGAAATGTTACCATTCATTGTAAAAAAGTGTACTCTCCTTCAAAAGTCTTCTAAGAAATAACTTGAGGATCTGGCTTTGCTGTATTGCATCCAGAGACTTTAACTTTTTAATGGAGGTAAGTTGGTTTAAATATTTGATTTTGTCTAATTGGTTCGATGAGGAGTTTTATTAATTTTCTTACACCAAATCCCAATTCACCTTGTACTGATTTTACTGCAGCACTAAACTTTTGTTACAATAAAACAGGTATTCGCACACGCACAGCTGTTTTATGAACTGCGCGGGTATAGAACGTTATCACTAAACAAACACGTGTAATTCAAGCTTAATGATAGGGTTAATGAACCCGCTATATTAGCAATAATTAGGATTTTTTTTATTTTTACATGCCAAAGTACCTCTGATTACATTTTGGTATATAAATTCTAAAACTGATCCGTAGCAAGAATTGAATGAAGTGACAGTGAACGTGAACCATGGGGTGTAAGTGGTTGTTTTTGATTCTCATTCTTTTAATGGTAGGACTTAGCACATCTATTCATCTTCCTACAATCGCTGCGAATATTTTTGGAAATGTAACCGAAAATTCTGGAATAACTAGTGACTGTTCCATGTCCATCCAGCTGTATATGGAAAATCTACAAGCTCCATTTGACGATCCATGGGCATTACGAAGTAAATATTGCACTTTTAATAGTATTAATAATATATGTGAAGTATAACACAAAAAATGTGGATTATTCTATTGCTAAAACCTGCGGACAACTTCTGGGAACATTCTCGTTTAATTAAACTTAACTCTATTTTTTTTAATACTTTTTAGTGCTCGATGCGACTTCCGGAATTCCTACGGGACTTATATTTTCATACAATTTTGGAGAAATGGGGAATTTTAAACAATGCATTGAAACAGAATCCAAGAACAAGGTTATTAAGGGAAACTATTGTCTTGGAACTATATCACTACCGATAAATGTAATAGATTCCACAAATTCACCAAGTAACCAAACGAAGGTGGAGGTACAGTTATAAAAATTATTATTAAAGGTTTCCGTTGATATTGGCTAATTCTTTTTGACGTAGAAGCTAGAATTTTATGCCGTTTTATGCATACCTAGTAGGTATGCATAAAACGTAGGTACTACCTAATGCATTCTTGTAGATTCAGGTCATATCAAATTGTGTTTCAGGCTTATTTTAAAACTTTGACGCCTTTCACCAACGAAGATCTTCTGAAGGCTAGCCTAGGCATAAATCCCACATGGGCCTTATGCCTACCAAGCAACTGTACAGAAAAAGATGCTCTTGAAATAATGAACGTTAACAATTCGATGGGATTTGAGTTTACTTCATTCGAATGTCAAACGTCTGAAGACGTTAATGTACCACTAAGTCACGGTGCAATTATAACCATGTATGTATAATATATCGTAACAATTCTTGCCACCAAGTACTAAATAACTTTTTTTAGATGTGTTTTGTCATTGATAGTCGTATTAATGTTCGCATCTACTATATATGAGATGCGTGGTGTATATAAGCAATACAAAAGTAAGTAATTTTATAAAAATTTATCGGGTTGTTAAGCCGCGGCCTGTGTACCTGATAGCAACGGCACAGGTGATACCTCTTACGAACGTGAAACCACGCCCTCCTTCCTACTGCGCAGGGACGAAATCGCGCGCAGCTGTGGCGGGAACGTACCATAGGCCACGCCTTCTACCCCACTCCACAGTCCAGAGGTGCGCGCGGCGATAGTGACGTCATCGGCGACACAAGCGGCACTTCTCTCTCAACTCAACGTTTCAAAGGATCACTATAGATCTCTATAGTCTAGAGATTCTAAGAGAAAACAACAAGGGCAGTTCAAAGATTCCTAGCAAATTCTCAGGAAGTGTAAGCTTATTCTGTAACAGGTAGTGCAACCAGGTATACAATCCACGGCATAACAATCCAAAAGGCAATCGTACTTTAAATATTAGCACGTTTATTGTTTATTTTATTATTCCGCTTCATTTTTCTTGATCTTTGCTTTGATATTTATTAATTTATCAAGCAGATTGGTATGATTATAAGAGATGATCCAAATCAACATAGATAACTATTATAAATAAGTATACAATAATTTTATGAAATTTCAGAACCACAGAACAGAGTATTCACTGCGTTTTCTATTTATTCAAATGGCAAAGCATTATTTAAAGCAAGTAAATCCCCTTCTGAAATAGCATGTTTAAATGGTATTAGGTTTTTAAGTATAGTTTGGGTAGTTTCTGGACACATTTTTTCTATATATACCTCTGGGCCAGTGGCAAATCTGAAAGACGTATTAGATGTAAGTAATAATTATGTTATTGTTAGAAATTTCATGTAGATCTCTTGTTCTATCATATCCTTATGTTTAGTTAGAGAAAGAACTGGCAAAGGAACATTGTATTAGTATATAAAAAAAAATCAGATATATCGACTATAAGTTTCACGGTCAAAAGAAGGTCAACTTGAAAACATTAAATGGAATAAATTTGACGCTCTGTCGATTGTTGCATACGAAAAGGCCGGCCCCTTTAATATTTTCAAGTTGATATTGGTTTGTGCTTACTTAATTTCAAGGTCACTAAATTTTTCTTGATATTATAACTTTTATCTGAAACTTTTTTTAATGGATCTCAATCTTGAAAATATTCGACTAAATTAAATTCAATTTTATTTCTTTATATTTAGTGGACTAATTCTCTGGAAAGTATGATAATGGTGAGCGGGACATTATCAGTTGATACATTTCTTGTCGTTGGAGGAACCTTGGTAGTTTATGTATTTACAAAGGCTAAGGTCCAAGGAGTGAAGTTTAATATATTCAAATACTACATACATCGCTATCTTAGGTAAGTCCACATCCAGTTTATAATCAAAAATATATCAATGTAATTACCAGGGTTACAATAAATTGATTGAGTATAAACGCAATGAAATGAGGATATTCTCTCTTCACTTCTAATCAAGATTTTGTCCACCATCACTATAGTAGAGGCTCTAAATTTACATTTTCTAAGTGACCAAAAAATGACTGAAAAAATGGGTCCGGCGTAATTCACTTATTTGCAAGTCTGTGTAATACGAGTCATTAATAATCAAAAATGTGTACAAATTTGGTAGTGAAACCACTTTTAACAACTTCTATACCTTCATAAGAAGTCAGAATTGAGCCTTAATTTATTTGACTCTTGTGTTAGTCATTTTTACTAAGGAAAACCCTGTAGAATTTTGGCCGCCGAATAAAGGGTCACCCTGTATATTTAATTAACTAATTTTTCAGATTAACACCGGCTTTAGCGGCTGTGGTTTTAGTAAGCGCAACATTACTGGATTATATGGGATCAGGACCAAAATGGAACTATGTAAAAAGTGACTTTGCTGATAATTGCAAACAATATTGGTGGACTACGTTGCTTTATGTTCAAAATTATGTAAACGTTAATAAAATGGTTAAGTATAAAATTTTTAGAAATAAGAAGATATGCCATAGGTATATCTCTATTGCATTGATCAGACACATTTCATAGGTCTAGTTATGTACCTAACCACTTTAATCGCAAACGAGCTAATTTTATTTCAGTCGTAGAGATTTATAACACACATAAAGATAATTTGGAATTATAAAAACCAAATAAAAGTCTTTATCTCTTAAATACCTTTACTAGACATTAATTTTGTAATATTAAAGCTGAAATTATTTTCCAAACGTGTAAATACTATCAATAACAGTTTTCTAAATGGACATATAAATTAAATGATTTGAAAATGGAAAAACATATGAATTTTTTTAATGACCAAAGTTGAAATACGTCAGTAACATTTACGTTATTTTAATTAAAATTACTTTGCACTGAGCAATATTTAATGGGAGATGTCTGAAAAAAATATAGATGGCTGTGCAGATAATTTGTTTCGTTGATTAACTAAATCAATGCCTGAATGATATTTACCTTTTCAGTGTGTCGGACAAACCTGGTATCTAAACATAGATATGCAATTATACCTAATATCACCAATAATGTTGTTCCTTTTGTGGAGGTACCCCAAAGCTGGAGGAGGTTTTGTAATACTATGTATTATGACGTTTATCGTTGTCCCATTTTATATTGCATATGTCGATGAAATGGCTGGAATAACAACTAATTTCTATCCCAAGTAAGAATATCAGTATCGATAACTAAGTAACACTAATTACTAGAGATCGGAAATGATAGGGCGATTGCAATGTGGTACAAGATTGGCTGTAAGCCGGGTTTTCTGTATTTTTATTCAAACAAAAAGTGACACAACCGTTACCTATAACAGCACTCTTAACATTACAAGAATATACATATATAGAAGTATTTGCATAATAGTATGAAACAAAAAGGGGCAGTGTCTATTTCAGTGTCTGCACTAAACGCTTCACATGGAACCATAAAATATATAGGTATACTACGTAATAATAAATAAGTACCAGCAAAAGTTAACAAAATGGGTAAATACCTATTTCAAAAACGAAAACCGTTCAACATTCACCTAGGTCACAGACGCATATCTAAAACACTCGAAATTTTTAATAGATGCTATTTTTACTAATGGTGTCAAAGCATCAACCACTTTACATTTTAATAATCCCACTATGCGCCTGTACAATAACATGTACATGTTTGTCCTTGATCTGAAGCTTCGCATCGATCACATCGATCGTTCACCGGCCTGGCGTGCCGGTGAACAATCCTGGTGTTTTGGTGGACGTTGGTCGTGCATTTCATTATGTGAGTGCTTTGCTTGGTCGAGTGTTTGGCACATATTTTTTTGGCAGTTAATAGCAGTTTATTTATTTGGTAGTCGCCACAAAGTTTCCGATGTCTATTAATTACCTAGCATCCTAATACTACATCAGTTTTAATGATTAATGCAGTATAACTTATTCATATATTATTAGTTTTATCTGTTTCAAATTACAATTTACTTCATCTTATACAGTCTATTTAATCACATATGTTAAAACTGTTTTCAGAAATCCAAAAAATGACTTCATGAATTACTACTATTTGAAAACCCATGGAAGAGCAGCGCCTTGGTTCATTGGCGTACTTTTAGGACATATACTGTCTTTAATTAGATTCCGGAATTATAAATTTTCACGGTTTAATAAGGTTAGTAACACCATTATATACAGGGATGGCCAGAAGTACGGAATAAAATTCATATCTTTTGAATGAGTAAATTTTTTTTAAACGCCGAAACACGTTAACTGACTTTGATTTTTTCCCATCTTTCGGTTATATAATAATTAATTTTTCTTCAACCCCCTAACCCCCAGCTACCCCTACTTTTTTTTTCAAATGGAAACATAATTCATGAGGGGGCTCATTGAAAAGCTTATATAAAACTGAATCCAGCCATACCAAATAAACAAGTTTTATTTTTTCAATAGCAAGGTTTTTAGGGTTGTATGAAACACCTACTTAACAAGTGAAATAAAATTTAATTATCTTCAGTGTTATCCTCCATGAATTTGCACAGAATAAAATAAAGAATTTGAAACTGTACCTATCACTGCTAACGCAAAAAAGATATATTTTTTATGTTGCGTTTTTTTGGTACCACTTACTTGCCAGGCTTTCTGGTTAATTTTTCGCTTTAGTTGTAAATTGGAGTTTGAAACGTTACTATTGTGTCAAAATCAAGTTATTTACTGAATTGCAATGGTATTGTCGGAAAGGCAACTCATCGAAATCTTGATATTGCGTGGATGTGGAGACAAAATAAGAAGACAGGCTGAAGTGCGCGATTTATTTAATGCGAAATATCCCGAAAACCAAATCTCGCAAGGGACAGTTAGTAAAATATTTCACAAATTTGAGGAACACGGTACAGTACAGACTTTGCCCAAAATTGGATGGGCACGTGCTTTGAATGAAGAAAAGAAATTACACATTGCATTAGAACTTGTTGAAAATCCTCATACTTCAACTATTTCATTGGCCCGCAATCACGATGCTTCTTGAACTGCAATTCGAATGTTTCTGAAACAAGAGAAATACCACCCCTATAAGGTATGTCTTGTCCAAGAACTTTTGGAAGACGATTATGATAGGCGATTACAATTTTGTGAAGAAATGATGAGACGGTGTGACGACAATAATGGTTTTGAACGAGACGTACTTTTTTCGGATGAAGCTACGTTTTATTTAAATGGAGTGGTTAACAGGCACAACTATCGCTTTTGGTCCCAGGAAAATTCACACTGGACATACGAATCGCATACGCAGCATCCACAGAAAGTTAATGTATGGGCAGGTATCATCAACAACAGAATCTTGGGCCCATTATTTTTGAAGAAAATCTTACTGCCGCACGCTACCTGGATTTCCTAACATTTGACCTGATACCTGCCCTAGCTGTAATTTTCCCTCATGAAATTGATCCAGATATACCGAATGAAAGAATTTGGTTCCAACAAGATGGCGCTCCCCCACATTTTGGTATTGATGTTCGAAGATACTTAGATAAAATGTTTCCAAATCGCTGGATTGGTAGACGGGGTGCAGTTGAATGGCCGCCAAGATCCCCCGACTTAACACCCCTGGATTATTTTCTTTGGGGATATTTGAAAGAAAGAGTCTACCAGGACAGACCAGATAATATTGAGAATTTAAAGAACAAGATTAGGGCGGAGATGCATAATTTACCAGCTGAAGTCATTCAGAATGCTGTGGACAGCTCTTACTATCGTCTTGGAGAATGCCAAATAGTGAATGGAGGACATTTTCAGCATTTGCGACATTGAGTTTATCTTTGTAAATTATCTAGTTGTTTCAATTTCTATAAGCTTTTCAATCAGGCCCCTCATGCCTTATGTTTCCATTTGAAAAAAAAAGTAGGGGTAGCTGGGGGTTAGGGGGTTGAAGAAAAATTAATTATTATATAACCGAAAGATGGGAAAAAATCAAAATCAGTTAACGTGTTTCGGCATTTTAAAAAAAATTAACTCATTCAAAAGATATGAATTTTATTCTGTACTTTTGGCCATCCCTGTATGTATCAAAGGTATATTTTTGTACTCTGGATTATTAAGCTAATGCTTGTGATGCTTAGAAATAAGTATTCAATATCTGACTCCACATACAAAATTCCCAACTGCTAATATTAAAGGAAACATCTATTGTCTCTTTCTTTCGTTTATTTTTTTAAATGATATGATGTATATATTCATTATTCAAACTCGTGTTACACAATATATTAATAAATCATCAAACTACTATATTAACAATCTTACAAATTGTAAGGTCTTAAGCCGGCTACATAATGAAGCCACTCGTCAAACATTCCTTACATACGTCAAATGTTTGCAGATTTTTTGCTTAAAATTTACATGACAAATACATATTTCAATCTTTTTAAACGTTCTATACATACTTTCTGCTTGCTTGAAGTATGTTTTCTTTGCTGTGTTCTGTATTCACGTTCGACATATTTTCAAATGTATCGACATGCATCATCCACATGATACGACATTTGTTTACATATGTCTTAAATATCTTCTCCAGCAAATCTACACACATATTTGTCGTTCATATCATACTGCAATCGTTTACATTTGTCAAATATTTAGCAAGTGCTCGTATCACCCGGAGCCTGTTTTATAACATATGAAATTTTCATTTTTTTCAGACGATGGGTGTGATTTTATGGGCAGTATGTTTAGCAACTCTGCTTACGTGTGCGTTAGGTGGCCACAGCACTTTGAGGAGTCCAAATTATGATAGACTAGGCAATTCCTTTTATATAGCTCTAATTCGTCCCGTTTGGGCTCTTTGCGTAGCCTGGGTGATTTGGGCTTGCGCTATGGGCTATGCAGGTAAAAGCTTTTTTTATTATATTTTTCTATATCTACTGAATTCAGCAACATACAATAAACAAAGTATTATCTAATCGACTTCTTGAGGTAAAAAATAAATAGTTACAATTTGTAGAAATATATGTATGAAAGCTAGCTTTGTTTCCAAACTGAGCTGATATCGATACAATTGACCCTTGAGATTTATCACAATACAAAACGCTATATAACAATGTAGCAGAACAGACTAATTAAGCAAATATTCATATTAATTACTACTTTATTATTATTGTTTTTAATTTTAATATTATATGTCTCTATCGATAAAAAGCATATGTTTTGTTTGTTTCAGGTCCTGTGAATACGTTCCTCTCGCACCCACTTTTCCAAATACTGAACAGATTTACATACAGTATATATCTCATACACGTAACATTACTATTTGCTACTGTTTTCTCCGCGAAAATATCAATTTATTTCACACCACTCTATATGGTGAGTACAATATACAGGGTGATTCAGAACATATGCAAAAAAAATTAGGACGTACACACTTCTGCATGGCACTGGAAACTGGTCCTAACTACTAAAAAAATATTGTAAACACTATCGCAACGACGATTGTAAAATCGGATTTCAGTATTCGGAGTCGCTGAGGCCACGTGGCTCTCCACGCGTATTACAAATGACGCTAGTGACTACAGTTGTCCAGCTATGTATTGGTTGAAAGTACTACAACTTCAATAATTTTTTTCTCTGAAACTATAAGGATTTTGCTTAAAAATTGTTTTACAATATTGACTTTTTCTCATGCCCCATCTATTCCCAAATTTTTTTGAATAAGTTGTGAATCACCCTGTATATATTTTATCTGTAAGAATATTACTAATTTTACTTTTAGGCATATCTGTTTTGGGGAACCTTTATGTTCACTTTTGGAATTTCGATACTGTGGGTCCTGGCGTTTGAGTCACCGGTAATCAACTTTGAAAAAATAATATTTAATAAGAAATAGGTGATGTCATTAGACGAATTTGAGATGTATTAGTTTTGTTGTGGAATTATGTTTTAAAAACCTCTAATAAAAAAATATCCAACTGTACAAACGTATCTTCATATGGTTGTCCATCACTGAATACTATTTAATAATTTAAATTAGAATTAGTTGCCTACCGTATTAGATTTCTCAAGTCATTCAAGACCTAGCCAGATCAGTAATTGCAAGCGTGAAAGATATTCAAGGTAAGCAAATTTAACACTTAAAAATAATATTACTTCAATTAAGAGAAAATGTGGAATCCGACTGCGAGTCTGCTACACTTGTGTCTCTTTCACTGTCTTTATGTGGTGGTTAGGCACTACAGTCTATTGACTGAGGCCTCCGTAGAGCGCCTGTATGCCTGGGGTGCTTTTTGCACAGCGCCTCCTTTGAGGGCGTGTGTATGGCAGCTTTAGAGTTGATGTGTATGGCAACTTAAAAGCTGGGTACTCTTTGAGGTCTTCACCATAGGTAGGACGGACCTCGGGCAACTTGGGGAACTATGATAGGTTTGAGGTCGTATGGATACTTTTTACACAGAATATTTTGTTAAATATTTCATTTTATTGGTTATTTTGAGTAAACAACAATAAATGTGTTCAATGTGTAACATGTAACAAAACAATGCATAAAATTTGGGGCGAGTACAAACTCCGGCCAGGTTCCGAACGCTGATTACTGAACTGGAAGCGCATCGGGTTGATGTTCCAACACAGGCTATGACAGCTCCGCAGGTGGCTCTGCTACGTGGTCCGGTTTAAAGGTCGGTGATTTTTGGTAGTTCCCACAGCACGCAGTCCTCGGTGTCTCTGTTGACAGCATCATCTTCTGGCGGTGTTTTCCAAATGTTACATGTTTACATATTTTGTTTTATGTAGTTCCGAAGCCGATTACATTTGGAATTTATTTCCCAAGACAACTTATCAGCAAAGAACTGGATCTAAGTGAATTACAAGGTGAAATAGACGAAATATCAATATGTAGGCATGTACAGGGGCCAGAAATTATAGAAGAGACGACTTTATGCTTTAATGCTCTCAAGGGCTTATCAGCACTTTACATAAACTAGTTTTTAGAGAAAATGGGACTAGAAGGTCTGAATAAACTGTTGACATCGTTTGTCGATAAATCAGCTCAAGCCGTTTGTACGTTTGCCAGACGGTTTCCAATTTTCAATGTTCTATCATGCTGCACACGATATTTGTTAATGCAGAGATGTATGACACAGAGAAGAATGGAATTTCTCACATATACAAGGCCCATAAATACATGTGCCCAATTTCAAATTATTTCACTTATTAGTTTTTAAATTATAAATATTTTTTGAACTTTAACATCCTGCGAAGCGTCCTAGATAAAAACTTTATAGGAAAGACTCCCCTTAAAATTCACCAAAGAATACGAGGTTTCATTTGTGAATCAACCTGTATAATTTATAAATATAAATTATTATTATTTTATGTTTTTCTTCGTTGTCTAACTGAAAATTGAAATATAATTACTGAAAATTAAAAATCAGGGATTTCTTAACGTACATTGAAGAAATTTGTATCACAATAAATATGAACATTCGTATGGATACATTTAATTGCATTTAAATACAATACGTTGAGCGACATCTCTTGAGGCTGTACCTACCACATATGTAAAAGGACAGTAAGTTTTTTATGTCTACTGCTAACTAACGCAATCTTGCAAAAAATTATGCTAATTAATTCATACTATGCAATTTTTGTTTAAAGGAATGGTAATTTTAGATGCGCATGCTTATTCAAATTATTCAATTATAACAACTGTCAGTGTCAAATATTTGCATAACAGATTTTAAAGAGGCCAAGGATAAAATTAGAACCAAATTTTCGGACGATACAAGTTGATCGGTTTAAATTTCGTTAATTCAACAGTAACTCAAAGATATAATATTAATTGTGCCAAACGTCTAGAACTCATAAAATATATATTTTCTTGTACTACGAATTATACATACAGGGTGTTCCTAAATAAGTGTCGCAACGGAACACTGTATATTCCTCTTGTAAAAAGAAACATTCTTTTCCTCTTCCATTTTTCTCTCCGGGCTTTCGTTTTCGAGATACACGGTGTCAAAACTTTCATTTTTTTTGCCAATATCTTAGGAACCGTTTGAACTACAGGACTGAGTATTTGTACACGCATTACCACTATTAATAGCTACTTTTTTGCACCCTTCTCGAATTAATTGAACGTGCCAGTGGTGTAGATTTTAAGGTATCGTAAGGGTTCCCCCCCTAACTTTTGCGCTACTGGAAAAATTGACATTTGACAGCAAATTCTGAAGCGCCAATGAATTTTACACAAAAAGAGTTCTCTTGGTTCATTGCTCTAAAGTCAACCATTTTCAAGAAAAATGAAATTTTATAAACAAAAACAAACATTTTGCTAACGTTTCGAAAATCTTTTGTAATTCAAAAGATAGATAGTAATAATTAACAAGTTTAACGAAATTCAACATTTGCAACAAGTAGCTATTAATAATGGTAATGTGTGTACAAAAGCTCAGTCCTGTAGTTCAAACGGTTCCTAAGATATTGGCAAAAATCTGAAAAAAAGTTTTGACACCGTGTACCTCGAAAACGAAAGCCCGGAAAGAAAAATTGCGACACTTATTTAGGAACACCCTGTCTATGGAAATATTATAGTGTAAAATGAAATAATATTCTTTACCTGCTACAATACTATATAGATGCCTGCGACCATAAATCTCTCCCACAATTCGATCCCAAATTTTTCATTTCACGCCCTCAGAGAACCACCGCGATAAAGGCATTTGGAGAAGCTGCTGCTACATTGTGCCTTATTTCGCCGTAAATTAAAACAATATCCATTAATTCTACAGTACATTGGCCTTTTTGAAAAAGTATAAGACTGATATAGACAGTAATCCACCATAATACTGAATAAATAGGCATTTACCAAGGCAAACCGGTTAAAGTTTGGCGGGGAAAGCGCAAAAAACAACACGCTTCTAAATAAGGCATCAAATGTTTTTATCCAGTAATCTGTAAATATTTCATCTTAACTTTTTTGATACCGACTATATTTTTAAGGATACACTTTTACCAAAAGCTTTTTGGATAAGTTTTAAATCACCCTGAAAATATTTCGATTGTATGACATAGTTTTTTGTTCACTCGTATTTATAAAGGTTAAATTACAATGGGTTGTATTTCTTAGAAAATGCAGTGGCATGAGGGAGTGATAGCAGATAGTCTATTCTTTCTCAAACAGCCCTCTTACGAAAAAGTTGGAGTGATATTTAAGCACAACCCCTCCAGGATAAGACGTCTCTGACTAAAATACAGAAATTATTTTTTATATTCGTAAGAAATACTAGTTCTCAAATTTTCGGTAATATCTGGAAGAGACAACTTTCAGGGGCTCACCTTTAAAGAGCCTTAACAACCTTAAAACATAAGTATCAAACGTACTAGAGAATTTTTCTTAAATGTCTTCTAAACTATTTAACCAATGATATTGTAGGAAACAACTACTGCACGGGTCATATGCCTTGACTTGGCATGGAATTACATCCCAAATATCTAGTAAATAGTTAAGATGATTCCTCAACAAAGTCGCCAGACTAGACCGGTTTCTAACGTATTCTCATCTTCTAAACTAGTTGAAGTATCGGTACCAGATCTGATATAGTTTTCATTGTTACTGACTGATGTTTACACAGATTCGCAAACAAATAGGTTGTGCAGAAACCACATTCGTTAAAATAGTGTCAAATTGTTTCTGTCTCTTGGAAAATGTAATCCTGTAGTACGAAACTGCAATGAATTGTAGGTAATCAAATAATAAGAGGATATAGAAAAGGAAAACAGAATATTTATGTTATTTAACACGTAGGTAAATAAAAACTAATTAATGTTGAACATTTTAAGTAGTCATATTTAGTATTGGCAGGTGCAATAATTTTTTCAATTTCCATGACTCAACAAAATAAAAACAATAGTGACCTATCTTATATTGGATTTATTAAATCAATACATGATAATTTGTGACTTTTATGACATGCCATCATTGGAGCTCCCATCAAATGACCTAAATAGATGATTTTTTTATTAATTGACGACCAAGTTATATACAATATAGATTAAGCCATATCAATTTTAACAGTAATTTAACTGACTGTATCTTCAGTATACACAGGAAAATACTCTACATCCTGTATTGCCTAATAAAGTAATTGTTCTAAATTTTGTATCCAAATATAAATATAAGTTCGCGGATACCAACTTCGTTTCTTAAGCTGTTATTATTCTATTTAAAAATGATGGTATTAAGGATGAACTCTGAAATCAATGGTAGATTCCGTTACAGTATTCCAACAAAAAAAGCAAGATAGTTTGCTTTTCATATTTCCTCGACCACCGTGTATAACTGCATATTTACATGTTGCTATGTCGTTTAAATATTTTTAGGAACGAAAAGTATATATAAATCGATTGCAGGAATTCATTAATGGAAGTCTGATCGCTTTCGATTATTTTCTGTATACTTCTTATCCAATCTGGTAATTTATGTTCTTTGTTTTTAATCGAATTGATTCTATAAAAGAAATATTTCTTTTATGTTATCAGCAATAAATATAAATTCCAGATACAGTATTGACATAATTTTTTGATATAGTAGGTACCAGCAAGATGGGTGACGCTGTAGACTTGACCAGTGGCATCATTGTGGATGAAAGCAGCAAATATTATCACGAAGGGGGAAAACTGTTTTCCAGACCATTGCCAGGAGACGAAATTGTCATTTCAGGTAGGGATTTGTTACTATATTTTAGAAAATAAGTAGTTTTTTGGGGTTTTGTTTTATTGTAAAGATATTAAGCCAATTCCAAATTCAAATTTTTCTTCGGCTCTTAATCTCGAAACTTACATAATCACAATATTTTATCTCGGAAGATACTCCCTATAATAATTTCGCGATTTTTTATTAAAGAATTTGCATAAAATAAATGTTCAATATTTAAAATGTGGCCCTACGTACATAAATATGTTGGACTCTTGAAAAATATAAAGTAAATAAATATTTCATATAAAAATACTTGTGCTATAGGCGTACACATCAGTTAAAAGATTAAGTAAGAGGAATGTATGGCTTGAATGTGTGCTTTTTCAATACTGCATGTACAGTTCTCTTTGATGCTCTAATATTATTAGAAATTTCCCTAATGAAAGTTCTTGGGTTTTCTTCAACGTTAAGAAAAACATTGAAATCGATGTTTTTATTAAATTGGCGTTCTTCTCGCTTTGGTTTCTTAAAAGCACCATAGTTTCTGAAATTTCTTACAAATCTACGTGGTTCTGGAACTTATCTGTGAGGAAATAGTTCTCCGTGGTAAAAGCGGACTCTATTCCACCGAAAGTATACCTGAATTATGTCCGTCGATTGATTATTACTCATATTTTGCATTGTTGAGCTTATTTCAATAAATAACCTACTATAAATTACACAGAAAGAGTATAATGCGTAAAAAACTGGGACACGAAAGAAAATGATATTTACTTGCTTTGTTGTATTGTTTTTTGTTTTCCAGGCATCATGATTAATCAAAATATGTTTGTTGTCAATATTTTCATGATTTTTCTTTAATACATGTTTCACAAAAGTAAACTTTATAGACATCGTTGAATCTGCACAATAATAAATAAAAAAACCTATATTGCCATTTGAAAAAAAAAGTTGATTACCGGTTTTCAAAAAAATATATATAATAAATATGCGCCAATAGGCTCACTCTATAGTATATTTAGAGCCATTTCACATATTTTTTTGTTTTTTAAAATAAAATTATAAATGACGAAGTTATTGCTTGCGGCGTTTTTTAGGAGACAGTATGTATAAGTTATAATTGATCCAAAGAAACGTAAGTATCGAAAAAGAAAAATTTCAAAAAATTATATACAAATTGTCCCAGGCAAAAGCCATTCGGGAATTCACTGTTTTGTATTAAATAGAACTTATTTTTACGGTAATTTTAAAAAAGAGAGATCATCCTACGTGTCTTTGTTCCCAAGATATCTTTTTATATATAATGTTAATTGTTAATTAACTATTGGACGTATCGGACTGGGATTTTAGACAATTAAAAAAAGGTTTAAACATTTATTACCAAAAGTTTAACATTGATAGTTCATGTATTAAACGCACTAGACGTGTTGAGCGTAAAGCGTATTAAATCATGTCTTCGACACGCACCAAAAATCCCAAACATTAAAATTGCTCTTGATAGGAGATATTGTTCATCTGGAGATTCACATAAAAATTTGGTTACTTGTTATGCTCTTAAAACTTTGGATTTTTTCGGTATAACCTACAGCTTGACGCTTCAAGAAAGCAACAGCTTTTTGGATATTTGTTAATGTCAGCATTTTCTTTTATGGCCAAACAACTCTTTAGCACTGAGAATCGATTCCATAACGTGGAATATTTCATAGACCTTTTCGACAAAGTAAATTAGAAGAATATCGTCACTTACAGATTTTTTTTTTTTACACTTAATTTTGTTCAGATTTCGCCATTGAGTAAAAAGTTGATATTCGTCTTCATATCTTGACCTGGATTATATTGGTAATATATTCGCGAACGTTTGCGTCGTTTGCTCTAGGATATTATCGGGAATTTCGGGATTTTCTTCCGAGTACATTTGTATATTTCTATTTTAAAGCCATATATTCAGTATTTTTATTCAGCGCACGGAAAGAACCAGGGATGGGGAAAACTTTCCCCGTACGCTAGTCCGAAAAAGCCCATCTTACATTATTATTAATACAGATGAAAATAAGGCATTTTCAAGGAAGTATAATAAAAAACATTTTATGCACATTACGTGTCTATAAATATTTAAAAAAAACAAGTTTACATTGCAACAATGGTCACGTCAAATATATTGACTATTTTTAGATAGCGCCATAATAGAAAACAATGAACGATTAGAATTTATGCAAATAAATGTGAAACGCAGATTTAGATTTAGATGATGCCATTGTTAACAATAGAAATATATATACATATTTAAATAATACGTCATTCAAATTAAACGAGAAACAAGAAAAGTTGATTTTCAATTGTCAACTTCAAAATCTAACGGATTATTTTTGCAAGATCTACCCAGTTCCTAGAGTCTACCCACCATTTCCTAGAGAGCGTGTTTAAATCTAAAACATACTTAGAACAAAACGAAAAAATGATTGTCATTCGTTACTATGTCTTGACTTTCACCGGTAGGTATGGCCGGTGTTTTCCCGAGTTCCTCCGACATATCCGAAATGAGGGAGAATCTATTCAACAAGGTCGACATGGTGGCCCCCAACACTAGATGGGGACAGTGGAGCTATGATCAACAAGAAATACCTTCTCGCTGTGGTATGATTTCGGGACTTCACAAATATGACGCCGGATATTTTGGTAAGGAGTAATCACCTCAGTGAGGTACTGTTGAATTCTACGATTACCAAGACTATATGCCGGAAGTGATTTATTTTTATAAAATATTTAAGAAAATCTTGTAATTTTAGTTTACTGTACAGGGTTATTCGTATAACATTTTACCTCCCTTAACTTTTTTATTTTTTGAGTTTGACAAAAATAGTTAAAATAAAAGTTTTAGCGAATATCGTAATAAACAACAAAAATTAACATCACTTTGCTCTATGAACCTAGGCGCAGAATGCCACTATTTATGAGATACAGGGTGTTGAAATTAACAAAAATAAAACAATTTTTTTTAATATCTGAAAAATAAGTAGTCATAAGAGAAACTTAAGAATACATAAATTATAAATTTTCAAAAATTGCTCCATTATGTGCAAGACAAAGAATTTTACATTTTCATTAAATTTGCCAAACAATATGTTGCACACTAAGGGCATTTACCAAATTAAATATTTCTAATCTAAGAAATTCAATGTATTTCGCTCCATTGGAAGAGCTTTATAAAATACTGGACCAATGACGGTATCTCGAAAAAGACCACAACAGACATTTACTGAAGTCTTGTTTTGCCTCTGAATAGAGATTTATTGGTGTTGTTTTACTGACGCCCAATGATGTGAGTTCCTTCCTATTAAAAACGCCACTTCGAATCGATTGTTTTGGGTTTTCTTGAAAATAAATTAAAATCATTTCTTGCATATTTTCAATTAGGACGTTGTGGGGTTTTATTTTTTCCTTATTTGTTACTGTACCTGTATTTCTCCAAAAAGTTAAAAAAACACTGTAAAGAAACAATTTATCAAAGCTGGATTTCAAACTGTACACTAGGGTTTAAGCAAATTTGGAAAATTCAAATTTTGACATATGAACGATGGATGGAAAAGGAATTCCACACATAAATAAGAAACATACAATAAATCTTGTGTAAAAAATTAAGATATAGCATACCCACAACAAGTATTTATGAGTGAAATTAAACCTGAGCCAGTGTAAAAGGTTTCATATAGCGTTTTTCAAAATGACAGATCTATGTATCGTCAGAATTTGTAAAATTGTAAATTGTGTTGTGTTTGTGAAGCGTGCAAAAGACCTTCTTAACATCATATATTGTATTGAGATTCCAATCCACGTTCAAAGTGTGTAAACTAGGCATCGACAAATTTAAACCATTTAAATCGTTAAGTGTCATAAACAGGGAAAAGAAAAGTGAAAAAAGATTAATGTTAGACCTGAATAGACCTACAGTCAGAAAATTAAGCTGTATAGCCTAATTTAACCAAAATTTTCAAAATTCAGTAAAATTAGTTGAAAGTTTGATAGTTAACGCAGAAAGAAGTTACTGGTGTCAAAAGATGCAGAAAAATTGCTGGAATCGAAATATGTATAGATCATGCAGATTAAAACATGCACAAAGTCAGTATTTCAAAAATAAAAAATCTCAAAAGTGTATTGTGACATATCCATAGTAACATTTTATTTGTTTTATGTTCAATAAAAGCAAAAATCGGGCTCGCGGTAGTCCGTCTCATAAGTTTTCAAGGCATAAACATCGTTAGTTTGGTACCTAAAATAACAAGTGAAGATTAATAAAAATCAATAAATTGTCGCCCTATATTTTCACAAACTCATTAAACTCAAAAAATAAGGGGGGTAAAATGTTATATGAATAACCCTGTACATTGTCACAACCTATATGAGATTTATCCACATTCGTTTTAGGTGTCCACGAAAGACAGGGCCACTCCATGGATCCGATGGTTCGAATTTTCCATGAAAAAGCCATAGAGGCTATCCTCGATGCAGGTCTGCACCCCTCAGACCTAGAGGGGACTAGGACTGGTGTGTATGTCAGTGTCTATTCCAGCGAAAACGACAAAGCCTGGTACTACGACAATTTGAGTCCGCAGACCTTTGCAGTGACTGGGTACGCTTTATTTTTATCTTAAAGATTCTAGTGACAGTTTAAGTAAGTGCGTTAATTCGTGAAATTTTCAGATGCCAAAGGTCCATGATAGCCCATCGGCTTAGTTATTTTTTAAAATTGAGAGGACCCTCTATTATTGTGGACACAGCATGCAGTAGTTCTTTTTGTGCATTAGAAAACGCTTACAGAGCCGTCAGATTAGGAGAGATCGATAACGCCATCGTAGGAGGGACTCATATATGTTTGCAACCGCTCATGACACTACAGTATCTACAGTAAGTACTACTACCAGATTGACGTTAAGGTTGGAACATGTTTTTTATGCTGGAATTTGCCAATTCCACAGTTGCAACTGATGAATCGGTTTGCTTTCTTCTTCAACAATGACAATCTACTTTTTGTGGTCATTCGGCATACAATATTTTCACCCAATTTTTGAAGAAACACAGCTTTTAATTTTTGTTAGCGGAATCTCATCAACATTATTTTTCATTAGGTCAAGTACGTCCTTTCTTGTAACAGAAATTTTATGTGAAGCACTGGTAACAAAAGAAAATCATTGCAATATGCGATTAATAATAATTATTAATTTGAGGAGTTAATTTATTAATGTCCACTGTTAATAATTAATCCAGTCACTTTTCGGCTAAACAAAATTGGACACTGAATATAAATAGAAATTATGAAAATTTTGGAAAACTACAAAATGATAGTAAAGAACTAAAAACATTCAAATCGTGCGCTGTCCAGTATCAATTCGCCAACACTTTTAGTAACACCGAGAAGGTTCGTATAGGCGCCTGCGCTTCTGTATTCTTTCTCACTTTCCTTTATTTTCACCATTCACGTGCGTCCTTCAATATTTTGTATCATAGTGGGGCTCAATGCCTAGATAAATGATACTATAGATAGGAAACTTGAACAAATTTCGTGGTCATTAACAGCGCTAACTGTTGACACTTTCTCCAACTTCCATTGCTTTCCTTTTCTAGGAATTATCGGTAATACAGTGAGTTAAATTACCTGTAGCCGGTAAAAGATGCAAGCGCCATCTAGTTGTACGCTCTACAACTATATACCTACCTACTCAATATTTGTTTTAGGTATTCTGCCGCCGCTAAATTTAAAATTACATAACAAATCTCACCCTACACAGATCACTCAGAAATTGATTTTGTAAAATAATTTTCACGTAGATAATTTTTTTTGTCACCATGAGAAAATAAGTACATTTGATAAAAAGCATTAAAATCACTCAAGCATTAAAGACACTTTTAAATGCTCTAATAGTCTTCCTACTTAAAATAAGAAATAATTTTGATACTGTAACTTTTTAAAATGTTTGTTGAAAAAATTTCAAATTTCAGTACATATTTTGAAAAAAAAAGAGTGAAAATGATTATAGAGTTTCAGTGCTTTCTATATTGTATTAGCTTTCACGGTGAATAAAAAAATATTACAAGTAAATAATTTTACTAAACCAATCTTTGATTAATTCTTGTAATAGAGATTTATTATGCAACTTTAAATTTTTCGTTGTGTTGATATCCATAAAAAAAACTACCTACCTCTGATCACATTTTTTATTAAAGAAAACAAAAAAACAAAACATTTTATTATTAATAAAAAAATGTGATTATATGATGATCTGACATTATTATGTTATATAAATAAATGTGAATGAAATATCTAATAAAACTCACTAAAAACACAAATAAAACACACACCAACACTCGCCAAACCTAACCAACAATAAACAATAAACCCGCTCAATGTACTGCCACAGCTCATATTAAGCTGTGGTACTGTCATTAACGGATAAGCGAGTTTTTCAACATTGATAGAATAGCATAACTCACACTATTCATTAATTCCTTAGAAAATATGCGAAAAACCCAGAAGGGCAACTAGGGGCAGCTGAAATTTGTTTTGTTCGTTAGCTTACAGTCTGATCTACAATTTAAACTAGGTATTTTCCCCAGATAAATGATAAGAATATAGTATCTATTTATATTACTTTGATAACTGTGACCAGATAATTCAATTTAATTTTTGAATTTTTGAGATTTCAGATTTAAATATTAGTATTACAGCAGATCACAAATTTCAGGCTGGGGACATTAAGCACCGATGGCTCTTGTAAATCCTTTGACACGCGAGCGAATGGCTTTGTTAGGTCGGAAGGCATAGCGGTAGTGGTTTTACAAAGAGCAAAGAATTCAAAGAGGATCTATGCCCAAGTGGTCCACGCCAAAACAAACTGTGACGGCTTCAAAGAACAAGGAATCACTTTTCCATCCAAATATTCTCAAATGGACCTGCTGAATGATTTTTACAAAGATTGTGATGTGGACAGATTCAGTTTGAGTTTCTTAGAAGCTCATGGTACAGGTAAAGAGTTCTAAATATTCATAGATCACTACTCAATAGTGTACTAAAAATTTTTGGTTACCACACTAGGAACTAAGGCAGGTGACCCACAAGAATGTGATGCTATCGATAGCATCCTCGTTAGCGGTCGGAAGAAACCGCTTTTGATAGGATCTCTTAAATCCAATATGGGACACACAGAGGCAGCTGCAGGTCTTTGCTCCATTATAAAGGTATAAGCAGCATAAAATATTGCTTATTGACAAATAACTAATTCTTGTAGTGCGCTCTGGCAATGGAAACTGGTTACATTCCTCCAAATATCCATTTCGAGACACCCAATGATGAAATCAATGGGCTAGTAGAAGGTAGAATGAAGGTCGTGGTGGACAAAACACCTTTAGAAGAGGAAAATGCTTTAATTGGTAACAATATTGCATATGTCACGTATAAGATGTTTCTCAGGTATATTATTTTTTTTTACAGCTGTCAACTGTTTTGGCCTTGGTGGCGCAAACGCTCACATATTATTGAGAAGAAATCTAAAGCGGAAGTCCATATCTAAAGAAAACCTGCCCAGATTGGTATGCGTAAGCGGAAGGACGGAAGAAGCCATTACTGCATTGACTGATCAAATTGACTCTAACGGAATGGATGCCGAGTACATAAGGTTATTGCACGAAGTGTTCAGGTAAAACAGTGAAAACATTTTATAAAAAATCGGAATATAATGGTAATTTGTAGGAAGAACATACAAAATCACCTGTATAGAGGATACACTATAGTGTCACAATGTGGGGGACTCTCGAAAACATCTGCGTTTTGCCCAGAACAGGGCAAAACTCTACATTTAGCATTTGGCAAATTAAATGACTGGTATGAAATTGGCAATGAGCTTATGATTTTCCCGAAGTTTCATGAGTCTATCTTAAGGTAAGTTTTTTTCTTCGAAGCTCCTCCATGTTTGACTGATTTCGCGGTAGCCGTCTTCTCCTGAGGTTAGTATATGTATTGGGGCCTCTCCTGAACGAGTACCTTTTTTTTTAAACACGAATGCGACGTGCTTCTTCACGACCCACGTCGTGCTAGTGGAGCATGCAGCAAGTTTTTCATGGAATCGTTTTCTTCTTGCTTGGGTTTGTTCGTTTCCTACAGGGCGTTTTATGATCGCACCCCATCGCTGGAACGAACGGCACTGGCTTAGCTCTTCTGGGGCTTAGGGGTCGGTACCGGTACTTCACCCTGTGCTAGGCCTCCAGGCGAGTTGCCCCTGTTATTTTTTCTGTGAGCGAAAGCAGCAAGAAATGCATATTTTATTGGAATACCCTGTATTTCAGTGGATATTTATATTTTACATGGAATTGTGCAACTTTTTCGTAATAGGTACTGTGTCAAAAATCTACTGTTTCCGATATATTAATATTTTAATATAAAAAATGACATTTTCGGCGTTACACTTGATCGTTGCTGTTACTGATATACTTATTTTTTGAGATACAATCTAAGTAAACGTCACACATATTGTACTAGGTTCACCGTAAATTCTGAAGTAGTCACTGTTTATAAATGTCGTACAGAGTATTCACAAAATCGTAACAAATGTTATCTATATCAAAGACAAAAATTTTGTTTTTTTTTCAAATAGAACTTCCTGTATTTTTTAACAGGATGTGAAGGACCTTCTCAAAATCTTAACTTTCATAATAGGTGTTATATATCAGTTCCTCATATTTTACAATATTTGTCGCAATTTCTTTATTTTTAATTTTTTTACCATAAATAGCGTCGACTTACTACCAGCTTTCTTATTCTCATTGAATTTTTAGTGAACGATTTTTAGCAAAATATTGATAAAACAAAATTTTATTAATTGTTACAATAGATGTTCGAAAATATTTCCTCTTTCTACACAAGTTAATTCGGCGAACGATATCAATGTGAACGTCTAGCATTTCTGGTGTAGTATCAAGACAAGCTTGTCTTATTCTATTTATCATATCGTCACGAGTAGTCGGTGGCTCTCTCTATATATATATATATATACCCTGTCTTTTACAAACCTTCACAAAAACAAGTCAAGTAGTGTAAGGTCACATGATCTAGGAGGCCATGGCAGTGGCCCAACTCGATCAATTCATCTATTAGGATAAATTTCATCAAGATAGGCTCGGCTTCTTCTCTTGAGAAATTCATTACGAACAAGTAACAACAAAACCATACAAACTATTAATTAATTAAGAATAACTATTTGAATCACAGAAAAACACTACTTCAACAGTCAAAGCTAATGACAGGAAAAACTGTTAACAGTTTGTTTCAATGTCATATCAATGCCTCCGTAGGATATTTTCAAAAATAAACTATCGTAAAATATGAGGAACTGATATACAGGTTCGGAAAGTCCCCATGGTACATCGGCCGTTACGTGAGAGCGATAAAGTAAGTCATAGAAATATAGCTATAGTGAAGACGTTTCATAATCTGAATAGTCACCGCCCGTTTCGGGTTAGAAGTGGGAGTGACTATTCAAATTATGAAACGTCTTCAATGTAACCATCCTTGTCTATCGCACGGATTTCTTTACTTTACTTTGTCGCTCTCATGTAAAGGCAGATGGACCATGTGGATTTTCCAGCCCTGTATAACACATATTACGAAAGTTGTAAATTTTGAGGTCTTTTATATTCAGTTAAAAAATACATTTGAAAAAAAAACAAAATTTTTGCCTTTGAAAAAGATAACATTTGGTACGATTTTGTGAATACCCTGTATGACATTTAAAAACAGTGACGACTTCAGAATTTACGGTGAACCTAGTACAATATCAACATGTATTGTGCGAAGTTACAATGAAAAATGTTTAGTAAAATAAATTGCTTTTGTATAGCGACGTGTTTAAGTGTGATTAAGTTTTCACAACGGAATTTCAAGAAATAGACTATTGACATGTGTTTTTAAAAGTTAAAGATAGCCTCTTTATAAATATGGCTCTCATTCAAAGTTACGTGTATATATATACATAATCAGTATTTTCAGGATACAAGATAATTTAACAGACAAGAATATTGACCTTTCAAAAGTACTCCTTGGTGAGCAGATATCCGATAAAGATTCCATCCCAGTACTTGGTCCAGTAGCAGTCCAAATTGCTCTGGTACACCTTTTGAATTCAATAAACATCGAATGCAGTGGCAGCTTTGGATGTTCTGTTGGAGAGTTAGTTTCTGCTTATTACAATAATGCTTTATCATTGGACGAAACGATCGATTGCGCTTGTATCTTAAACCAAGTTATTTTAAATGAGGCAAAATTACTTCAACCACCCACTAATAAGGTATGAGAACATACTAAAGTGAGTTCAAAAAACCTATTACACTTTTTTTTTCAGAGAAATCATACACTAACTGTAAATCACACCATGCACAACGACTACAGTGCAAACGGTAACGTCTTTATAAAATATTTCAACCTGCAATTAATTAAAAGAACGGTTTCTAGGTGGAGTTCTAAAAAGCCTAATAGAAGAACTATCTGGAAGTGCAAGGCGGGAAAATAAGTTTAAATCGGCCGATTTAGTGAGAGCTTTAACAAAAAATCGCCACAATGACATCGATGACATGAAAACGAACTGTACTGTATTGAAAATAGGCAATTTTCCTCTTTTTGACAGTAAAGAATTTACTATAATCTCTCTTTTTGGAGGTAACAGTGGTAATAAGGTTGTGGAGTTTCTGGAAGGAATTGGAAGGTTCTGAAATTTCTGTAAATAGTTGCCTATAAACATTAACTGTCTTTATTGCAGCTTATATATTAAGGGTTACAATCCCCATTTCGAAAAACTGTATCCACTAGTAGATTTCCCGGTTAGCAGAGGCACCCCCATGATCTCTCCCTACATCAGGTGGAATCACTCTGCGGAATGGTTCGTACCACAGTTCCATTTAGACCACGTTAATCAGACGAAACAAGGAATCAAACATTACAGAATCGATTTGTCCGATCCTCAGTGGGCTTTTATCGCAGGACATGTAATAGGAGGTAAGATACGAAATGAAGCCGAAAATGATTCTGTTCATCGTATGTATGAAAGTGTTAGATGCCACTGCAACTTGTCTGCAGTAAAAATAATATGACATCTTGCATGAAGTTCCTGATTAGACCTATCAGTGATTTTATGCAAAAAATGCATTTTTTTGGTTTTTGTTTATAAAACTTAAACTAACGAAGCAATCTGAATGCTCTAAAGAGAACATTTGTAAAGAATCGAAATATGTATTTTTTGCCGCTGAATCCGAATCTGCCTTCAGATTTGGCCCAAAGGGTCTGAGTTTTCGGAAAAATTAAAAAAACAGGTCAAAATTCACAAAAAACGTCATTTACAATTGATGAAAGTTATAAAAAATCAAATTATTCTACCAGCTCACTAGACGTATGATTTTTTACTCGTTTAATTCCAATTTATCATCATAGAGTCAGACAAGCTGGTCCAATTTCATTCAAAAACAGAAAATATATCAAAATGCTTAAAAACGTCATTTTCATGGCATAATTCGTGTTGCAGAGTTCTAGATTTATCTTTTTATCCACCCACCCATTTATGAATTCATACATCTTCCTATCCAGTCGCTCAGACATGAATACGCATATTTATTCATCCACCTGTACCATCTATAAAACCCACCCATCTCTAAATAGAGGGACTAAACGAAAGTGTAACCCTTTGCATAGATCCTTTGAAGAAAAGAGGACACGTTATACCAACAAAAATAAGAATGATTTGTAGATATCGTTTTTTTTATCTCCGTTATCTCATCTCCCACTACAAAAAGTAGATGGATAGATGGGTGGATAGGTTTTTGAACTGTTTTTTGATTTTTCTCGAAAACTCAGACCCGCTGGGCCAAATCTGAACGCAGATTCGGATTCAGCGAAAAAAAATACATAGAAATACATGGTTCTGAATACCAGATCCGATCCTTTTTTTGTGGGGCTATGTATTTAATATAAATTAACTAACATACTTAAAACATATACTACATTATTAACTCAAATTTTAGGGAGAGTTTTATTCCCTGCTACGGGGTACCTGTACTTAGTGTGGGAAACATTCTCAATCGTATACGGCGTATCTCTGAAGGCTTCTCGAGTCTCACTGAGGAATTGTAAATTCTTGAGGGCCATCGGTATGCCAACAAAAGGCAGGGTAGAGTTCACAGTGTCCATCCTGAGTAGCAGCGGGGAATTCGAAGTGGTTGAAAGCAATTCCACTGTAGTCACCGGCACTATAAACTTTTTACCGAAAGATGAAGGGAATACCTGGAACTTTGCATCTCCAAGTTTAACAGATCATGGTAAAAAGTTGAGCAAAAAGGAAGTGTATAAAGACTTGCGCTTGAGAGGATATTGCTATAGGTAAAGTACTGTTTTTTTTTAATTATTTTTACGTTACTAAATTTTTTTCATACTTAACATGAAATTCATAAACTACACTTTCTTTGTAGCGGAGAATTTAGCATGATTGAAGAATATTACTTCAGTGCTTCCACGGCATACGTGAAGTGGCAAGATAATTGGATTACGTTCATGGACAATGTGATGCAATGCAAGATTTTACAGAACGACAGTAGATTGTTGGAAGTTCCCATATTTATCTCCCAAGTAAATATAGCGGCGGACGTTCATTTTGACTGGATAAGAGAAACACTTGAAGATACGGCTCCACTCGTGCCGGTTTACAGCGATATAACCACAGGAGAAGTAACGTAAGAACAGATCTTTGCAGGACGTAACTTTAAATGGGAGTCCATTTTTTAGGAATAATAGTATATGTTCCTTAGAATACTAATCTCAAATCCTTACCCACAACCAAATGACCATTGCACAGTTTAAATTTAAGCAGATTTCGATCCTGATCCGAAACCTTACGAAGAGCAACGGAGGCTAGATTATTTACTTATTTTTGTGTATTTCATTTATAATTATTTATTTATGACTGAGTTTTCTGTTAGATTACTTGTTAGGTACTGTTTCACGGTTTATCTTATTTAAAAGAATTAAATTTTCGTTTATAGGGCTCTTTGTGGAAGGTGGTGTTGAAATTTGCTTTTTAATAAAATTCTCCACCTTTCTTTTAAATTATGACATTTGGTAACAGTGTATACTGTAGTTCCCAAGTGTGTACCCAGGGCCCTGCGACTAAGTCACGCCATTTATTTGAGGCCACACTAGTTTCTCCAGTGGCGGGGTGTGAAAAATTACTAAGAAGGTTAAAAAATGTTTCCTTCATGATGGAATTTGAGAAAGCAAACTTATAATATGTATCTTTCTGAAAGTGAAAGGCATCCCCTGTATAAAAATGACTCTCATTCAAAGTTATGTCCTACATATTATAGATTTCTCCATTATAAAAAATAAACTATATATAAAAGATTAAGTTGGTGTTGCAAAAAGTTAACGTTTTCGATATTTGTTAAAATATGGGTGAGTATTTAATAAAGAAATATCTTGTATTAATTATTTTATGACAATGTTATCAGATGTGGAGGAATAACCATATCTGGAATTGTGGCTAGTACCATTGCAGGAAGGAAAAGTTTAAAGAAGCCTTTATTGGAGACCTATGAATTCGTTCCCAACTTCACAGAATTAGATTTGCACAAGTCTGTTAGAGTAAACGTTCAAATAGTCATAGAAAATTCGTTGGTACGTAAATTCAGAGCTGTGGAGCTTGTAGATGAATATTCAAATGACGAAGCGGAACTTTTAACGCCTATTATAAAGTCGGCTGTACGAGACGAGCCTCTAATACAACATTCTGTTAAAATTCTGAGTGCAAATAAACTTGATGTAGACGTTGAAGTAGAAGACAAAATGTTAGAAACCGAAAGCAACGCAGTGCTTGTGATCGCTTCCAAAGTTATCCAGAGGCCAGAGGTTAGCAGTGTATGAAAACGTGATGAATATTATACCATTCTGTTGCAGGTTATGAAGTCAGCTTTCACGGCTGTAAAAGAAAACGGCTTCGTCATGTCCCGTGAAAGCCATTGTTGTGATACTGTAAGCGACACTTATCCTGACATTATAATCGTAACCATGCACAAAACACCGTCTGAAACTTTATTACTCCTTCGGAAAAAGTCTCTTCAGCGAAAAACGCATGCATGTATAGAAATAAATTCCTCGGAAAACTTCTCTTGGTTAGCGAAAATGCAGGAGACCATTAGCAAGAACTTGGAGGAAGACCTCATGCTCCATTCCAATAACCCAACGAGTGGAATTCTGGGCTTGGTGAATTCTTTGAGGAAAGAATCGACTAGCATGGACGTCAGATGTGTTTTTCTTATGAATGAAAGTGAAAAGTTCAATCCAAACTGTGACGAGTTGAAGAAAAACATGGCAATCAACGTTTATCAAGGAGGACAATGGGGCACTTTTAGGCATCTGCTGTTAAGGGGCTCGAATATTCTAGAAAAGGAACACTGCTTTGTGAATGTTACATCGAGAGGGGGTTTGTCCTCTTTAAGTTGGATACAGGGTCCCCTTAAACTCCATACGATACCAGAATCAGGGAAGGAGTTGGTACACGTAAGTAAAGACTGCAAACACAATATTATAAATCTTGACAACTTTCTAATCTAGGTGTACTATGCCTCCATAAACTTCAAAGATGTAATGATTGCTAGCGGAAAAATTAATATAGATTCGATAATATCCGATAGACTGGATCTTTGTTTGGGATTTGATTTTTCTGGAAAGAACAAAAGGTAATTTCAAACTGAACATTTTCGAAACTAGTACCTAGAAACGGATTTCTTAAGTGATGAGGGATATTTCTGTCTTGAATTGTCAATGTCAATTTTTTCTTGGTGCAATATAGGTATTGCTTTTACACTTGCTTTATTGCAATGGCACCTGAACTTTAATACTCCTTGTACTTCTTTTTCAGAGGATGCCGTGTCATGGGTATCTTCCAGAAAGGATGCCTAAGCAATTTATTAGTAGTTGACAAGTCTCAAATATACTGCGTGCCCGATGCGTGGACTCTGGAGGAAGCAGCCACAGTTCCCGCAGTTTACACCACCACGATTTATGCCCTAATTATGGTAATTATAATAAAACTGTTAAAGAATCATGTGAACTGACAAGTTGTTAATGCCTAAATGTGATGCAAACGGTATCTGTGGTTTTAGTCTCCTTTTTAAATTATTTCATTATTTTTCAGCGTGGTTGTATGAGGAAGGGCGAAAGCATTTTGATCCATTCTGGCGCTGGAGGTGTTGGGCAAGCTGCTATCAATCTCGCTCTTCATTACGGGTGCAAAGTGTTTACCACGGTCGGCAACCATGCCAAACGGAAATTTCTTAAGATGACGTACCCGGAACTGACAGGTTTACATTCACGGTATAAGTGCCATATGTTGTAAAAGAATACTGCAAAATAAACACAAAAGTCTTATACATCACAAAAATTAGTCGGTTATGCCGTTATCCTATAATTTTTTGTTGGGCCCGAATCTAAAGTCCAGGGTCAGTTGGTGTTTTGACCTTAGGTATACACTCCTCTAGAAAACGGTCAGTGAATGGAAAACATATCATTGCGTTATAACTCCCCATAGTAATAAAAAGTATGGTAAAATTATTTGAACTTTCCATGATAACCAGATATGCATCTAGTATATTAAAAATTTTCACGGATGGCGCACTACCAATCGATGTTGGTAAATTATTCCAAGTGGAAAAAATTCTATTCGTTAGAAAAAATTGTCTTGTTCTGGATTTAAAATTTTCTTTTTTTAGTTCCAAATCGTTGCCGCGTAATCAGTTGTCTACATCGTGAGTGTAAAGCACAGATAGATTTCGAAAATTATATTTTAAGATTTTAAATGTAATAATTAGATCGCCTCGAATAGGGCGCTGTTAACAATTTGTGAGCTTGGCCATCGATAGACGTTCGGTATAACGTTCAGTGAACGTTTTCCAATAACTTTTGATCGGGAATGAGATCGATACACTACACCGAACCGGCGTATCCAATAATTGGTCGCACATAACTAGATTACAGTTTGTAAGAAGTTCGGAAGAAAAATTTGGAAAAGTGGTCTGACCTTGATAGTTTCGAGGAATTTCGCAATACTTTTTATTACAGTGCATAACCCCGAAGCTTCATAATTCCATAATCTCATAACCCTGGATGTACGAGAGTGTAGACCCACAAAAATCCTTGGGAGCATGGATGTCATCCATCAGGATTCTAAAACTACGTGACTGAGTCCAGAACCCCATAACTCAATGACCCCGTAATTCGAGGATATACTGATTTGTGTTACAAAGTTGGGAAGTTTCAAGAAATCTTTTTCCTTAACCACACTTGTAATGATGTTTTTTTTTAAATCAGGTTTGATAAACTAAATTTATTTTTGTCTGCTTCCATAGCTGAAGATATCATATGATGTACGTCTCGATGTACGTGTTACCTATCCAGAGCCTGGCCTCTAGTGAGTGATATGTAGGTTTTATTGAATATGAATAAAAGAAATGGTAAATGAACCAATTCTTCATTCTGATAACGACAGACTGTCCTATGTAACAGGATTGTTAGACTTTTTGTTTATTTTCATCTACGTCATATGGCATTTATACGGCAGACACTTTGTGCAGGACAGTAGTGTTGAAGTTATATTTCGACGTTTTTTAGATGAAAATATCGGCAATTCTCACGATGAGACATTCGAACAGATGGTGTACAAAGGGACGAACGGCAGAGGCGTTGACATAGTCCTAAATTCCTTGGCAGAGGACAAACTGGTAGCATCAGTGAGATGTCTCGCCACCGGAGGCAGGTTCCTGGAAATAGGAATGTTTGACATGTTGAGCAACAACCACCTCAACCTGTTGCTTTTCAGGAAGCAAGCTAGTTTTCAAGGCGTTATGTTGGATCAAGTATACGACGAATCCACAAAGCGTGAAATTGGAAAAACGTTGCAGAAACTAATTGCGGAGGGTGGTGTTAAACCTTTAAATAGGAACATTTTCAAATGCGACGAGATCGAACAGGCATTTCGATTCATGGCTTCCGGTAAACATATGGGCAAAGTGTTGGTCAAGGTTCGAGAGGCTGAAGAACACCGTGTCGGAATACCTCCTAAGCACAGCTTGTGTGGCATAGCCAGGTATGCAGATGTAGGCGATGTTTAATCAGAAACAATGCCAATAATTATAAATTTTCAGGTATTACTGCGATCCTGAGAAAGTGTACATAATTATCGGCGGTTTAGGAGGTTTCGGTTTGGAACTGGCTAACTGGTTAGTCCTGCGAGGTGCCAGGAAGCTAATGTTGTCGTCAAGGAAAGGAATTAGTACTGGATATCAACACTATAGAGTTAGGTAAGGTCAGATATTTTTTTTAAAATAAGAGCTGAAAACTTATTTACAAAGTAATCTGTTTCTATTTAAATTAGCTTTTGTTATCACATACCCTGAATGATAACGAAAATAACGGGTTTCCCCATCTTATTACTGAACTGTAAATTTTTATCAACTTAAGTAATTTTCCATCTATTCCTGACTGTCTCAACGTATAATACAATTTATTTCTTCTTATTCTGCCACCAGATTGTTTAAAATCTATGAAGGGCCTTTTTTATAACTTGAACTTTCTGTTTTTGTGTCTCTTAAAGTATAAATTTGGTCTATTACCAATCTACCTTTCCGATAGTATCTTTGGTATTCTCCTATTTCCATTTCCATTTTCCTATTAACAATAGTTTTTGTATGCATAGCTAAATTTTTATAAGCCACGTTCAGTAAAACTACGCCTCTTTAATTTTTACGTCCTGTTGTATCACCTTTGTTTATAGATCGGCAGATATACTATTTCCCTCCAAACAATTTTTTTTAGTAAACAGTGCATCCACATAAACAATGCTTTTCGTCTATATTTATATATATATATATATATACTTTCTTAGATTGCTAATTATTTTTCCCACTTCTCTCAAGGTCAGTGTTTCTTTTACATCGTGACTTGTTTGATCTCGCTCTTCTTCCTCCTCATTTATATCATAGTTCTCTATTATTCTATTTAGTAACTCACGAAAATTATCTTATCCATAATTTCAAAATTCTGTCGTCGTTGTTAGTATCGTCACTCTTTATTTTTATAGAATATTTTTGATTGGTATCCAACTTTTTAATTTTTTATCCCTAACTAAAAGTTCCCTCGGAGTGTTTCATTACAGTATTTTCTCTTTTTTTCTGTATGTTTATACTTTTACGCGGTCTTTCCTATTTATTGCTTATTTCGAACCACGGTTTTTCTGACCTCGTTATCTTGTATTCGCATCCTCGTTATTTAATAACCTTACTATTCCTCTGTTACTCTTAGCTTTCCATTTCCATAACAAACTTGCTTAATCATATAAAGCAGCGTAAAAATAAACAATATGTACACCGACGCAAATAAGTTTGTGTTAGACTCAGACAAAGATTGATTCGATTAGAAAGAATACATAGGCACGGCGATTTGGGTTAGCTGTTATCTGGAGCTTTGTCCAGTGCCCATTTGTGGGGGGAGCCATCTCAGACTCAAACTTATTTGTGCCGGTCTGTACTTGATTTTCTAAAGAAGTGGCAATCACAGTCATATTATTCTTTAAAATAGGTTATGGGAGTCTCAGGGAATTACCATCAAAATATCCACCGCTCCTGTGGCAAAAAGAGAAGGTTGTGAGCAACTGCTCGAAGAAGGCTCCCGACTAGGTCACATCTGCGCTATTTTCAATTTAGCCCTGGTACTGGAAGATGCGATTTTTGAAAACCAAACTCTAAAATCATTTACCGCCACTTTCGAACCCAAAGCTATCGCCACAAGGCACTTGGACGACCTTACGAGAACAATTTGTCCTGATTTAAAGTAACGTTATTGTGATTTCGTCTGAATAATATTTATTGCGGTTATATGTATATTTTACAGAGACTTTGTTGTATTTTCGTCCTATGTTGGTAGAAGAGGCAATGCTGGACAAACAAACTACGCAATGGCGAATTCCGTGATGGAAAGGGTATGCGAGAAACGCAAACGAGACGGATACCCGGCACTGGCAATCGAATGGGGCCCAATTGGTGATGTATGTGTAAAAATATAATATTTTAACTGGTGGCAGCAAAATTATTATTACACCTTAATCAATCTTAGGTCGGCATAATTACCGAAACGATAGGAGATCGCGATATGGAGATAGGCGGAACTTTACAGCAGTCGATTTCCAGCTGCCTTCAAGTTTTGGATACATTACTGACACAAAGGGAAGCCTCTGTAGTGTCCAGTATGGTGGTGGCAAACAAGCAGGAACCAATATCTACGGATAATATTGTGGACGCACTTATCAATATTTTAGGTAATAAATAAGGTCTTTAGCTTTTCGATTTTGTTAGTGGTAAAGTGTAGAGAATATTTTATCAATTTAATAAACGTTCTCTAGGACTACGGGATGCCAAATACGTCAGCCTACACTCCACACTACCGAAACTCGGCATGGATTCAATGACAACCGTGGAAGTCAAATTAACTTTAGAGATAGATTTCGGAATATTTCTTTCTACAAAGGACTTGAGAGGGATGAATCTAGCGAGGTAACATTCTAGGGTGTTTCTTACTATTTCTCATATTTTATTTGAATAACCGATATGAATATGTAGGATATGACGGTCAGCGGTCTAAGAAATTTATAGCAACATTGGGTGTACTCCAAGGTTACCTGCTGGGTTCTCTATTTTTCAATCTTTCTCTTAATGATATTTTACCAGAAATTTATATTAATTGTGTTTATACATTGACAACAAGAAAATCTATAGCATTAACGATTGTTTAAAATTCCAAAGAATCCTTAGTACAAATAAACACTTGGTGTAATAATTAATTAAAAATTAACGTAAAAATTTTCAATGTGTACCTATTCTATAAAAAAAAGTTTGATTTCAATAACGTGATAGAAGACAGCATACTTCCATAGCCTCAAAGAGCAATCTTTTAATGAAGACATTGCCATTAGTAGCGCTCGGTATTAACATCTAAATGCTCCAAATATGTCTCCTTATCTTTTATCTGTTGCAATTAAAAGGAAATGCGATGGTTATTCTGAACACTAATGACTGTGAAGAGAGATTTTAAGAGACTTGACCCTAGATGTCTACAAATTGTTGGCATTAGATCCAACATCGAAGGTTTAAAAACGGATCGTGAAGAGGTGTTCCTGTGTCCAGTGAGTTGTTAAGAGCTTGCAACCTTCCGAAAGCCGCACTCCACGTCCACATAGGCTGCCTAAGATTCATAAACTTAAGTAACTCAGACATCTTAGTCAATTTTGATGGGGACTTCCTGTTCGCTAAGGTGCTAAGAAAAGGACATTGAAACTATTATGACATGTGTCAGAAACTAGGTCTTGTTACGTCTTGTGGAAAGAAAATTACTATAAACAAACACATGGTGTTGACGTTAAATCTGGTAATGGCAAATGTTTTCAAGTTTTAAAGACCACATTGGAAACGGCTAAATTCAATATAACGTCCATTTCTAGTTATTGAATCAGACAAGGAACTTATCTGAGAATTATAAAACTAGGCTAACTTACCGTTGATTTAATTAAGCTTTAAAATGAGGTGCTTCTCTATAGGTCGTGAGCTGTGAGATTAGAAAGAATGAATCTCTACATTGCGCAACGGAAAAAAACAATATTCAGTACAACAGAGTTCAATACATCAGAAAAACATAAAAATTACAATATATTATATAACTATAATATTTACTATAAAATACGAAATTGAATCCAAAAGAAATGTCTGTATACGAACATAGCACCAAATGAATTAAGTTTGTTAAGGAATCACCATGACAGTTCTAATACTTCTAATAAAAAGGAAATGCTAAACACTTACAATTTGTAGTCACCGTTCTCTCGAAGAAAACAAGATGGCTGAATGTAGACGGAGACGGGAATTCGTATATACGCGTGTTTCATAGTCAACTATGATATTTGTCGTAAACTCAATACTATGAATTACGGTACCAGCATCTTAATCGGACGAACCTTTCACTTCGTCTCCACTGCTGTAAACTCAAACTGCGATATAGGGTGGTCTATGACTGTTCCTCTCCTCTCCAATCCATCGGGCGTTATCGGTCATCACCGTATCCGAAACCCACCCGCACATATTCAAATTCAAAATAAATATTTTCACAATTAAGTTTAACATAATACAGTTTAAGAGCTTATTAACCAATTAAATGATTCATGTATTAGTGATGTAGTGTTAGAAGTAGTGGATATATCTAATACATAAAACGATATTGTTACTTCAAACTATCGTATTGGTACAGATATGTGGATGATACGTTTATCATTTGGCCATATGGTAAGGATACCTTTGACGTTTTCATAAACCATTTAAACGACCATCATCCAAATATCCGATTCATTTTGGAGGAACAAAAGGGGATATAATTGATGTTCCTTGATGTCTTGGTAACTAGAAATCAGCGCTATCTAGCCCATAGGGTCTACAGGAAATCTACTGATACTGATAGAAGCGAATATAATCGAAGAATTATTAGTGTTAATTATTTGAAATGGACTGTATTATCGTCTTCTGTTATTTATTAAAACACTTGAACTTTGTTGTACTTAACTTTATTCTGCGTGGTGCCTAATTCACAATTGCTAAAACAGATGGCGCCACGTTATCTTTGCCTTTTATTACACTCACCACACGACCTAAGCCCCATTTCATCGGAGGCAAATTATCCTCTTTCACTAACACGAGTGCACCTTCCTGTAGCTGCGACTGTGACGTTTTCCACTTATTCCGTTGTTGGAGTTCGGAGATATACTCTTTGTTCCACCGCTCCCAAAAATGTTGCTGTATTTGTTGAATTCTCTGGAAACGGGACAGTCTGTTTTCCGCAATTGGCTTCAAATCGGGTTCCGGTATTACAGTGATCGATTTACCAGCCAGAAAGTGAGCCGGAGTTAAAGGATTGAGATCGTTTGGATCAGACGACATTGGAAACAACGGACGTGAATTGAGTATTGCCTCAATTTGCAAGATTACAGTGTAAAAATCCTCGAATGTTAAAGATGCGTTTCTTAAGACTCCACGTAAATGGTATTTTGTACCTTTTACGCCTGCCTCCCAGAGGCCACCGAAATGCGGCGCATGAGCCGGAACAAAATGCCACTGAATCCCTTCGTTGGCTACCGACTCTATCAAAGGTTTTGAATTTTCAAACAAATAGCTACCTAGAGACTTACTTAGCTCATTTTTTGCGCCTATGAAATTATTGGCATTGTCCGAGTATAAGTGAGACGGACGGCCTCTACGTGCCACAAATCTACGTAAAGCTTGTAGAAAAGCTTCGGTTGACAATTCGCTTACCAATTCTAAATGGATCGCACGAGTGGAGAAACAAACAAATACTGAAATCCAAGCCTTTTCGATTTTAGCCCCGCGGCCCTTTTTATTTTTTAGTTGAAACGGACCTGCATAGTCCACACCAGTTATGTCAAATGCTGACCCCGATTGGAGACGAGACCCAGGTAAGTTACCCATTATTGGTTGGTAAGTATTAGCTTGATATCTAAAACATTCTACACATTCCTTTACAGTTTTCTTAGCAAGATTGCGTCCACATATGGGCCAAAACATTTCCCGAATATTTGCTAGTAGCAATTGTGGTCCTGCGTGTAATAAACGCTTGTGCTCGGATGTAAAAATTACCTTGGTCAAATGATGTTTGTTTGATAACAAAATCGGGTGTTTTTTGTCAAAAGTAAAATCTGCATTAACCAATCTTCCACAAACTCTTATTATACCATGAGCGTCTAAAAATGGACATAAACTTAAAAGTTTACTATTACAGTCGATTTTTTGTTTAGTCAACAGCTCAAAATATTCTTGTGGAAAAGATTCACGTTGAGCTAATTTTATTAAAATTTTAAACGAATCATTAATTTCGATAAGCATGAAAACTACGTAACTCAATTGATTTTCTGCTATTATTAATGAATCTTACTAAATATGCAAAGGATCGTTTTAACCTTAATAAGTTTGAAAATTTTTTAAATGCAAATAATTCTTCATTGGTTGCCACAACCGTACATGTATTTATATTTGTTTTCATTTCCGGTAACTTATCACATGTTAAGTTTAAATTTAAAGTTGGCCACTCAGCTTCATCGAGTAATAAAAATTCCGGACCAAACCACCACAAATTGTTGTTTAAAATATTTTTTGGAGATATGCCTCGCGAAATTGAGTCGGCTGGATTGTTTTTTGTTGGCACATGTCTCCAAACAATGATTTATGACCCATTTACACAAGGCCAGTTGTGAAGACATTCCACTAAGCCAATCCAACATTGGCATCGTGTAAATGAGACAGTCCTGTAAACGGAATGTCTCCAGCCATTGTCCCAAGCCACTCCACTAATTAGAACGGTTTCTAATTTTAGGAGCCAATAGTGTCCCCCACCACTCAAGAAGTGGATTGGCTTGTGTAATGGCATTTGTGAGAACGTACGTTCCTAGCCAAGCCTAGCCTAGCCCTAGCCTATCCATTCTACACAACCGTATATACTAGACCACATAGATTATACAAAGATACTAGCCTGGCGGATGAAGGAGTGGCCTACGTGTAAACTTCAATTGAATTTTTATTGGATTGTCCTGAACTTTGTCATTGGATTGGCTTAATGGAATGTCTTCACAACTGGCCTCGTGTAAATGGGCCATTAGTTATTTCTTGTATCTCGGCTACTCTGTTGTTCACGAAAGGTTTTAATTGGTTTGCTTCAGTGCGTAACCACCCTAACACTATAGTCGAATCGGTCCATAGGAAACAATCGTCAAAATTTAACTCTATCGCATTTATAACCTTAGTTATCATGCGCGCCAATAACAGAGCTCCGCATAATTCTAATCGCGGTAATGTCGTTGTTTTTAACGGTGCTACTTTCGATTTTGTAAATAATAAATGAATAAAATTTTCTCCTTTTTTGTTTGTAGATCGAATATAAATACATGCTCCATATGCATATTGTGATGCATCCGAGAATCCGTGAAATTGTATTTTTATAGGATCGTCGCATATAATCCTTTTATTAATTTTTAACTCATTTAAAATCGGAAGTTCCGCTCTAAACCTTTGCCAAATCTCATTTAGGTTGTTAGGTAGTGATTCGTCCCAACTTAATTTTTCTGCCCACAATTGTTGTAATAGCATTTTGGCTTGAATAGTACAAGGACTTACTAATCCAAGCGGATCAAAAATCTTGGCTATACATGACAAAATTGTTCGCTTTTTTATTTGGTCTTGAGCATTTATATTAATCGAAAATGTAAGGTAGTCTTTTTCACTTGCCCACACTAAACCTAAAGTTTTTATTTCATTGTCCTTTTCCGTTAAAAATTCTAAATTTTCTTTCATTTCTTCGCTCTTATTTTCTTCGTCAAAATTATAATTTGACCGCCATTTTCGTAATTTAAAATAACCTTGTTCTAATATATGTGAGATTTTATCTTTGATAATCATCGCTTCTTGTTTATTGTTTGCTCCAGTTAGTAAATCGTCGACGTAAAAATCTCTTTTTATAATTTGCGATATGTTAGGCTGCTCTAATTGATTTTCCTATGCGATTTGCATCAAACATCTTATCGAGAGAAATGGTGCGGAAGCCGTTCCATATGTCACCGTATTTAACTGAAATACCTTTATTTGATCTACGGGATTTTCGCGCCATAATATTTTTTGTAAATATCGCTGTTCTGGTTTTATGAGAATTTGCCGATACATTTTCTCTATATCCGCAGCCAACACAATATTATATTTCCTAAACCGAATTAAAATTGACACTAAGTCGTTTTGAATTGTAGGTCCTACCATTTGTAGATCATTCAGCGATAGTCCTGTATTCGTACGCGCCGACGCATCGAACACTACCCGCAATTTTGTTGTTAAACTAGTTTCGCGTAACACGCCATGGTGTGGCATATAGTATCCCGATTCAACATTCAAATCTTCTTCGATTTCTGTCATATGATTCAATTTTTCGTACTCGTTTAGAAATGAGGCATACTGAATTCGTAAATTTTCGTCCCTACGTAATTTTCTCTCTAAATTAAAAAATCTTTGTAAAGCATAATCTTTTAAATCTCCCAATTTTTCTACGTTCTCTTTAAATGGAATTGAAACGACAAACCTCCCATTTTCGTCGCGCATAAAATTATTTTTGAAATGAATCTCGTATTCTTTTTCTTCAGATGATAAAGGATTACTTACTACGGATTCTTCTAATTGCCAAAATTTCGTTAACTGCTCTTGGATATCTATAACTTGACCTACATTACATTGTACATTTTTACCCGGAAATCTTGTCGGCCCTGAAACTATCCATCCGAGCCGAGTCTTCTGTAAAATCGGTCCGCCTTGTCCCAAAGTTAATTGACCAATGCTTAAAAGGTTCCAAAAAACGTCTGCGCCTAACAAGATATCTATTTTATTAGGTATGTAATACTGGGGGTCTGCTAGTTTAATGTTGTTAGGTATGACTAATTCTCTTTTATCGCATTTTACGCTCGGAACAGTGCCCGTAATTTTGTCCATTACGCAACGGTCAACGCTCGCATTATAATTACTATTTATCGATCTTATTTCAACATTACACTTGTAGTATACATTTGAGACAACATTATTTATCCCGGAAATCTCTACGTCAACCTTTGATTTCTTCAAACTTAATTTATCGCATAATTCAGTTGTTATGAAACTCGATTGAGAGCCGCTATCTAATAAAGTTCTAGCCAAATGTTCGCGTCTGTTAATGTCCTTAACATAAACTCTTGTCGTTGATAAAAACACATTTTGTGCTAGAGCATGATGCGAATTTAACGAATATTCTGAGGAATTATTGTTCCCCGTGTCGGCACTACTGGACTGTGACGCTAAGGACGCCGTGCCCTGACCGCTTGTAGCATCTTTCGCTGGAGTACGTATACTCGTGGGCGCGGGAACCTGGCGCTCCGCGACGTCCGTGCCACCTGTTTGTCTAGAATTATCATGTAAGAGAGTGTTATGTTTGGCTTGGCATTCTCGACAGCCGCTGAATCGGCATTCTGTTCTATAATGTCCTTTACGAAGGCAAATTATACAAAGCCGATTTGTTCTCGCAAAATTCATTCGTTGTGGTACCGAGACTGACCTAAATTCTTCACATTGATACAAATAATGATTCTTTTTGCAATAAATGCACTTTACCTCCGCCTTACAATCGTTATTGTTAGTGAGCAGTGATTTACTGGACCATTCCCTTTTTGAAAAACGTTTTTCTGAATTTGAATTAGTTTCCATTGATTCCAGAAAATCAGCTCTGCCTATTAAAAAATCTTTTAAATCTTGTAGCTCTGGTACATCGTGTCCCGATTTAAATTTTTCCCACTCGCGAGAGGTTTGCGCATCTAACTTGTTCGTAATGACATATATTAATAATGTACCCCAATGCTCTGTTGGTTGTCCTAATTTTTCTAAAACGCGTAAATGTTTTGCAACTGTATCTACCAAGTCTCTTATTTTTCCCGATGATTCTTTTTGAATGTTTTCTATTTGAAAAATGGCCTTTACATGATTTTGTACCAACAGTTTATTATTATTGTATCTGTCCTTTAGTAGCTCCCACGCGATTTCGTAGTTATTTGATGTGAATTCCAACGCTTTAATTACCTGAGACGCGCCTCCACTCAGAGCCGCTCTTAAGTAATGAAGTTTTGAATATTGTTTATCTGCTTATTGTCATGGATTAAGGATTCAAAAATATCTCTAAATTCTAACCATCCCTCGTATGATCCATCAAATTTTGGAAGTTGAATTGTTGGCAATTTTATGCTGCCTAAATTAACATTTTGTGAAGCCAAGACTTCGCTTGCCGAATCCGAACCGCTTTGAGTTTGAGATTGCATTGCCGCCGCTGAATCCGGTACAGCGTTTGGCATTTCTACCTTTGATAAAATCGTTTTAGCCACAGATATCGTTTCAAAAAAACTTTGCTCCATTTCTTCCCTATCTTTGTATTGTTCTGTGACATCCTCCGCGACGCATTCAATGACATTCTGTATGTGCTCATACTCCGTTAATATTTGCTCAGCTCTAACGCTTCTTTGACTTAATTCTGATATTTGCATTTCGTTAAGTTTACCTTGCTTAACCTCATTTTGCATTTTTTGCACAAATTTGGAAAATATCGTTAATCTCGCCTTTACAGACGCCCGCTTTTTCTTTAAATTTTAAACATTTAAATCTTCGGCCATTTTGCCGTGTACAAATTGAAACAATACGCAAACACAACAATAAGGATATGTAAAAATAGGAAAAACTCTCCCCTGGAATTTTCGTACTGGCTTTACCGTTACCCTCAATAATTGCAGTTCTCCTTTCCTCCCGCGCCGACTCCGATCGCCGCTCAGCTGCCTTCCAAAAAACTTGTTTGTTTTAGTTTAGATACGCATACGCCTCGCCCGCGCCGACACTGATCGCCGCAAACTTCTAAAAAACCACCTGTTGCACGCCTCTCGTCCCACGCCGACTCCGATCGACACAGAACTCCTTTATTCGCACGTGCTCTCGCTTCTTGCTGCGTAGTTGACCAGCGTGACTCTGGTACTGGATCACCACTAGGTTGCTGGTTATTGCACTGGTCCGCTTTATTTTCTCCTTTCTTACAATAAAACACCAACTAGCACAAATCCGGACGAATGACCATTTTATTTATTTGAAATGGACTGTATTATCGTCTTCTGTTATTTATTAAAACACTTGAACTTTGTTGTACTTAACTTTATTCTGCTTAATAATATTACGTCCTACATTGCTTAGACTCAAACCTCAAACTCACACTAATCTAAAACGCGCTCGTGCGCTCTAGCCCTGGTGCCTAATTCACAATTGCCACAACAGATGGCGCTACAAACATAATATCTCCAAATTTAAATATTTACTTTTACAATATAACAATTAGTCAACAGGACTAGAGTACCGGAATATTTGGACTCTGAACTGAAACATCTCATTGGAGTTTTACAGGCAAATGATTATAAAGAACGGAATATCAACGTCCGCAAAGGGGGAAATGACGAACTGAACGATCCAGAAGGCCTGCTCCAAAAATGGAGTAGGTGCAAGGTTATTTCAATACACGAAAAATCCAACAGAAATTAAGGCCAGTGAAAGATAGGTTTGACGCTTCTCTTCTGAGGCTTATCGCAAATCTTTTTTTTTTTTCAACTTTTCCAACTTTTCGTGTTTACTTTGCATTTAAAATTGCAGCCTCAAGAAAAAATCTTATGATCCTTTTTTGCAAAACAAGTGTATGTTGAGGTCTGTGATGTATGTAATGTTATTTCTCGAAAATAATACATATTTTTTCTTAAAAATACCACAGTATATTTTCACATTTTTGAGGTTTGTGATTTTTCCTTTAGATAAATTAGTCCAAGTTTCGTCTTCAAGGTTATCTTACAAAATGTGATATTTTTTCAAAAATCCACATACTGTATCTCGTAATAAGTTTTCCTAATTAATCGTAAAACGGTGAAATTTAATGTTAACTATTGAATTTTGTATTTCAGGTTGAAGGAGCTGCATGAAAAGAAATCGGGACTTTGCCAGAACAGCGCGAACGGAGACCTTGAAATAGAAATGATTTTTAAATTGTCAGAGGAAGAACTAGATAGCAAAATATCAAGCGTTCGAGTAGTACCTGAGCTAGATAAAATTTCGGGGCCAGCTAAAATAGTATTGTTTCCTGGTATTGAAGGATTTGCTACGGTATTTGAAAACCTTACAAAAGTGCTAGGCCGGGCCGTGGCCTTACAATATCCGGCAGATGGCCAAACTACCAGTGTCTCAAAAATCGTAAAATCTCTGGTGCCTGTGAGATGTTATATCTTTTAACACGAATTTGTTCACGTGCTTTTTATTCTAGGTGGTGGAGAAGCTGTTGACAAAAGATGAACCCTTCACGATTGTGGGTTATTCCTTCGGCGTGCTAATAGCAGCGGAGATAGTCAACATATTAGAAAGTAAAGGATACGCGGGAACTCTGATATGTATAGACGGCGCTCCGCTATTTTCGAAGACTATAATGAAGAATTTAAATGAGGAATCTGAACTGTTCGTTCAGAACAGTTTGATATACCAATTGTTGTCCTGCTGTATACCACTTGGTGAACTTGCTAAAAATAAGGTAAACCTTTTTATATTCGTAGAAATAGAACAGTTTTATAACTTTGTTGTTTTACATAATGGCATACATATTTTAATTTCAGGTGGATATATTTAAATGCCAAACATGGGAAGAAAGGGTAAATCTTGCAATCGAATCAGTTAAAAAAAACGCTCCGCTCAAGGCGGACTATCTAGGCTTGGTCTCCAACACCATCTACAAGCGGATGAAATGTGTTGATAATTACGTGCCTTCCTACAGAAATTTAAGGTCAAATGTAAAACTGTTCAAAGCAACTGCTTCCATCATTCAAGATATCGCGGATGACTACGGATTGTCAGCGTTCTTTGAGAAGCCCGTCGAGATTCGGTTGTTCGAAGGAAATCACGAGACGATCCTAGAAAACGAGAAACTAGCGGATGCTATAAATACTTCCAGTTTGATGACAAATTGACATTATGTAGAAATGTATTAGGTACCAGAAAATAGTTTTTTCTTGAAACAACAAATATTCGTTATATCAAAATAAATTTATATTTAACATGGTGATGATGGTATTTTCTGATTTAAGGAAAGAAATTCTTTAAAATTTAAAGAAGATTAAAAAATCTGTCTAGTTATTTTTTTAACTACCGAAATATTTTTTTACTACTAGGGAGTTTTTTAAACTTTTCTCTAAATTTCATTCAATATTTTGTTAAATATTTTATTGGTTATTTCGGGTTAATAACAACAAATGTGTTCAATACGTGTGACATAATGCATAAAATTTGGAGCAAATACAAATTCTGGCCAGATTCCGAATGCTGATTACAGAACTGGCAATGAACCTGGTTGACGTTCCTACACAGGTAGTGGCAGCTCTGCAAGTGGCTGTGCTACGTGGTTCGATTTAGTGCTCTTTCGATTTCTAGACACTAGGATGAATCATCACCCTATATGTGGTCTCTGTTTCTTAATGTTGTTACGCTACCTCACAGTTCAAACTTCGTAATATCCGAGTAACTTTAGGTCCCCGAAATCCAAACTCGGAGTGGTTTTCCGCCGTTGGCATTGCATCTTTGACAGCAGCTCTGCCAACAGCATCGGTCTTCCTCGGTGTCATCTGCTATTGCATGGTGATTTTGGGCTGCTCGGAATGGTTCTTGGGAGCGACGCACAGTGGGGCAGAATCCCAAAAACCTGGCCAAAAGTCAGAAAATAAAGTTTCTAGTTCGGTAATTTTTACTCTTGGGTTGGCTAGGGTAATATCCTAAGTCTCAGAATATATTACTATTAGAGTCAAATCCCCTATACCAGCTTCTTAAATCACTAAAAAGGCGACCGCAACTCCTGCAACACCTGGCTCGCGCGTAGGAACAGAAGTAATAGTTGTGTTTAAATAGTTATAAAATTTCGTAGAGTTCACCGATTTATCTCTAACAAAATGGAATCAACTCATAAATGTACGTAGATTATGCTTATGTAGGTTAAAATACTTGATCTTTTTGTAGAAAATAGTAATTGACTACCAAACTTACGTGAATTTTATGTTATAAAATCAAAACATAATTTAGTTTTGAAGAAAAAAGTTTAATAATTCTGCCGAATTCTGTCATTTAACTTTTGGGACAAAAAGACAAAACTTTTATCTGTAAACTAAAAAAAAATCAGCTGCCTATAAGTGCATAACAACTTTTTGTATAGGTTTTTGTAAAATGTAGAGTAAAATGGATTTTGCCTTCTCTGGACGATGTAAGACATGGGAAGATTGCATATAATGAAGAAATTCTTTCAACTTCAGAAGATTCGACGGATGCTACATATGAAGATTTTTCATCTGACGATGATTCTTTTCTTTTATGAAAAAACTGGAATTCTATATTAAAACTTTGGCACGGGATTCAAATAAATTATTCCCGCTACTTATTTAACGAAATATATGAATAGTTTAATATGTCAATTACATACATTACATCTTCATGCTTGATAAATTGTAATTGTTGCTGTTTAAAAAGAATACTGAAATTATATTTGTTTTAAAATAATTATTGTAAATAAACAATTTTTAATGAACAATTTTTTATTTGCTTTATTTCTTATGTTTACCATATTATAGCCATTTTGTATTTCATAATCTTTTTAATTCTTAATCAACGACTCGGAAAATCCCTATTTACAAAACATTTCTACTTCTAATATGACTATATTAAATCCTCCACATTGAATTTTGTAATTCTGACTCCAAATTCGTTATCAGCGACCCCAAAAACCTCCGTGTAACAAATTTCAGATCGATTTCTAAAGATTCTGACTTGGCCAGCTTTTTGGGATTCTGCCCCACTGTGCGACGGCGGAAACTTTAGAAAGGTTGGTGAATTTTGGTAGTTCCCACAGCGTTATGCCCTCGGTATCTCTGTTGGCAGCATCGTTCTCTGGCGGTATTGACTGCTGCGGAAGAAATGGTTTGGAACTGTTTGAGGGATTTTTTAGAGCAACAGCTTCACGGTCCGGATTGGAAACATGAGTGATTTTTTTAAATCCTCTCGGGATATGTATTATGACAAAACGAACAACCTATGACATTGTAGGATTATGCAAAAGGCTTTTAGACTTTTGTTATCGAAAAACATTGTATCATTTTATAAGATTTTTAGAAGCAGAGTTTCTGAATTTATTTGAATTAGTTTATACCTATAAAATAAAGAAAGAATAAAATGTTTGTATAAAAAAATTGGCATTTTCAAATATCTCACTTTGAAGGCAAGCGCAGTAAGAGTTTGTATCATGTATGATTTTTAAATAAAAAACATGAACAATGAATGATCTCAGTTGCAAGCATGGTAATCACAAAAAATATATAATACGGCGCTCCGCTATTTTCGAAGACTATAATGAAGAATTTAAATGAGGAATCTGAACTGTTCGTTCAGAACAGTTTGATATACCAATTGTTGTCCTGCTGTATACCACTTGGTGAACTTGCTAAAAATAAGGTAAACCTTTTTATATTCGTAGAAATAGAACAGTTTTATAACTTTGTTGTTTTACATAATGGCATACATATTTTAATTTCAGGTGAATATATTTAAATGCCAAACGTGGGAAGAAAGGGTAAATCTTGCAATCGAATCGGTTAAAAAACACGCTCCACTCAAGGCGGACTATCTAGGCATGATCGCCNAACCGATCACATTTCTAAAGGGCAATCGTAAGAAATTATAAGTCATATAAATCTTAAGCGCAGACTTCCCAAGACAACTTAAAATCAAATAACTGGATCTACCTGGATTACAAGATGAAATAGACGAAATACTAATATTAAAAGAGAGGCTAAAAGCTAAGGAAGCGCACAAATATGTACAGGGACCTGTAGTTATAGAAGATGCGACTTTATGCTTTAATTCCCTCAAAAACGTTACATAAAGTGGTTTTTAGAGATATTGGAACTAGAAGGTTTAATTAAACTGTCGACAGCATTTGTCGATAAATCAGCTCAAGCAGTTTGTACGTTTGCTTACCATGAGACGGATGGGCAGTATGTAAATTCTAGAGGGTACAGAGACTTTGGTTGGAATCCTGCTTCCACCCTGCTGATACGATGTTACTTACTTATGCAGAGATGCATAAGGTAGAAAAGAATAAAATTTCTCACAGAAGGCATTGCTTTTTAAAAATTAATATTAAGATTATGTTTTTCTTTCTTATCCAATTGAAAATTGCAATATAATTACACATACATTGAAAAAATCTTTTATTGCAATAAAAATGAAAATACGTGTGTATAAATTTAATTGCATTTAAATACAATACCCCGGATGATAATTTTAGATTTGTATGTTTATTAATTTATTAAAATTTAGAATCTACAATAACTGTCAGTGTCAAATATTTACATAAAAGGCCAAGGATATAAAATATAGGTTGATCGATTTTTCTCAAAAATATTAAATGAACTGCACGGTGTTGAGTCTAGAACTCATAAAATAAGTGAAAATATTGTTTTCCTTGAATTTGACATACAATGTAGGTAATTAAAGAAGGAAGCATCACAACTTATCTAAAAATATATATAACTATGGGATGTACTATAAATCCATATAAATATTATGGTGTAAAAAAGAAATGATATTCTTCTCCTGCTATAATACTACGTAGATGCCAGCGATCATCCATCTCTTCCACAATTCGATGGCAAATTTCTCCTTTCATGTCCTCAGTGGACCGACGCGGTAAAGACGTCAACATTTGGAACAAATCCATCGTGAAAACGTCCTGCATACAAGCGAGAAGCTGCTGCTGCATTGTGCCTTGCTTCGCGGTAAATTAAAACAACATCCATTAATTCTGCAGTACATGGGCCATTTTGAATAGCTATAATACGATAAGAACATATACTTGAGGGATTTTCTTAAATATCTTTTAAAATATTTAACCTAACCAATTGTATTGTGGGAAACAACTATTCCACGAGCCATATGCCTCGACTGGCATGGAATTATACCCTCAATATCTAGTAAATAGCTAAAACGATTCGTCAACAAAGCCACCAGAAATAAACCGGCTTCGAACTTAGTTAAGTTATCGTCAATATGCCGTGGGTGAAAAGAGCAAGACACGATTTAACTGTGGATATAACCTATAAAACACATGCCACATCTTTTACTCATCATACATGATAATTCGTGACATATATTTGATAAATGAACGAGAGAAATATCACCGGTCAACATGACATCATTGGAGTATCCTATCATATGACCCAAAGAGATGATTTTTTTATTAATTGATTACCTAGCAAGAAATATGCAAAAATGGATTAAGCTCTATCATTTTAGCAATAATTTAACTGACTATATTCAGTACACATGCACTTCTCATTACGAGAAATGAAACATAGATAAATACTCTGCTTCAGGCCTTTTCTAGTAACGTAATTTTGTAGAAACATAATTAAATAAAAGTTCTCGGATACCAAATTATTTTCTTAAGCTGTTATTATTCTATAAATAATGATATTGCTCGTACATTTATTTTTGTAGTACAAATACGGCAAAAATATATTTTGAACATTTTCCATATTATGTATTGTAGCAAATTTCGTCTGGACACCAGATATTAATGCCGTATACTAATTTTGAACTGACGTACGCAAAGTACCACATTTTGATTGTTTTAATGTCATGAAACTACTTAGGTCACTGCGTAGATACACATTTTGAGTGACTTATGATATCCGGAAGGTCGTTTATAAAACTTACAAACAACAGGCGTCCAAGGTTAGAACCTTGTGGCACTTCTGATAAAGCCTTATATTCTTACAGTATGAATCCATTTATTGAGCAATTATCTCCATTTTAAATGAGGCAAGAAGGTTTAACAGTGAAAGCGCATAACATATTACCAAAACCCATTTTGAAATCAGTATTAAAAGTACTAAAATAAGTAAATTATATATATTTTAAAAAGTAATTCAAAACATTTTTAATAAAAATTATTGATATTGTCCCCTTACTCATGGGAAATGTGTATTTTCTCTACTGTTCTAGAAAGGACGAAATCTGAATTCAATCGGCGATTCCATTATAGCATTCCGACAAAAAAAAGACAAGATAGTTTTACTATTTATATTTTCTCGAACACCGTGTATAACTGCAAATTTAAATGTCACTTTATTTTTTTTTAGAAAACAAAAGCATATATAAATCTACTGCATAAATTAATTCCAGGAAAGAAATATTTCTTTTGTGTTTTGTGCAATAAAAATACATTCCAGGTATATTTACATAATTTTTTGATACTGTATGTACCAGCAAGATGGATGAAGCTGTAGACTTGATCACTGGCATCACTGCGGATGAAAGGAACAAATATTATCACGAAGGAGGAAAGCTGTTATCCAGGCCTTTGCCAGGAGACGAAATTGTCATTTCAGGTAGGGATTTGTTACTTTAAACTTAAGCTGAGTTCCAAAATTTTTTAAAAGAAGAATTTGCTTGCCTGAAGTATATATTAAAATTTTCCCATGAATTTAAGAGTGTTAAACTTTCAGTCTATATTTTGAAAATAAGTAGTAGTAGTTTATTGGAGGTGTTTTTACTCTTGTATTTTTATTTTTATTGTAAAGGTATTCAAAAATCAAAATATTTTTCGGTTCTTAATCTGGAAACTAGATAATCAAAAATTTTTATGTCCGATCGAGATAATCTCCGTAATAATTTCGAGTAATTGTAATTTTTCATATAAGGATGTTTATAAAATCAACATTCTATATTGGGATTAGTGTATTCCTAACTTTTCATCCCGATAGTACTACAATCTCGACTTATACAATCTCTGTTTAAAATGTGACCCTAAATAAAAATTTTGGAAAAGTGGGAAATAGAAATAAAGAAAATTTTCGTCTAAAAATGCACAGGGAAAAGGTAAAAGCCTGTGCAAAATTTTCACTGGATGTCTTAATAAAAATATATTTTTAATGTATTTTCGAAACCCTGTTTTTGAAAAAAAGAGACTTAAAGGAAAAGCGGCATAAGAAAGGTCCTATTTTTTTTATATAAAATTGTTTGTCACCCTGTATTCGTATAAAAATATTCAAAAAGGCAACAAGGGGCACAAAATAACAAAACTTTTTTGCGAACCTATAAATATTTATAAAAATTACGAATTCACAATTACATTACATCATGTTAAATATATTGACAATTTATTAGATAACGCTATATTGAAAACAATGAGCGATTTGAATTTTGATAAATATGAAACAAAGTTTTAGGTGATGTCGTTATTGACATTAGTCATATGTACATATCTTCAAATAACATGGTTGTTCAAATACAGGGTGTCCGTAAATTTCACCGACAACGTTTGACTGCATATTCACCACGATAAATAAATACGATCTACGAAAAAAAGTTGAATAAAAACTTTTTGGTGTTTGAGTTACAGGCCTTCAAAGTTGTCAAAAATAAAACTAATTTAATTAATAACTTCATTCATAACCCTTTTACCGATCGCGTTAAAATTTGGCACATTTATTTAGACTATTATGGCGTATTATTTCATATACTGGGTGATAGTTTTCTCCAGTTACCTCTCCTTTTTTCGATCAAAACTTTTACAGTGGTCGTATTTTCTTTTTAAACGGGCAGCAACATTGAAATGGTCGTTTTATTTAAAAAAAATATTGTCTCGAGAAAATCGCCTATAGAAAGTTAATCTTGAGAAAAATGGCATTATTTGCAGGTCTGTACTTTTCGGTTTGCGCAGCAGTGTCATAAATTTAAAACTTTGAGTTCAGTAAGCAATGAAAACAGGATGTTGATTGCTGTGCATGGCTATCAGGTAATGTCATTATTGTCGTGCTTCTTTAGGATTCTCATCACTCCACACATGCAAATTATGAAAATTTACAACTCCGTTCCTTGAAATTTGCCGACACCCTGTATAATGATAACCAAGAAAAGTTATAGAGAAAAATCGATTTTCAACTCTCAACTTGAAAAGCTAACAGATTATTTTTGCAAGATATACGCAGCTCCGAGAGACTACCTACCGTGTTCTGGACATCGCATCCTGTTTAATTTCTAAATGTTTTAAACTAAACGAAAAACGATGTTTGTCTTGACTTTCACCGATAGGTATGGCCGGTGTTTTTCCGAGTTCCACCAACATCTGCGAATTGAGGGAGAATCTATTCAACAAGGTGGACATGGTGGGCCCCAACACCAGATGGTGGCAGTGGAGTTATCACCAACAAGAACTACCTTCTCGCTGTGGTCTGATTTCGGGACTTCACAAATAAGACGCCGGATATTTCGGTAAGGAATAACCACCTCAGTTGAGGTATTGTTGAATTATGCGACTACCAAGTCCCAAAACAATGATGCTCCGGTTTATATGTATTTTAAAATTGTAAATGAATACCGACAGTGATTTTTAAAAATAATACTCGTTCTTTTAGTTTATTGTATCTACAAGAAGTGAAGGTAATTATTTAGTATAGTGGCACCTTCCCAAATCTTCACAAAATATTGTCTACCCCTTTATTTTCGATGCTGCTGAACACGAATCAGAAGTTATTTTTGTGCGGTCGAACCTAGCTTTCGAGAAAAAAATTTTTCAAAATTTTAACCTGGCTATTTCAGATAACACTACGTAGAACTCTGCATATTTTATGTAGCTTTCAGAACATCTGTTATGAACAATTAACACTGTTCATAAATTTATTTTGATCTAACATTTGATGCTGTTTCAAGAAAAAACAATTTCCTACTAATACATTTCTACATGTTAATTTGTCCTCAAACTGGAAGCATTTATAGCATCAGCTAGTTTCTCGTTTTCTAAAATCGTCTCGTGATTTCCCTCGAACAACCGAATCTCGACGGGCTTCTCAAAGAACTCTGACAGTCCGTAGTCATCCGCGATATTTTGTATAATGGAAGCAGTTGCTTTGAACAGGTTTATATTGGACCTTAAATTCCTGTAGGAAGGCACATAACTATCTATACATTTCATCCGCTTGTAGATGGTGTTGGCAGCCATTCCTAGTTAGCTCGCCTTGATCGGAGCGTATTTTTTAACCAAATCGACTGCAAGATTTACCTTGTCTTCCCACCTTTAGCATTTACATATATTCATCTGAAAATAAAAGATCCATAATAACGAAGTTATAATACTGTTCTACTTTCACGAATATAAAAAGTTTTACCTTATGTTTAGCAACTTCACCATGCGGTATACAGCGGCATAATAATTGGAAAATTAAAGTAATCTGCAGGAGATGGTCAGATTCCTCAGTCAAATTCTTTATTAAAGTCTTCAAAACAAGGGGCGCACCGTCTATACATATCATAGTTCCCGTGTAACCTTTACTTTCTAATATGTTGACTATTTCCGCTGCTATTAGCACACCGAAGGAATAACCCACAATCGTGAAGGTTCATCTTTTGTCAACAGCTTCGCTACCACCTAGAATAAAAAGCACATCAATAAATTCGTGTTAATCGATATAATATCTTACAGGCGCTAGAGATTCTACGATCTTTGAGACAGTGAGAGTTCGGCCATCTGCTGGATATTGTAAGGCCACGGCACCGTCTAGCACGTTCGTAAGGTTTCCAAATACATTGGCAAATCCTTCAATACCAGGAAACAAGACTATTTTAGCCGGCCCCGAATTTTCATCTAGCTCAGGTACTACACGAACGCTTGATATTTCGCTATCTAGTTCTTCCTCCGACAATTTAAAAATCAATTCTATTTCAAAGTCTCGCTTCGCGCTGTTATGGCAAAATCCTAATTTCTCTTCTTGAAGCTTCTTCAACCTAAAAAGACGAAATTCAATAGTTAACATTACACTGAGAGAATTTGTTCGTTACGGTTAGTAAAAATCCATTAACCGTAGCAAAATATATGCATTAAATAGGTGCCAAGTGAGTTGCCTTCCTACCACAAGAAAAACTGCTTTGCTGGAAGGAACTCACTTGCAGTAAGTAGACAGTTTTGCTATAATCTCTTTGCTACCTCAAGTAAGTCAACTCATTAACCACAAACGACTCAACTCATTAACCCCAAACGAGTGAACTCATTAACCCCAAGCGAGTCCTCATTAATCCTAAGCGAGTCGACTCATTAACCCCAAGCGAGTGAACTCCGTATTTACTATTTTTCGGTGTTGTTGGCTCTCCTCACTCTTTCGTGCACCATGCAATGCAACTTAAATGTTGTACATATTTTCAAACAAGCATAAAATGAAAATCCCCATTCGAGAAGTAAGAGTTTGTATCCAGCCTGCATTGTGTGCATGTAATCACGCATGCATATAAGTATTATTGCATACCTACGCAAATACCCTAATTGAAAACTTTCTGTCGGTTGTTAGACAACTGAAAACTGACTCAACACTCGATCACAAAACATCTATTTATTATAAAGGATCCATCCACTAACGATTGCACTGAGAGAATTTCTTTGTTACGGTTAGTAAAAATCCATTAACCGTAGCAAAATATCTGCATTAAATAGGCGCCAAGTGAGTTGCCTTCCTACCACAAGAAAAACTGCTTTGCTGGAAGGAACTCACTTGCAGTAAGTAGACAGTTTTGCTATAATCTCTTTGCTACCTCAAGTAAGTCAACTCATTAACCACAAACGACTCAACTCATTAACCCCAAACGAGTGAACTCATTAACCCCAAGCGAGTCCTCATTAATCCTAAGCGAGTCGACTCATTAACCCCAAGCGAGTGAACTCCGTATTTACTATTTTTCGGTGTTGTTGGCTCTCCTCACTCTTTCGTGCACCATGCAATGCAACTTAAATGTTGTACATATTTTCAAACAAGCATAAAATGAAAATCCCCATTCGAGAAGTAAGAGTTTGTATCCAGCCTGCATTGTGTGCATGTAATCACGCATGCATATAAGTATTATTGCATACCTACGCAAATACCCTAATTGAAAACTTTCTGTCGGTTGTTAGACAACTGAAAACTGACTCAACACTCGATCACAAAACATCTATTTATTATAAAGGATCCATCCACTAACGATTGCACTGAGAGAATTTCTTTGTTACGGTTAGTAAAAATCCATTAACCGTAGCAAAATATCTGCATTAAATAGGCGCCAAGTGAGTTGCCTTCCTACCACAAGAAAAACTGCTTTGCTGGAAGGAACTCACTTGCAGTAAGTAGACAGTTTTGCTATAATCTCTTTGCTACCTCAAGTAAGTCAACTCATTAACCACAAACGACTCAACTCATTAACCCCAAACGAGTGAACTCATTAACCCCAAGCGAGTCCTCATTAATCCTAAGCGAGTCGACTCATTAACCCCAAGCGAGTGAACTCCGTATTTACTATTTTTCGGTGTTGTTGGCTCTCCTCACTCTTTCGTGCACCATGCAATGCAACTTAAATGTTGTACATATTTTCAAACAAGCATAAAATGAAAATCCCCATTCGAGAAGTAAGAGTTTGTATCCAGCCTGCATTGTGTGCATGTAATCACGCATGCATATAAGTATTATTGCATACCTACGCAAATACCCTAATTGAAAACTTTCTGTCGGTTGTTAGACAACTGAAAACTGACTCAACACTCGATCACAAAACATCTATTTATTATAAAGGATCCATCCACTAACGATTGCACTGAGAGAATTTCTTTGTTACGGTTAGTAAAAATCCATTAACCGTAGCAAAATATCTGCATTAAATAGGCGCCAAGTGAGTTGCCTTCCTACCACAAGAAAAACTGCTTTGCTGGAAGGAACTCACTTGCAGTAAGTAGACAGTTTTGCTATAATCTCTTTGCTACCTCAAGTAAGTCAACTCATTAACCACAAACGACTCAACTCATTAACCCCAAACGAGTGAACTCATTAACCCCAAGCGAGTCCTCATTAATCCTAAGCGAGTCGACTCATTAACCCCAAGCGAGTGAACTCCGTATTTACTATTTTTCGGTGTTGTTGGCTCTCCTCACTCTTTCGTGCACCATGCAATGCAACTTAAATGTTGTACATATTTTCAAACAAGCATAAAATGAAAATCCCCATTCGAGAAGTAAGAGTTTGTATCCAGCCTGCATTGTGTGCATGTAATCACGCATGCATATAAGTATTATTGCATACCTACGCAAATACCCTAATTGAAAACTTTCTGTCGGTTGTTAGACAACTGAAAACTGACTCAACACTCGATCACAAAACATCTATTTATTATAAAGGATCCATCCACTAACGATTGCACTGAGAGAATTTCTTTGTTACGGTTAGTAAAAATCCATTAACCGTAGCAAAATATCTGCATTAAATAGGCGCCAAGTGAGTTGCCTTCCTACCACAAGAAAAACTGCTTTGCTGGAAGGAACTCACTTGCAGTAAGTAGACAGTTTTGCTATAATCTCTTTGCTACCTCAAGTAAGTCAACTCATTAACCACAAACGACTCAACTCATTAACCCCAAACGAGTGAACTCATTAACCCCAAGCGAGTCCTCATTAATCCTAAGCGAGTCGACTCATTAACCCCAAGCGAGTGAACTCCGTATTTACTATTTTTCGGTGTTGTTGGCTCTCCTCACTCTTTCGTGCACCATGCAATGCAACTTAAATGTTGTACATATTTTCAAACAAGCATAAAATGAAAATCCCCATTCGAGAAGTAAGAGTTTGTATCCAGCCTGCATTGTGTGCATGTAATCACGCATGCATATAAGTATTATTGCATACCTACGCAAATACCCTAATTGAAAACTTTCTGTCGGTTGTTAGACAACTGAAAACTGACTCAACACTCGATCACAAAACATCTATTTATTATAAAGGATCCATCCACTAACGATTGCACTGAGAGAATTTCTTTGTTACGGTTAGTAAAAATCCATTAACCGTAGCAAAATATCTGCATTAAATAGGCGCCAAGTGAGTTGCCTTCCTACCACAAGAAAAACTGCTTTGCTGGAAGGAACTCACTTGCAGTAAGTAGACAGTTTTGCTATAATCTCTTTGCTACCTCAAGTAAGTCAACTCATTAACCACAAACGACTCAACTCATTAACCCCAAACGAGTGAACTCATTAACCCCAAGCGAGTCCTCATTAATCCTAAGCGAGTCGACTCATTAACCCCAAGCGAGTGAACTCCGTATTTACTATTTTTCGGTGTTGTTGGCTCTCCTCACTCTTTCGTGCACCATGCAATGCAACTTAAATGTTGTACATATTTTCAAACAAGCATAAAATGAAAATCCCCATTCGAGAAGTAAGAGTTTGTATCCAGCCTGCATTGTGTGCATGTAATCACGCATGCATATAAGTATTATTGCATACCTACGCAAATACCCTAATTGAAAACTTTCTGTCGGTTGTTAGACAACTGAAAACTGACTCAACACTCGATCACAAAACATCTATTTATTATAAAGGATCCATCCACTAACGATTGCACTGAGAGAATTTCTTTGTTACGGTTAGTAAAAATCCATTAACCGTAGCAAAATATCTGCATTAAATAGGCGCCAAGTGAGTTGCCTTCCTACCACAAGAAAAACTGCTTTGCTGGAAGGAACTCACTTGCAGTAAGTAGACAGTTTTGCTATAATCTCTTTGCTACCTCAAGTAAGTCAACTCATTAACCACAAACGACTCAACTCATTAACCCCAAACGAGTGAACTCATTAACCCCAAGCGAGTCCTCATTAATCCTAAGCGAGTCGACTCATTAACCCCAAGCGAGTGAACTCCGTATTTACTATTTTTCGGTGTTGTTGGCTCTCCTCACTCTTTCGTGCACCATGCAATGCAACTTAAATGTTGTACATATTTTCAAACAAGCATAAAATGAAAATCCCCATTCGAGAAGTAAGAGTTTGTATCCAGCCTGCATTGTGTGCATGTAATCACGCATGCATATAAGTATTATTGCATACCTACGCAAATACCCTAATTGAAAACTTTCTGTCGGTTGTTAGACAACTGAAAACTGACTCAACACTCGATCACAAAACATCTATTTATTATAAAGGATCCATCCACTAACGATTGCACTGAGAGAATTTCTTTGTTACGGTTAGTAAAAATCCATTAACCGTAGCAAAATATCTGCATTAAATAGGCGCCAAGTGAGTTGCCTTCCTACCACAAGAAAAACTGCTTTGCTGGAAGGAACTCACTTGCAGTAAGTAGACAGTTTTGCTATAATCTCTTTGCTACCTCAAGTAAGTCAACTCATTAACCACAAACGACTCAACTCATTAACCCCAAACGAGTGAACTCATTAACCCCAAGCGAGTCCTCATTAATCCTAAGCGAGTCGACTCATTAACCCCAAGCGAGTGAACTCCGTATTTACTATTTTTCGGTGTTGTTGGCTCTCCTCACTCTTTCGTGCACCATGCAATGCAACTTAAATGTTGTACATATTTTCAAACAAGCATAAAATGAAAATCCCCATTCGAGAAGTAAGAGTTTGTATCCAGCCTGCATTGTGTGCATGTAATCACGCATGCATATAAGTATTATTGCATACCTACGCAAATACCCTAATTGAAAACTTTCTGTCGGTTGTTAGACAACTGAAAACTGACTCAACACTCGATCACAAAACATCTATTTATTATAAAGGATCCATCCACTAACGATTGCACTGAGAGAATTTCTTTGTTACGGTTAGTAAAAATCCATTAACCGTAGCAAAATATCTGCATTAAATAGGCGCCAAGTGAGTTGCCTTCCTACCACAAGAAAAACTGCTTTGCTGGAAGGAACTCACTTGCAGTAAGTAGACAGTTTTGCTATAATCTCTTTGCTACCTCAAGTAAGTCAACTCATTAACCACAAACGACTCAACTCATTAACCCCAAACGAGTGAACTCATTAACCCCAAGCGAGTCCTCATTAATCCTAAGCGAGTCGACTCATTANTGCAGGTATTGAATGTTGCGAATAATGATTAAAAAAGTAAATGGTTTTTAACATTTTATTAAAAAAAAATCTTCAATATTCTTATTTAACTAACTAGGAATGTTACATACGTATCATTAATAAAATAATATATTTTAAAATATCAAATGCAACTGTTATCGGATTAATTATTATTCACCCTATTGAATACAACAGTTTTTGGTGCCACGGTGTACATTTCCAAACAACACTCCCAGTCCGAAACATATCTAATTATTTGTGGTGGGGCGCGAGAGAACGAGAGCGACCCAACTAGTGGGGACTTTAAGATGCCCATCAGTGTACATCAATGCTACATCAAGCTGTTTCTAAACTACAGATGGAGTTCAGGTGGATGGAAGAAAAAAGAGTGGGGGGCCATCGCAATTCCATCGGCCTGTGGAGATGGATGGATTATTTTTGATGGATCGAGAATAAGGTTAGGTACCGTTGTTTACAAAATTCTATACAACTACAATCACTTTTTTATTTTTGTGCAATATGGATTTAATTAAAGTTGAGCTGAGCTATGAAGGAAAAGTATATGTAACTGAATTAACACCTACACAAGTAGAAATAATATCATCAAGTAAGTTTTATTAACTAAGGGTGACTAGTGTGTACCATGTTGCATTAATTTTCATTTTGTTGTAGACTCTGAGAAGTACCTCGACCTAATTAATACGTTGAGAGACCAATCTGTATCTACTAATCAAGTTACACAACCACAGAAGGAATGTGAAATTTTGAAACAAATGGAGAGCAAATGGACTGATCAAAGTATAAAAGCCATGTTGAGATTGCGGTTTGATATGGAAGGAGTTTTTAATAAACCATCTTAGAAAAAATGTAACTTGTGGCAAACTATAGCAGCACGCCTTAATGCAGAAGTAAATACAAATTTCAGTGGTGAGAACTGCAATGTCAAATTCCGAAACCTGTTACAAACATAAATATAACAAGCAAAAAAGGCATAATAGTACAGGGGAATCGTCGATAACATGGGAGTTCTATGATATGTTCGATGAAATTATGGGACACAAAGCTTCAGTTATGACCCCTAAGGAAATATTGTCAAAATCTTTATTTGATGCAGACAAAGTTATTGTAAATGATGAATCATTTAGTAGTCTTACTAGCGAGGCAGCAGAAAGTACAGAAACCGATGGCACAGTGGATAAAGAAGAGACGGGTCAGACTGCACGAAAAGATAGAAGCAAGAAAAAAAAGAAAAAGAAGATATGTCATTAGGAACATATCTGTTTGTGAAACATAAGAGAGAGGAAGCAAAAATAGCAATAAATAAAAAAAAATGGGATGATGAGCGACAGCTAAAGATATTAGAAATCGAGGCAGTAAATAATTTGGCAAAGGCAATTGCTTCAAGTAGAAAAACTAAAGAAAAAGAGATGAAGGTCATCTTCAGAATCCGATTAGTTTTTGCTAAAATAAAAAATAATGTATTTTTTTATGAACTTATTCAGAAGCACAAGCTTTGCTACATGTATGCAACCAAAGAATGATTTTTTAGTTCTATTATATACAGCTAAAACTGAAGTGATATATTTTTGTTAATGATTTATTTCGTTTATATTTTTTATTTTTAATAAAAAATTACTATAATAATGATTATTCTTTATTAAAAACAATTTACATATTTAACTGGTACATAATAGTTTCTTTTTGCTCGTCCTTCAGCATCTCCAAGGTCATCCAATTGAATTTCATCATTTTCTGCAACCTCTGGATTGTCTTCAATATTAATATTATGTTTTACATATTTCAACCGAATGTTGTGTAATATACAAGCACAAATTATCATATATTTCATATTTTGTAAGCGATACATGTTGAGGAATTTTAAGCGTCTCCAGCAACCCTTCAACATGCCAAAGGCTTGTTCAATTACAACTCTAGTTTTACTTAAACACATATTATAATTACGCTGCCTTTGAGTAAGGTGGCCATTATCTTTGAAGGGTACCATTATAAAGGTTTTGATGGGGTATGCTGAGTCTCCCAGTAAGTGAGAGTTTGCAGGAATGAAATTGAAACTGGAGAGTTTTTCATACAATGGAGATTCTTGCCACATGCGAGCATCATGCATAGAACCTGGCCAACCACAAGACACATCAATAAACTCTTTTTTGGCATTACATACGCCTTGTAGCAAAATAGAATGAGTACCTTTTCTATTATAATACGAATTATCATGGGAAGGAGCGGGTATATTTATGTGTGATCCATCAACGCAACCAATTACATTAGGGAACACATACCCCTGCCTAAGGTTTTTAAATTCTTCGATGGTAGCAAGAGCTTTGTCTCCTTGCAGCCAAGAGATGAATTTATCTGCATTATCATACAATTTTTTAACAACTAATAAAACAATCCTCCATGCTTGCGATCGACTGACTCCAAATCTATCTGCTATACCCCTAAAACTCTCCTGGTTAGCTAATGTCCATATTGTCAAAAGTATTGCATCTTTTATAGGGTATTGTGTGGGCCTTCCAGCTATTGTAATATGTTCAGCCCGTATTGTATCAACCAATACCTAAAAATTTTGATTGCATGCAGTTACAATGATTTTTATAATTTATGGTACCTACATCTATGCATTTCCTATTAACTCTGAAATGATTTTGAAAATCTTGATCGTCATAAAGATCTATTATTTGTCGATAAGTGGTGATTTTCACTCGCCTTCTTTTATCTTTTTTTTTATAATAATGATCTCTTCATCACTAGAGCTTTCATTGGTACTGCTACTGCGGAAAGTTCTCAACAGACGTAGTCCTGCTACTATGGCTATAGTTTCCATTTTTCGTTCATAAATTATATTTTTCAATCCAGTTACGACCAGCACAAAAAAAAAACAATTTTTGAGGTTAGACTCTCTGATGTATCGAACTGCAATCCACCAATGTGTTTCATAACTCCATGCCATTTTTTGGTGACGTCATCCATCCATCCGCTGGAAAGTTGTTGAATTATGGAATTTAACCAAAGTTACTATAGTTTGATTTATTAAATAGGTAATTTTTTTTTAGTTCAAATGTGTTTCTTGAACAATGTTGATTGTTTATTAGAGATGTTTTCAAAGCTACATAAAATATACAGAGTTCTACGTAGTGTTATCTGAAATATCCACGTTACAATTTTGAAAATTTTTTTTCTGGAAAACGGTTCGACCGCACAAAAAATTACAGATTCGTGCTCAGCACCGTCGAAAATAGAGGGGTAGACAAAATTTTGTGAAAATTGGAGGGTGGCACTATAGTAAATAATTACCGAAGTGAAATATGTAAAATGTAACACATGTAATGTACTTTCCGACAGATTCTTTTAATGTTCACTAAATTTTACAGTACTTATTTAAATTAGAAAATGTCGTGACCACCTTATTACACATAAATTTATTTTGATCTAACATTTGATGCTGTTTCAAGAAAAAACAATTTCCTATTAATACATTTCTACATGTTAATTTGTCCTCAAACTGGAAGCATTTATAGCATCAACTAGTTTCTCGTTTTCTAAAATCGTCTCGTGATTTCCCTCGAACAACCGAATCTCGACGGGCTTCTCAAAGAACTCTGATAGTCCGTAGTCATCCGCGATATTTTGTATAATGGAAGCAGTTGCTTTGAACAGCTTTATATTGGACCTTCAATTCCTGTAGGAAGGCACATAACTATCTATACATTTCATCCGCTTGTAAATGGTGTTGGCGGCCATTCCTAGATAGCTCGCCTTGAGCGGAGCGTATTTTTTAACCAAATCGACTGCAAGATTTACCTACCTTTGGCATTTACATATATTCATCTGAAAATAAAAGATCCATAATAACGAAGTTATAATACTGTTCTACTGTTTTACCTTATGTTTAGCAACTTCACCATGTGGTATACAGCGGCATAATAATTGGCAAATTAAAGTAATCTGCAGGAGATGGTCAGATTCCTCAGTCAAATTCTTTATTAAAGTCTTCAAAACAAGGGGCGCACCGTCTATACATATCATAGTTCCCGTGTAACCTTTACTTTCTAATATGTTGACTATTTCCGCTGCTATTAGCACACCGAAGGAATAACCCACAATCGTGAAGGTTCATCTTTTGTCAACAGCTTCGCTACCACCTAGAATAAAAAGCACGTCAATAAATTCGTGTTAATCGATATAATATCTTACAGGCGCTAGAGATTCTACGATCTTTGAGACAGTGAGAGTTCGGCCATCTGCTGGATATTGTAAGGCCACGGCACCGTCTAGCACGTTCGTAAGGTTTCCAAATACATTGGCAAATCCTTCAATACCAGGAAACAAGACTATTTTAGCCGGCCCCGAATTTTCATCTAGCTCAGGTACTACACGAACGCTTGATATTTCGCTATCTAGTTCTTCCTCCGACAATTTAAAAATCAATTCTATTTCAAAGTCTCGCTTCGCGCTGTTATGGCAAAATCCTAATTTCTCTTCTTGAAGCTTCTTCAACCTAAAAAGACGAAATTCAATAGTTAACATTACACTGAGAGAATTTGTTCGTTACGGTTAGTAAAAATCCATTAACCGTAGCAAAATATATGCATTAAATAGGTGCCAAGTGAGTTGCCTTCCTACCACAAGAAAAACTGCTTTGCTGGAAGGAACTCACTTGCAATAAGTAGACAGTTTTGCTATAATCTCTTTGCTACCTCAAGTAAGTCAACTCATTAACCACAAACGACTCAACTCATTAACTCCAAACGAGTGAACCCATTAACCCCAAGCGAGTCCTCATTAATCCTAAGCGAGTCGACTCATTAACCCTAAGCGAGTGAACTCCATATTTACTATTTTTCGGTGTTGTTGACTCTCCTCACTCTTTCGTGCACCATGCAATGCAACTTAAATGTTGTACATATTTTCAAACAAGCATAAAATGAAAGTTTGTATCCAGCCTGCATTGTGTGCATGTAATCACGCATGCATATAAGTATTATTGCATACCTACGCAAATACCCTAATTGAAACTTTCTGTCGGTTGTTAGACAACTGAAAACTGACTCAACACTCGACGAAACCATGGTCAGTATAAGGCACGCGTAATCGCGCATGCGCACTGAGCCGAATTCCGGTTTATTCTGGAAATTATTGAGGCCTCAGTTACAGTAGGTGAGCCCTAATTTGCTACAAATAAGGACTGACTAACCCAAAGACCTCAGAATGAGGTCGTTGGACTAACCCCAATTGGATCAATTCTAAAAAGGTACATTCACTTACCCGAGCAAAGCAACTCACTTGGGACAGATAGAGTCGACTAAAATAAAATTTCAACTGAACTATCATATAGCCACAAGACTTTTCTTTGTTGTGGTAGCAAATACGTTTCAGGAAAACGTATTTACTTGTGGCAGCATGAATTTTTTTCTGTGAGAGCAAAAATTTTACTTACTGTAGCTAAAATATCTTAGCAAAGCCCCTCACTTGGTGGATTTCTTTCAGTGTAACTTTCACCGTACACTGTAAAAAAGTCGGTGTGAGTGAAAGCAATAAAAATTCAGAGTGATGCCATTGAGTGAAATTGAGTATAATCGCACTCAATATTGAGCATTTTGTTAATTTTATTCATTCATGATAATATTTGAACTAAAAGCGAGTACTTTCACTCAAATATATGTACCCGTTAAATAAATTCTGCAGATAAACTCGTATTTGGTGCACTTGTAGCTAAATCGTAGTAAATGTCATCATTATTGAGTGCCCCACCCCACTCAATGGTTGTCATGTGTCTTTCTCTTCCATCGTCCCCATTAAATCATGTATGGCGTGTAATGGTGGACAAGTGTCCGTTAATCCGGTTATTTTGGTGAAAATTATGTTTAAACGCAATGGTTTGATTGGCACCTGGGACGGTGGGGCTCTGGAGCGCCGCGCCCCTTTGTCCCTTTTCATAGTACAAAATACTCAATAATAGTTAAATTTAAAGCATATTAAAGAAAATGGCAACTATTAATTTGTTTTAGGTACTCAGAATAAATTCAAAGGGCACTCACTTGATAGTCAAGAGTTCAGAGTCCGTGACCGAAAATATGTAAAAATGCCATGGTCTGCTTTATGGCGCAGACAACTTTTTGTGGGCCTGTGTAATTAATATTGAACCACCGTAGAAAATTACCTCGCTAGATTCATTCCTCTCAAGTCCTTTGTAGAAAGAAATATTCCGAAATCTCTCTTTAAAGTTACTTTGGCTTCCATGGTTGTCATTGAATCCATGCCAAGTTCGGTAGTGTGGAGTGTAGGCTGACGTATTTGGCATCCCGTAGTCCTAGAGAACGTTTATTAAATTGATAAAACATTCTCTACACTTTACCACTAACAAAATCGAAAAGCTAAAGACCTTATTTATTACCTAAAATATTGGTAAGTGCATCCACAATATTATCCGTAGATATCGGTTCCTGCTTGTTTGCCACCTCCATACTGGACACTACAGAGACTTCCCTTTGTGTCAGTAATGTATCCAAAACTTGAAGGCAGCTGGAAATCGACTGCTGTAAAGTTCCGCCTATCTCCACATCGCGATCTCCCATCATTTCGGCAATTATGCCGACCTAAGATTAATTAAGGTGTAATAATAATTTTGCTGCCACCAGTTAAAATATTATATTTTTACACATACATCACCAATTGCGCCCCATTCGATTGCCAGTGCCAGGTATCCGTCTCGTTTGCATTTCTCGCATACCCTTTCCATCACGGAATTCGCCATTGCATAGTTTGTTTGTCCAGCGTTGCCCCTTCCACCAACATAGGACGAAAATACAACAAAGTCTCTGTAAAATATACATATAACCGCAATAAATATTATTCAGACGAAATCACAATAACGTTACTTTAAATCAGGACAAATTGTTCTCGTAACGTCATCCAAGTGCCTCGTGGCGATAGCTTTGGGTTCGAAAGTAGCGGTAAATGATTTTTGTGTTTGATTTTCAAAAATCGCGTCTTCCAGTAACAGGGCTAAATTGAAAATAGCACAGATGCGACCTAGTCGGGAGCTTTCTTCAAGAAGTTGCTCACAACCCTCCCTTGTTGCCACAGGAGCGGTGGATATTTTGATGGTAACTCCGTATGACTCCCATAACCTATTTTAAAGAATAATTGGGTGTAAAGATTACCACTTCTTTAGAAAATCAAGTACAGACCGACACAAATAAGTTTGAACCTGACACAAATAGGCACTGGAGAAACAAGCTCCAGGTGTCCGCTATCCCAAATTGCTGTGCCTAGGTATGTCTTATTCCTTCAAACCGAATCAATCTTTGTCTGAGTCTAATGCAAACTTATTTGCGTCGGTGTACATATTGTTTATTTTTACTTTACTTTATGTGATTAAGCAAGTTTGAATATAGAAAGGGAAAGCTAAGAGTAACGGAGGAATGGTAAGGTTATTAAATAATGAGGATGAGAATACAAGATAATGAGGTGAGAAAAGCTGTGGTTCGAAATAAGCAATAAATAGGAAACACGGCGGAAAAGTATAAAAGTAAAGAAGAAAAAAAAGAAAAAGTATAATGAAACACTCGGAGAGAAATTATGAGATCATTTCAGTGAGTTACTAAATAGAATAACAGAGACCTATGATATAAGCGAGGATGAAGAACATGAAACAAATCAAAATGTAGAAGAAACTTCGACCTTAAGATAAGTGGAAGAAATAATTAGCAGTCTAAGAAACTATATAAATATAGAGGAAAAGCATTGTCTATGAGGATGCACTCTTTAGTAGAAAAAATATGGATTAAAGAAAAACAACCTATAGTTTGGAAAGAAGTAATATTTCTGTCGATCTATAACAAAGGTGATAAAACAGGATGTAAAAATTATAGGGGTACAGTTTTACTATATGAAAAAGTTTATGCATACAAAAACAAAAGTGATTAAGAAAATGGAAACAGAAATAAGAGATTACCGAAGCAGCTATCGGAAAGGTGGATTGGTAGTAGACCACATTTGTACTTTAAGAAACACACAAACAAAAAGTTGAAGTTACAAAAAAAAACAGGTTCTTTTCATAGATTTTAAACAATCTTGTAGTAGAATAAGAAGAAATAAATTGTATAAGACGTTGAGACAGTCAGCAACAGATGGAAAATTACTTAAGTTGATAAAAATTTACAGTTCAGAATTGAATAAGATGGAGAAACCTATTATCATCGTTACCATTCGGGGTATGTTATAAGAAAAGCTGATTTAAATAGAAACGGATTACTTTACCAAGAAGTTTTCAGCTCTTACAATTATTCACAAGTATTTTAAAAAAAATATCTGACGTTACCTAACTCTATAATGTTGATATCCGTTACTCATTCCTTTCCTTGACGTCAACACTAGCTTTCTGGCACCTCGCAGGACCAACCAATCAGCCAGTTCCAAACCGAAACCCCCTAAACCACCCACAATTATATACACTTTCTGGGGATCGCAATAATACCTGAAAATTTAAAATTATCGTCATTGTTCCTCATTAAACAAGTTCTTCGCCTACGTCTGCATACCTGGCTATGCCGCGCAAGCTGTGCTTAGGAGGCATTCCGACAAGGTGTTCTGCAGACTCTCGAACTTTGACCAACACTTTGCCCATATGTTTACCTGAGGCCATAAATCCAAATGCCTGTTCGATTTCGTCGCATTTGAAAATTTTCCTTTTTAAAGGGTTAACGCCCCCTTCCCTAATTAGTTTCTGGAACACCTTTCCAATTTCGCACTTTGTGGGTTCCTCGTATATTTGATCTAACATAACACCTTGAAAAGTAGCTTCCTTCATGAAAAGCAACAGGCTGAGGTGGTTGTTGCTCAACATGTCAAATTTTCCTATTTCCAGGAACCTGCCTCCTGTGGCAAGGCATCTCACTGATGCTACTAATTTGTCCTCTGCCAAGGAATTCAAGACCATATCAACGCCTCTGCCGTTCGACCCTTTGTGCACCATCTGTTCGAATGTCTCGTCATGAGAATTGCCAATATTTTCATCTAAAAATATAGAAATGTAACAAGGTAGTAAATCGTATACAAGATATCTGCTGTATAAATGCCATACGTTTAATATATTATATTATAGATGAAAATAAACAAAAGCCTAACAATCAGGTTACATAGGACAGTCTGTCGTTATCGAAATGAAGGATATTCAGTGAGTTCATTTAGCGTTCCTTATTCATATTCAGAAAGTATAGTAACAGTAAAACGCACATATCACTTGTTAGCGACCTGTGGACGCTTGTCAACTTACAGTCGTGTAATTTCAGACCCCTGATGTATCAGATCCATGTTCCCGTGCAGTTTTGCACATTCTGGGTTATGAGGTTACGAAGTTATGGTGCAATGAGATCACGTTTTCCAATCATTGATTACTCAAGCTGATTTGAAATCTCGAAAATCGCTTTCTAGAGAAGTGTCTCGATGCTAGGGTCAAAACACGAATTGACCCTGGAATTCTGACTCAACAAAACATTATAGGATAGACTAGTCTGGTCCACAGACTAACCCACTTTTTATGCTGTATGACCGTATACACTTTGCTTCCAAATTGCACAGAAAACATTTAGGTATATATTTTAAGTATCCTTGAAATAAATAAACTTAGAATTTATGCGGCACATAAGACTTTTGTGTTTATTTTGCAGTATTCTGTTACAACATATGGCACTTATACCGTGAATGTAAACCTGTCAGTTCCGGGTACGTTGTCTTAATGAAATCCCGCTTGGCAGAGTTGCCGACTGTAGTAAATATCTTGCATCCGTAATGAAGAGCGAGATTGATAGCAGCTTGGCCGACACCTCCAGTGCCAGAATGAATCAAAATGCTTTGGCCCTTCTTCATGCGGCCACACTGAAAGTAATATAAATTCAGAAAAATAATAGTTTATTTAAATAGGAGACTAAACCCACAGATACCGTTTGCATTGCATTTTAGGCATTAGCAACTCGTCAGTTCACCTGATTCTTTAAGAGTTTTATTATAATTACCATAATTAGGGCATAGATCGCGGTGGTATAGACTACGGGAACTGTGGCTGCTTCCTCCAGAGTCCAAGTATCGGGCACGCAATATATTTGAGACTTGTCAACTACCAGTAAGTTACTTAGACATCCTTTCGGGGAGATACCCATCACATGGCATCCCCTGAAAAAGAAGTACAAGGAGCTTTTAGTCCATATGCTTTTTTGAACAATTGCAATAAAGCAAGTGTAAAAGCAATATACACCAAGAAAAAATTGACATTGACAATTCAAGAGATAAATATCACTCAAAAAATCTATTTCTAGATACCAGTTTCGAAAATTTTCAGTTGGAAATTACCTCCTGTTCTTTCCAGAAAAATCAAATCCCAGAGGAAACCCTTGTTCCAGTCTATCGGATATTGAATCTATATTAATTTTTCCACTTGCAATCATAACATCTTTGAAATTTATGGAGGAATAGTATACCTAGATTAAAACGTTAAATTTTTAATATTGTGTTTGCAGTCTTTACTTACGTGTACCAACTCCTTCTCTGATTCCGGTATCGCATTGTGTTTAAGGGGACCCTGTATCCAACTTAAAGAGGACAAATCCCCTCTCGATGTAACATTCACAAAGCAGTGTTCGTTTTCTACAATATTCGAGCCCTCTAAGAGCAGATGCCTAAAAGTGCCCCATTGTCCGCCTTGATAAACGTTGATTGCCATGTTTTTCTTCAACTGACCACAGTTTGGTTTGAACTTTTCACTTTCATTCATAACAAAAACACATCTGACGTCCACGCTAGTCGATTCTTTCCTCAAAGAATTCACCAAGCCCAGAATTCCACTCGTTGGATTATTGGAATGAAGTATCAGATCCTCTTCCAAGTTCTTGCTCATGGCATCCTGCGTTTTCGCTAACCAAGGGAAGTTTTCCGAGGAATTTATTTCTATACATGCATGTGTTTTTCGCTGAGTGGACTTTTTCCGAAGAAGTAATATAGTTTCAGACGGTGTTTTGTGCATGGTTACAATTATAATGTCAGGATAAACGTCGCTTTTAATATTACAACAACGACTTTCACGGGACATGATGAAACCGTTTTCTTTTACAGCCGTGAAAGCTGACTTCATAACCTGCAACAGAATGGTATAATATTCATCACCATTTCATACATTGCTCTAACCTCAGGTCTTTGAATAACTTTGGAAGCGATCACAAGCACTGCGTTGCTTTCGGTTTCCAACTCTTTGTCTTCTACTTCTACGTCTACATCAAGATTATTTACACTCAGAATTTTAACAGAATGTTGTATTAGAGGCTCATCTCGTACAGCCGACTTTATAATAGGCGTTAAAAGCTCCGCTTTGTCATTTGAATATTCATCTACAAGCTCCACGGTTCTGAATTTACGTACCAACGAATTTTCTATGACTATTTGAACGTTTACTCTAACAGACTTGTGCAAATCTAATTCTGTGAAGTTGGGAACGAATTCACAGGTCTCCAATAAAGGCCGCTTTAAACTTTTCCTTCCTGCAATGGTACTAGTCGCAATTCCAGAAATGGTTATTCCTCCACATCTGATAACATTGTCATAAAATAATGAATAGAAGATATTTGGTAAAACCTACATTTTTTGATAGTTACAGTTTTGGATTTAGCAAATATTTTGATATGCAATATATAACAGTTTTCCTAACATAAAAAATTTAAAAATTACCGAGATGATCATTTTCTATAGGAAACCATGTATATATACTATAATATGCAGGACATAACTTTGAATGAGAGTAATTTTTATACAGGGCATATCTTTCACTTTCAGAAAGATACATATTATAAGTTTGTTTTCTCAAATTCCATCATGAAGGCAACATTTATTAACCTTCTTAGTAATTTTTCATACCCCGCTGCTGGACAAACTAGTGTGACCTCAAACAAACGGCGTGAGTTAGTCGCAGGGCATAGATACACACTTGGGAACTACGGTATGCACTATTACCAAAGGTCATAATTTAAAGAAAAGGTGGAGAATTTTATTAAAAAGCAAATTTCAACACCACCCTCCACAAGGAGCCCTATAAACGAAAATTTAATTATTTTAAATAAGATGAACCGTGAAACAGTACCTAACAAGTAATCTAACGGAAAACTCATAAATAAATAATTATAAATGAAATACATGAAAATAGCATATCAGCATATGACATACTTGAAATCTTGTAGGTAATCTTCTAGTACTGGCACCAGGATCTCCTTCTATGGCATTTAAAATTTCTGGCAATACGAACCAATCTAACAAACATTTTCATTTCGGTCCATGTCGGTTGGGATAAACCATTTGATATTGTCTTCTTGCAGAAGCATTGATTTCTCCTGACAAAAGTAAGGCTCTAAACATTTTTTCTCATATGTACTACACAAAAACTTGGAATTGAAAAAATAAAAGTAACTTATAAAGTTAGATAGATACTTAAAACTACACAAAGACACTTTAAAAGCACATTCTCGTAAACCATTAAACTGAAAACTGAAGTAAATGCAATAAAATGAAGCGGTGACGACATATTCGGTCGTTTTAAGCGTATATGTAGTCCAGCAAATATACATACACAACAGGTTATGTTAAATACTCCAGAGATACACCACAGGTGGATTTGCTGTGGTTTTGCTACATTAGATTCATACGATTTGTGCAGAGATATCTAGACTCCATTGCTCTTTGTAATGTTTCGGATCAAGATCGAAGTCTGCTTAAATTGTGGAGAGTGGTAATTTAGTTGTGGGTAAGGATTTGCGATTAGTATTCTAAGGAACACACACTATTACCCCTAAAAAATGAACTCCCATTTAAAGTTACGTCCTGCAAAGATCTGTCCTTACGTTATTTCTCCTGTGGTTATATCGCTGTAAACCGGCACAAGTGGAGCCGTCTCTTCAAGTGTTTCTCTTATCAAGTCACAATGAATGTCCGCAGCTATTTTCACTTGAGAGATAAATATGGGTACTTGCAACAATCTACTGTCGTTCTGTAAAATCTTGCATTGCATCACAATGTCCAAGAACGTAATCCAATTAACTTGCCACTTCACGTATGCCGTGGAAGCACTGAAGTCATATTCTTCAATCATGCGAAATTCTCCGCTGCAAAGAAAGTGAATGAATTTCATGTTAAGCATGAAAAAAATTTTAGTAACGTAAAAATAATGAAAAAAAAAATGGTAATTTACCTATAGTAATACCCTCTCAAGTGTAACTCTTTGTACACCTCCATTTTGCTCAACTTTTTACCATGGAATTCTGTCAAATCTGGGAAAGCAAAGTTCCAGGTCTTTTTTTCATCTTTCGGTAAAAAGTTTATAGTGCCGGTGACTACAGTGGAATTGCTTTCAACCACTTCGAATTCCCCGCTACTCAAGATGGACACTGTGAACACTACCCAGCCTTTTGTTGGCATACTGGTAGCCCTGAAGAATTTACAATTCCTCAGTGAGACTCGAAAAGCCTTCAGAGATACACCGTGCGCGATTGCGAAAGTTTCCCACACTAAGTACAGGTATCCCGTAGCAGGGAATAAAACTCTCCCTAAAATGTGAGTTAATATAATACATAAACAAGATCTTTTAAGTATGTTGTTATATTAAATACCATTCAAGAATGTGATATTATTCGTGAACTTCTCTCGAAAACTAAGTCTTATATTTGTAGAAACTATTTTCTTCAGTTTCATTTCACGTCTTACCTCCTATTACATGCCCAGCCCACTGAGGATCGGCCAAATCAATTCTGTAATGTTTGATTCCTTGTATCGTCTGCTTTACGTGGTCTAAATGAAACTGCGGTACGAACCATTCTGCAGAGTGATTCCACCTGATGTAGGGAGAGATCATGGGGGTGCCTCTGCTAACCGGGAAATCTACTCGTGGATACAGTTTGTGGACATGGGGATTGTAACCCTTAATATACAAGCTGCAATAAAGACGGTTAATATTTAAAGGCAACTCTTTACAGAAACTTCAGAACCTTCCAGAAACTCCACAAGATTATGACCACTGTTACCTCCAAAAAGAGAGATTATGGTAAGTTCTCTATTGTTACAAAGAGGAAAATCGCCTATTTTTAATACAGCACAGTTCGTTTTCATGTCATCGATGTCACTGTGACAATTTTTTGTCAAAGCTCTGATCAAACCAGCTGATTTAAACTGATTTTCCCACCTTGCACTTCCAGATAGTTCTTCTATTAGGCTTTTTAGAACTCCACCTAGAAAACATTTTTTAATTGCAGATCGACATATTTTATAAAGACGTTACCCTTTGAACAGTGGTCATTGTGATTTACATTTAGTGGTGTGTGACTTCTCTGAAAGAAAGTGTATTAGGTTTCTTGAACTCTGCTCGCTTTAATATGTTTTCATGCCTTGAGTGGTTGAAGTAACCTGGTATCATTTAAAATAACATGGTTTAAGGTACAAGCGCAAACGATCGTTTCGTCCAATGATAAAGCATTATTGTAATAAGCAGAAACTAACTCTCCAACAGAAGATCCAAAGCTGCCACTGCATTCGAGGTTTATTGAATTCAAAAGGTGTACCAGAGCAATTTGGACTGCTACTGGACCAAGTACTGGGATGGAATCTTTATCGGACATCTGCTTACCAAGGAGTACATTTGAAAGACTGATGTCCTTGTCTGTTAAATTATCTTGCGTTAAGATAGAGTCGTAAAACTTCGGCAAAATCATTAGTTGCCTGCCAATTTCGTACCAGTCATCTAATTCACCAAAGGCTAAATATAGATTATTGCCCTGTTCTGGGCAAAACGCAGATGTTTTCGAGAGTCCTTCACATTGTGACACTATAGTATATCCTCTGTATAGATGGTTTTGTATGTTCTTCCTACAAATTATCGTTATATTCTTATTTTTTTATAAAACGTTTTCACCGTTTTACCTGAACACTTCGTGCAATAACTTGATGTACTCGGCATCCATCCCGTTAGAGTCAATTTGATTTACTAATGCAGTAATAGCTTCTTCCGTCCTTCTGCTTACGCATACCAATCTGGGCAGGTTATCTTTAGATATAGACTTCCGCTTTAGATTCCTTCTCAATAATACATGAGCATTTGCACCACCAATACCAAAACTGTCGACAGCTGAAAAAAAATTAGTATACCCGAGAAATTTGTATATGAGTTTTGCAATATTATTACCCATTAAAGCATTTTCTTCTTCTATAGGGGTTTTGTCCACCACGACTTTCATTCTGCCCTCTACTAGCCCCCTGATTTCATTATTGGGTGTCTCGAAGTGGATATTCGGAGGAATACAACCACTTTCCATTGCCAGAACGCACTACAAGAATTAATTATTTGTCAATAAGTAACGTTTTATGCCGCACATACCTTTATAATGGAACAAAGACCCACAGTTGCCTCCGTGTGCCCCATATTGGATTTAAGGGATCCTATCAAAAGCGGTTTCTTCCGACCGCTAACGAGGATGCTATCGATAGCGTCACATTCTTGTGGGTCTCCTGCCTTCGTTCCTAGTTTGGTAACCAAAAATTTTAGCAGTAATCAATCTATGAATTTTTAGAGCTCTTTTACCTGTCCCGTGAGCTTCTAGGAAACTCAAACTGAACCTGTCTACGTCACAGTCCCTGTAAAAATCACTCAGCAGGTCCATTTGAGAATATTTGGACGGGAAGTGATTCCTTGTTCTTTGAACCCGTCACAGTTTGTTTTGGCATGGACTACTTGAGCATACGTCCTCTTTGAATCCTTTGCTTTTTGTAAAACCATTACCGCTATGCCTTCCGACCTAACATAGCCGTTCGCTCGCGTGTCAAAGGATTTACAACAGCCGTCCACACATAATGTCCCCAGCCTAAAATTTGTAATCTGCTGTAATACTAATATTTAAATCTGAAACCTCGATAATTAAATTGAGCAAAAGGCAAATCCCAAATTAAAAACATATTTCAACCTTAATGCCAATCTCGCAATAGTACCTACAGTAAAAATTGCAGTGTCATCAGCGGCTGCAAACATATATGAGTTTCTCCTACGATGGCGTTATCGATTTCTCTCAGTCTGATGGCTCTGTAAGCGTTTTCTAATGCATAACAAGAACTACTGCATGCCGAGTCCAAAACAACAGAGGGTCCTCTCAATTTTAAAAAATAACTAAGGCGATGTGCTATCATGGATCTTTCACATCTAAAAATTTCACAATTTAACGTACATTACTTAAATTGCCATTTTAATGTTTAAATTAAAATTAAAGCGTACCCAGCACTGCAAAGGTCTGTGGACTCAAATTGTCGTAGTACCAGGCTTTGTCGTTTTCGTTGGAATAGACACCGACATACACACCAGTCCTGGTCCCCTCTAGCTCTGAGGGGTGCAGACTTACATCGAGGATAGCCTCTACGGCTTTTTCATGGAAAATTCGAGCCATCGGATCCATTGAGTGGCCCTGTCTTTCACGGACACCTAAAACGAAAGTGGGTAAGCCTTATGTAGGTTGTGACAATGTACCTATTAGTTCTTCACAACCACACTTTCTTGTTTTTCAATATCACGGTCACACGTCAAGGGCCCTAGCCGGCGGGGCCCATCCAGGACAAAAGGAGATCCCACAAAGCGCCTGCACCGGCCGCATTTGCTGTTGGGGTAGACGACGGATAGGGTCCACTTACGAAGGCTGTCCAGGCCTACACGAGATGAGGCAGGATAAAGAGGGATAATCCCCCTCGATCCCAAATCATTGAGGCCAATTTCTAGCCGGTCACACGTCGTACCATGGATTTAATATTATTCTATATTAGATCTATGCGTCGTATCTAACACCTAACCTAAACTACTAAACTAGAATAACCTGTAATCCCCCCTCCCCCCCCCACCCCAAAAAAATAATCCAATAATGTCATCTTTCTCATTTCGGTAAGTTGCTGACTGCGTGACCTTTTTGTTTAGAATTAAACGAAAATGTGTTTAGGTTTTGACATTTTACATCGGTAAGTCGCTGATTGCTTGAGGTTTTTTTTTGCCTCCATAGAGCTCGCAGCCCTGGGTCCACAAAGCAAAAATCTTACCTACGCCCATGCTCCGGGATATGCCTAAGAATCATTTTTATTTTTTCCACTTCAACACCCTGTATCTCGAAAACTATGCGTTTATATGTAAAATTGTTCGTGACTATATTCCCCTTCCCCATTAATTTTCGTCGCAGAATCTAGTGGAAAAAACATGAACAACAAAAAACGAAGAACTTCAAGCAACATGAAGAAAAAGGAACTACAAAACGACAAGATACAGCCATAGAACGACGAACAGTGATATAACAGTTACTATTTATGTTAGCGAATAGCGCATCAGACAATGATATACAGAGTGTTGTAAACTTGGGGGGGGGGACCCCCCCAAGCTAGCCACCCCCGACTAGTATGAAATAAAATCAGCATAAAAAAAATCTTAATGAACATAAAAATTAGGTTAAATAATGCCCAGAAATAAATTTAAAATAATTCGTGCTACCTACTTTTATTTGAAACATTTTTTTTATATTATAGATGTTATTATAGTTACCAGTCTGAAGTAAGACTCGTCAATATTATTATCGTAAAAAAATATTCTATCATCAAATATGACATAAGGGGTGTTGCTGCTTTTTTTATTTCACATCTATAATTAGAACGAAGATAACGATATAGCGCCGATTTAAATTTTGAACATTCTATATATATTGATATCTGCAGCGAAAATCTGCGCCTGCGCTTCCATGTTCCCGATAAATTTTATCGGTAAACTCTACCCTCCAAATCAGTGTATTACACCCTCCCTCCCCTGAAGCTGCTTTGATGTGTACCACACTCTCGATTACGTATAAGTGATTTGTTCACATTTTTGGCGGAAATTAAATATTTTTGTGTACATAGAAACTTTCTAAAAGCGAATAATCGTGATATGTGACAAAGTTTAATCAGTGTTTTAATATAACTGTCAGCTCGCTAACGCTCATTTAAAAAGTATTTTATTTTATTTCACTTGCGATTTGACTACATCTTTAATGTAAGTAAAACTTAATATACATATTTATACAGGGTGTCCCGTTTATACTTCTTTAAACTCTGGGTGAGTTTCTCTTGGAAAAACAGTGAGAGTAGTTTATCTACCGTTTTTTTCTCATTAATGTTGAGTTTCCGAAAAACAGGGTGTTAAATTTGTTACTTTAAAAAAGGTTTTTCTTAATTTTCTTCAAATGGACTAAAGATAAAAATGTCGAAATTTATACGCGAAAAAATATCAACTGCCTTAAGAAAATTGCGCAAATCATTTTATTCCTAAATCAGTAGCGTGGATACGGGTAGTTTGAGGGATATAATTGAAGGAAAAATATGTTCAAAATCAAAATTTCTTAAATATTCAGAAGTAAATTTTAAAATGTTAACATCAACATTTCATTATAATTCGACAACATAAATTTTAACCCGCTAAATGGTGTCAAAGTTGGCGATTTTCCCAATACCTCTAAAACGCTTTGTTCGAATACAATAAAATTTGACATGTTACAATAACAGAAATAATTTCGTTTACTGAAACGGTAAAATTACCTTCATGCCTAAGCAGATTTGTTTAGATATATATTTTTTATTTCTTTAGTTCTTAAGATATAAAGATGAGAACTCATTCAAGATTTTTCTTGTTTTTTGTATTTCTTATGGTCATCACAACTGTAATAGTTTTTGACCAAAAAAAATATTTGTTTCCATCTTCATCTGCACTGGATATTAAAATGAAAATTAGTAGGTGGTTGTCCAGATAATCGCTTTTTTGTGCTTTGTTGACTCAATGTAAATATGCAATTTAAGAGAAAAATAAATACAATATTTTTCTCTCCCCTTTTGAAGGAGCATAAATCCGTAAGACGAAACGGAGTTTTTTTTATATGAAAAACACCTCCCCTGCTAGGGCAAACTAGGGTTTGCAACTAAGATTGTATTTAAATTTTCCTACAGTCATGCCAAAAAGACAGATTTTAAAATTTAAAGTCAAAACTGACTATTTACATTGGGTAAAAGTTGCCTTAGTAATAGTGCAGTAATAACAAAAAACACGTCATCTAATCCAATTTTTATATTATTAACATTTTATTGGAATTACTTAACAGAATACTGTGAAAATTTTACTAAATTAATTCAAAGCACGGTGACTAAAATCTAAAAATTTCTGACAGCAAATCTAACTTAGCATTCTTGGCAGCGTTTCAGCAGCATGTATTTTTAATCCCCCCTCACCCGTTTTGGTTTTGTTATTATTGGGACACCCTGTATGTTTCCTCATAAATAAAATTCTTCTCTTTTCTCTAATGTCAATTTTGTCGGATATACTAAAAATAGCAGATGCAAGAGTTCTAGCAGATCAATATTTTATCAAGTGGTAGGATTTAAATATCAGTTCATAGATAGATGATCATAAGCTTTGAAATATTAAGCGGTTTTCCGCTTTGCTGGATATGCGACCCTTTGTATATATACGTACATATATGTGTTTGTTAAGTATTATCTCGACTGGCTAGTTAAGAACCGAAATTTTATACATAAAGTACATTTTCAAGAAATATATTTCTCTTTGTCATGAATTAAAAATTACTAGATATAAGAAGCTGTTAATTAGGAAGAAACATTCCAGAAAACCTTATATTTTTTACTTAGAAGAGGCCCCTCAAACCAAACAATAATATACTGGGCGTAAAAAGATTTAAAAAAATTATTTGTTGAAGTGTGTTGTTTTTTTGGCGCTTTTTTTACTTTACTGTACTTTGACACTTTTCGTGACCTTCACTGTTTTTGAATTTGGCTAAAAAGCACTGTGTTTTGGCCACAAATCCTTAGTTTATCCTGGGCGATATTAACTCTAAATTGATGATCTAGTTCTGAGCCATATCTCACAAGAATCTATAACAGTTATGTTACTGATGATAAAAAATGTATTTGTTTAACAATGTGCGGTTTTGGAATATGCAGTTGAACGTATATAATACAATCCTAGGGGATGCTTGGAGTCGTAGTTTGTACTAGTCAGGACCATAGCCTTGGTTACTTATCAGGGAAAAACCAGGCATGATATTCGAACATGCTTCGGAATGGTTCCACCATGTCTTGAAGTGATTCTTCTGTGTGGTTTCTGACATTTAGCCTCTTTGGATCAAGCGAAAATCTTATATTTATGTAAAACTTAAATCTTGACCTTTTATTCCAGCTCTATTCTTGTGACATTCTTCGAAATTCTCGAAAGTGTCGTTTGCTGTGACTTAGACTTGGAGTGAATTCCAAACATAGGTAAACGTTATAATTTTACATCGACGTTGTCTGGGTCCATGTTCTACTCTGTCGGAGTGGTTGTAGAGCTGTTTAGAGCTGTAGGAGTGATTTCTGGTGTGGGATTCAGAACACAGTCGATTTTTTAATAACAGCACTCGCAGAGGCAAAGTTTGAGTAGAATAATATTAGATTTAAAATGCATTAGCGGTTCTCGATTAAAAAATTATAAAAATAATATTTTCCATCAACTCAAACGATAAGTTGGCATATTTGTCATTAAATTTTTCAACTTTATCCTAATTTGAACGATCCTGCATTCTTTACAATAGCCGAGGTTCCCACTTGAAAAAAAAAAAACGAGGTATACTAAGGTTGTATTTCCAGTCAATATTCTGAAAAACGCAATGAGATTATGTTCTATGAAAAACTTAGTTTCAGATTCCCTAAGGACATGGAACTGTGGATTTATAATTAGAAAACATGGATTTGACCAGTTGGGTTCAACAGGGATTTTGAGAAAAATTATATCAATGAATTTAAAAAGAAATGGACACCTGAATTATTTCTTTAGATGCCTATTTATCTATGGTCGAAAAAGGTGAGTATTTAAAAGTTAGCCGCTAATTGCAACCTTTATAAAGATTTTGTTTTCTTCGAAAAGACGTTTTTTTTTTCCAGAAATGAAGCAATGCTGGGTGCAGAAAGCAGAACAAAATGAATATTTCAGACTACTACTACTGGACCCTGTCAAATTTCAGTTACAACGTAAACAACTGGACAAATTCTAGTCCGGAATACGCTAATGCTTGGAAAAAATGGACAGAATTAATTGAAGATAGAGCTGTTGTTGTTAGTTTACTTTTGTTATTCTCGGCTTGTACAGTCTTTGGCAATATGCTTGTTATATTGGCTGTAATAAGGGAGCATTACCTACACACAGCTACAAATTATTTCATTACATCCTTAGCTGTTGCCGATTGTCTAGTAGGTTTAGTAGTGATGCCTTTCAGCGCTCTGTATGAGGTATTAGGACACACCTGGTTCTTTGGAGCTGACTGGTGCGACGTCTGGAGAAGCTTGGACGTTCTGTTCAGCACTGCCTCCATCTTAAATTTATGCGTCATTTCCTTGGACAGATATTGGGCTATAACCGATCCTATGACGTATCCAATGCGTATGACAAAAGCTCGGTCTATTTTCCTCATCGGTGCTGTGTGGGTTTGCAGTAGCGCCATTTCTTTCCCGGCCATAGTATGGTGGAGAGCTGCAAGGACGGAACCCATTCCGGTTTTTAAGTGTCCATTCACCGAACATCTAGGCTATCTAATATTTTCTTCCACTATTTCCTTTTATTTGCCGTTATTTGTCATGGTTTTCACCTACTATAAAATCTACAGAGCAGCCGCATACCAAACCCGTTCTCTCAGGCTCGGCACAAAGCAGATATTGCTAGGATCTGGACAATTAGAGCTAACTTTAAGGATTCACCGAGGAGGCACTTACTCGGTATCGGAGCCTCATCACTTGTACTCTGCGCCAGAAATTGAACCTCTAACAGTTCCTCAGTGTAATGGACTTTCAAGAGTGCCTTCGACCCGTTTCAATAATAACACTAGACACTTTTCACTGAGCAGAAAACTCGCCAAGTTCGCTAAAGAGAAGAAAGCAGCGAAGACGTTGGGAATAGTTATGGGCGTGTTTATAATATGCTGGTTGCCGTTTTTCGTCGTCAATTTACTATCGGGGTTCTGTCTGCAGTGCATATGGCACGAGAAAACAGTGTTAGCTGTAGTCACGTGGTTGGGGTGGATAAATTCCAGTATGAATCCGGTAATTTATGCTTGCTGGAGCAAAGACTTTAGGAGGTGAGTATGCAGGATAGGCCCTTTTTTCTCTCCAATTATCTCGGTTGTAAAAATTTTATGAGTATCGAACAGAAAATTAAAGTGGTCATATTTTGATGAATTTAACTTACAAGGATATCTATCACACCTGAAGATGAGGAGTAAAGTTTGACCTCGAAACCGGTAGTCTTTTAAAAATAAAAGGATTGTGAGAATATTGGACCTTTTCTTATTTCTAAAATAAGTAAAAATGGACAACTCACATTTATCAATTTTGAATTTAACCCTAGTTTGTCATAATTTTTTTTCTTAAAGTGCCCCTTAACGGAGATACAGAACCCCAAATAATACCCAGCGATTGACCTTTTCGTCTCTAACTTTTGAACCGACGCGATGTGTATAATTTAATGAAATTTTAAAATTTTATGTAGTCCATAAAGACATAAAACCATACTACGGTAGATGTTTTATACTGTCAGGGAAGTCAGAAACGGACTTGCCACCACATTCGTTGGGCCAAAATTTTGACGAGTGTCATTTTATAATACTGATTACTGAATTTTTAAATATTTTGGTCATTCCTCTTTAAAAAATGTACTCTACATTTGTTTCAATAAAATTAATAGCCGTTTTCGAAAAAATTTAAGTTTTTGTATAACACGTCATTGAAATAATAAATCAAAATACTGCAATGAAACACCAGTCGTTTTTATGTCGTTAATAATGTGTTATTGACAACATGTCTTCTGCTGATTAGTACAATCAGCAGAAAACTTGTTTAAATAACTAGATGGATTTCACAGGGTCTAACGACACTTACAGTGTACGATAATTCAATAAACAAAGAAATCTAAATAAAAATTTTAATAAATTTGGAACGAATACACTGAATATTAATTTTTCGAGAAAAAAGTCTGAATCTGGTTCGGGCTGAGGCAGTACAGTATTGGGGGTCATGAAAGCTTGCAAAAAATGTAATACAATTTCTAGGGTCGTATTTAAAAAAATGAAGTTGATGATGGTCCTGGCGAGACGAAAAGTTTCATGTAAAAATTGATTATGTCATTCGATAGAGGGCAAAAAGTAGCCATGGGAAAGTGTTCTTTTTTCAATACCACCTCAACAAGGCTGAAATGAAACAAAAACGGATTTCCAAAATTTCGGTTTTTTTTTCAAATATTTCGAAAACTAATCATGTTAGCCCTGATTTTTTAGAGGCATAATGTTGGTCCCCTGATTACGCAACTTTGCCCCCATTTTAAGCTATTTCGTACCTCTTACCATTTCCGAATTTCTAACAGCGTGTATATACGGATGTAACATAATGATATGTTTAATATGTAGTACACTCATATTAGAAATTGTTAGAAACATATTTACACTGCTATTATAATTCAAAATGATACATGTGTTGCAAAAATTATAATTGACATTTTAACTTCAGAATTATTTTCTATTTTTTTAAATAAATTCATGCTAACTTGCAATTAATACAATTTCCTTTACAGAGCTTTTTTGAGGATCCTTTGTGTTTGTTGCCCTTATTCGATCAGGAGAAGGTACCGACCCACATATAACACTACGCTTAATCAGGTAAGTTTCTGATTTGTTAAAATATCGTACCTAGGTTAACCCTAAAATGTATTTATCCTGTACTCTTAGTTTATTTTTAAGCTAATTCGATACATTTCAAAATGGCTCAATAGAATTTGGTTTACTTGTATCTGTTTCTTTTAAAGGATTAATCAACTTTCTAAATTTAAATGTGTCTTCATATTTTTTAAATAATAAACGATTTTTGTTAAACATTTACAAAAAAATGTTTTTTACCTGTTACTGTATAAAGGAATGTTCAAAATATCTTCATTAAAGAATATTTGGCTTGTTAGACAAGCAAACAAAGAAAGTTTTAGTAGGTTTTCGTGATCACCCACTCTGTATAAGTTTAATATATTGATTTCTATTTTTAGGTAGATGAAGGCTTTGGCGAAGTCATGTACAATTTTTTAAACATCTTCAGGGCTCAAACAAGGGATTAGTGCTACATTAGAATTTTAGTATGTTCTTACTGTGACTGAATGATATTTATATGTGTATTTTATGTGAAAGAATAATATAAATATTTTCCAAGCTACTAATTTATTTTGCCAGTATCAAATTATTAATTATAATAATTAAAGTATCAAGGGTGTTATAAAGATAATAACATTTTTTTATCAATAACGCCATCACCATTGACTTTTTCGTGTTGTATTGCAGTGAAAATGTCACAGAACGTTTTGTTGCTCCAAAAGCAACCAGACTGTCTTTGAGAAAGAAAATATTTTTGTGCACGCAATATTTAGTACGGGCGATTGTCAACAGTTTTAGTCAAGTGAAACCCGATATGAAGTCGACTGCGGTTTCTTCTATTGTAAGTTAAAACTTCTTTGATTTTATACAATTACATATTTGAAAATTATGTCGAATGAGGAATAGCACTAATAGGTACATATAAAAGACCCAGTATAAATTCAGAATTTAAATAAACTAAACCATTTCTTGTATTCAAAATACACTCGCCTAAATTTTTTTTATGACGAACATTTGGAACATGTTAAAGTGTGGCTGAACGTCAGTGTTATAGACAGATTTTTTTATTTTTATTTTAACAGATCACCAAGAATGAAACATTTTAAATATTTATTTTTATTTTAATGCAGGTCTTAACTATAAGTACAAAACAATTAGAAAAAGTAAACATTATATAACAAAATTTATTAGTAGGCCGATACACGTGAGATTTTTGTAGTTATGAATAAACAGTGAGTACAGACTGTTGATTACCCCGCACAAGTAAATAAGGAGGCATATCCCTAGTAAGAACTTCTAACCAAGCCATATAGAGAGGAGCTGAAATACTTCCCTTCCTTGGCATGGGAAGTGACCTGAAATTATAAATGATTGTACAGTCAGTAGTCAATTTCCTCAATTCGCAGTACGCTGGTGTTCCACAAGGATCGCTTCTTGGGCCTTTATTGTTTCTTATTTACATTAATGACATAACAATTTTCTTTCTGAGATAGGTATGACTGTATATTGGCCCCTCATTTTAACTAGGTTATAACCAATTATAATTTTTCATTTAAAAAATGCAACTTTGAACTGTATATAAAAAAATTGCCGAGCTACATTTCAGAAAAAATAAAAGCCACTACAAGAGTTAACAAGATACCAAATTTTCAAATTTTTTTTCTATAACTAGAAAATAAAAAAGCATCACATACGATAACTACAACTTTCTACCTTTTTTCTTAGCTACGTCGAAAAGCGTTTATTTTTTTATACTTACATCACAATTAATTTAGACTCTTTGGAATTTTCTAGAAGTAATTCTCTTAATCTGAGTTGTCTATATGTCTTATCCTGAAGATTTGAGAGCTCAGATTCGGTGACTTGACAATCTACAAAAGAACAAGGCGTCACTAAAAAAGTTTTCTGCTAAAGGTAAAAAATAATAATAATTTGTATATTATAATGTGTAGAAAATTTCTATTATATGTTGATTTGGCCAACAATATATCTTTTCTTTATATAAATTATAAATTGTCCGCCGAATTACGTCTCTCGTCATGTTGTCGATTTTTTAAATTTTTGTTTTCGCTTCCTCTTTACGCAATAATCTGTAACACCTTGTTTAATAACACGAAAAATTGTGGACACTGAAACTTTAGTTAATATGTGAATTATATTTATAATTTCATTATCTGATTTTTCATTTTCTTCTTTAAACAATAGTAAATATTTAAAATGAGACGATGACATTGAACATGTAAATCTTTATTTATAAATACTAAATCTGTTTCATCAACAACCGGTCCTACTAATTCAATATTGTCCGGCGGTATTTCGTTTTGTTCCGTTTCAAAAGGTCTCCAAAATGCCATCTTGTAATAATATTAGTAAACAAATTATCCCTCATATTTCTCCCTTTCGCAATTGTAATATGAATGATTAATAGAAGGTGCCTATAATAAATTAAAATTACTGCACTGCACGGCTAGGCAGTTTGTCGACAACTGAAATTTATGGCCAGTCGCTCAGTGCGGCTGTCTTTGTGCGCCGTTTGCTCGCGCGCGCGTTCTTCAACTGACCAGACCTGTTGTTGTGTAGCGACCGAACTTGGTACATACTGCCAGCTCTTTGGTCTTCAATTGACGTCGGAAAGACTATAATAAAACGATCAAAATTTTACTTTAAGGGCGTTTTGCAAATGTCAAGTAATTTTAAATGTCATTTAAATCTATGTCTGTACTTTCTCATGGATATTGTTTTTATGGAACAGATATTAGATTAAAGAAAATTTACATATGAGTTCTATATATTTGTGAAAACTCCAATTAAAATACTTTGAAAATTCTCTTAAAAATCATAATAAAAGACTGACTTACCTTTGGTATCATCCTTAAAGTCAGAGAGCAGACTTTCAAAGAATTCCACGGTTTGATCTTGAGGTTTATCACAAATTGAGACCATTTGTAAGCTACAATAATTCAATCGGAACTTTGACAGCAAATGAGCCATACTAAAATAAAATAAATATATGTATAGTACGGGATGATTCCAAAGTGAATTGAAGGGTGGTCTTATGTGTTATGGGGTAGAGAACTCAAATTTACCTCAGGCTAGCTGTATATTAACAATCAGAGGAACTACAAATACGTAATTTTAAATTTCTTAAAAACACCTCGATTTATTTAAATCGAACAAAAGGAATGTTTGTATTTCCAACAGTCTGTCTAAAAGCCAATATTTTTAAAACAAATGTAAAAAAAGTTATGGACAATATAGTAAAATATTCCCTAAAATTATTACTGAAATATTCTAGGATATTTTTATCAAGTTTTATTTATTATCGTGATTCTGTATTGTATATCTTTGAATATAAGATAGTATACTTACATATTCAACGTATAATTGAATATACTGTACAGGGTGTTTATTAAACATACGGGAAAAATTCAAGGGGTTATTCCCTGGACTATTCCAAGAATATGTTGTCCTTTGATAATTGAATAGCCGTTTGTTCCAAAGATGCAGAGTGAAAAAAATTCTCGACAAAATCAATATTGATATATCTGAAATTGTTAATGTAGCCGAAATAAAAGTATGGCAAGGCATTGAAAAGAAACCAGTTTGAACGTGGATTTCATTTGAACACATCTCGTGATTGATCATTTTGTATGTGTCGAATTTGTTGAGGCTGATTGACGTTTGGCTGTTTGGCAGGTACTTTCTATCTTTAACAGTTAAACTTTTATTAGTGAGGTCCTCTATGATGAATCGCTATACGAACGGCGAGATGACTGACATGCAATAAGGAATTTTCACAATAACCATGTGTGGGCTGAAGAAAATCCACATGAGGTACTTGGAGATCGTTTTCAACATCATATCTCATTGAACGTTTGGGTTGGGATTGTTGGTGACTGGGTAATTGGGCTGGTATTTCTACCAGGAAGTCTTACCGGCGAGGTATATCGCGATTTTTTTGGAACAAACGCTACCTCAGTTTCTGGAGGATGTACCATTGGCAGCAAGAAATGTAATGTGGTTTATGCACGATGGTGCACCAGCGCGATTTAGTGTTATTGCTCGTGCGTTTTTAAAAGCAACATACGGATATTGCTGGATTGGTCGAGGTGGACCTCACTTACGGGCTGCTTAAGGTTTAGAAAATCGGATAATTGCTAGGAATAACTCAATAAGAAACGACCCGACAATGAATTCTTTCATCCTATTCCTTCGGAACAAAGTAGCTTTTCAAAAATCATCAGAGGACAAAATATTCTTAGAATAGTCCAGGGAATAACCCCTTGAATTTTTGCCGCATGTCAAATAAACACCCTTGTACATAAACATTTGTTAAAAACTGTTTGCTATTCCAAGTACTATTTTTCTTACTTTTCTTTTTCCAATTCCATGTTACAGTCGTTGCCAACTAACGCAAATATTCGAAGACTGCAGTTTGCCCATCGATTTCTGGTGGAAATAATATATGGGATCAATATAGTTAGACCACCGTCATCATAAAGCCACCATACGTCAATGTTACCAGTTTTTTGTTTTTTTCTTAAAGGTGTCATTTTTTCAACAAGTGAATAATGTGAAGCACCTTGATCGTCTTTTGTTATAGATCCTTTATTGTCTGTATCTCCTACTGATAGCTCTAAAATTAATAAACGTTAATAAGTAAGTAGGCGTAAATTAAAGAAAAAATGACGTCTTACGTATAACGGAACTGTGCTCAGATACGGCTTTGTTGGCAAGATTTAAGTCAGAATCAGCTGGTATTATATTATTCGCAGCTGCAGTTCTGAATGTGGAGGGTAAGTTAGAGATGGAATTGTTCATGGAACTAACCACAGATTGGCTTTCTTCTTCCTTTATTTTTTTCTGATCTGACTCGTCTTTCAGTCTGAGAATTGCGACAGAAACGTGGTGTTCAAATGCGGTACTAAAAATTATGAAAGTTTTAAATTGAAATCTAAACGTAATATTGATAACCAGAAATCACAAGAAAAAGTTAATCATCAAGAATTAAAATAATATACCAAGAGGAAAAAATATTTGAAGTTGCTAAAAATGGATAGTAAAGTCAATACTAAATGCAATTCGTTAATAAAATAACTGCAGTTAAGGTCTTATTATTTGATTCGATAATAAAATTTCAAATTATTATTAAATCAATTTTCTCTGGTCTTATAAATCTTCCTCAGAAAGGTAAAGCCCAAGTTATAATTGTAATACTGGTTTTTGACATAATTCTGACAATTTAAGCAGATTTTCATTATTTTTTGTCTTTATGTTGTTGATTGGTGAAAAGCAAATACTCACTGCAAAACATTGAAATAAGATAGTAAGTCCTCTTTGCCGCAGACCATCCAATTACTTTTATATCCTATCATTAAAACATTAGGTCTCAACTTTCCTATCCCTGCTACTTGCAGGAAAGCTCTTGCTCCAAGCTCATACGTAACATTATCAAGTATGCTGTAGAATACCTTTAGTTTGTTTATTCTTAGATAATTGTTGACATTGTTTATTATTGCCGATCTTTGCTTATGTGACAGTTTATTCTGAAAAATATACGACTTGTATTAGAGGTACCTATTCCAAAAATTAATATTATCTAACGCTCTTATTACACGAAATGTTTCAAATTGCAAACGATAACATTTTTTAGCAATACAATTTTGTTATCAATTACTAATCATAAGCTAAGTTTATACGTATACATTAGGAATTACCCTTTAGTACATTGATGTTTTATGAAAATAGTTGTTATAATTTTAGAAAAATTAATTAACTACTATAAAATATTACAAAAGCGTCTCAATGTGTATTGAAACAGTTTTTGAAACGTAATAGTAGAGCTAAGTTGCAAAATTTTGAAAGGACGTCCCCTTTTATTACCTCTTACTACTATACTACTTCTTTCTAGTCGTCGAGTAGTTCGGGGTTCATTTAGATACAATTACTAATTTCAGCTTTAAACTTCGGGGACAATTCAGAATTTGTCCCCAATGGTTACTTTATAATATATTAATAGATACTTTTTACAGCAAAAATACAATAAATACAGGGTGTTAATGAACTTATGCCAAAAATTTAAAGGGGGTGAAAAAGGAGCAAAAACTGAGTTAACTTTTATCACAAACTTGTATCGGAAGTTTAGGGTCAGAGAAAAAAGCTAATTAAAAATGTGTTTAAAACTGTTTTGGAACTGCTGAAATACATGTATTTTATCGCGGCGAGTACCTACTTACAACTGTAACACTTCTTACGAGTTTGTAGGTTTCTTATGAAGCCGGACTGTATTCGAAAGTCAGTTTGTATTACATTGTTGTAGTGATTGCTGTGCTGTTTTTCGAGAGTACATTTAATAGCCGTATTTCCAAGCTTTATTTTGAAAATGGCGCATTTATTTAGCAATCGCGAATATTATGATATACTCATAATTTATGGCGAAGCAAACGAACATGCCCACAGAGCTTGTCCAGTGTACCGTGCAACATATCCTGCACGACGTGCCCCCGCATCAGAAATATCGCACAACAAGTAAATATTTCGCATCCTGTTGTGTGGCGGGCATTACGAGAAGCTCAGTTGTACCAATTTCATATTCAACGTGTTCAAGCGTTTACTCCTTAGGATTTTCCACTACGCACTATGGTACGAAATGCCTAAAAGCTGGCCAAAAATGAAAAAAAAAGTTTCTATTTAGAATCGACACCGTATTGTCAAAACTTGTAATACGGTTCGAGAGGACGTGGCAATGTTGCAACGCCTGCGAGCGAATTGGACACGCTTGAAAACAGCACAGCAATCACTATAACAACCCGGCTTCATAAGAAACCTACAAACTCGTAAAAAGTGGTGCATATTTTTTTTGTAAGTACTCGCCGCGATATAATACATGTATTTCAGCAGCAGTTCCAAAACAGTTTTAAACACATTTTTAATTAGCTTTTGTTTCTATGACCTTAAACTTCCAATATAAGTTTGTGACATTAGTTAGCTCAGTTTATGCTCCTTTTTCAGCCCTTTAAATTTTTGACATAAGTTCATTAACACCCTGTATTTATGTGGGAGGTCATTGGCCAAGTGACTCTATATAGGAACCGTCACTGAATGATGAAAATAACCACCTACCTTCTCAATTTCGCCAACCATTAGTAAAGAATTATTCTTTGTTATTAAATAAGCAAATTCTACCAAGGCTTGCCGGTATTGTGGGTTGTCACACAGAAGCAGAATATCGGGTTTATAATTCTTGACGTGTTCATTGATGCTTATAAGCTTTTGGGTGGACGATAACGCTGTTTTGTATATTTGAGCTTGTGTCGATGATCCCCAATTGACACCTAAAATTACATCGTTTATTAATTATACAGAGTGTACCCGAAATGCTAGGCCAAACTTTAACGGTGGATTCTATATTAAAAAACATATGTAGCGACTTACTAGGATTTCTGTAAATAACCACCAAATACAATCCCAAAATTATAACAAATGTAATTACAGACGACCACCAGTTGATGAGAAACATTATAGCGACGCATAGCACGCAACCAAATAGACTCAACCACGTATTGTAGTACTGGAAAAGGATTACTATGTAGATAAAGACAAATAAAACACTAATTCTTACCTTGAAAGCTGGTCTCCATCCTAAAGGTTTCACTAACGACGCATGGAAGGTGCAGAAATTTATAAGGGCATAAGAAGCCAGATAGAAGTTTGAGATCAGTGGTGCGATGGCATTTAAATTAGCTGCAAATAAGAATTAAGAATTAAACAAGTATATTACTATTGTTGTGCATGATTAGCCTGCCAATCTTAATAAGAGAAGCAACGTTCAAAAATAAGAAAAAAAATTCAAGCTACACCTCCTTGAAGTTGAGGTTCTGAGGAAAGTTTTTATTCAATATCTTCAATAAATAAATTAAATTTCACATCTAGGTACTTGCTGTTTTATTCTCAACAACTACCCCAACTTTTTTGTCGGTAGTTTTTTCTAAGTTTTATCACGAAATTTAGGAATTGTGTTTCTTTTTTCGAGACACGAAGACAGTAATAAAAAATATATATTTACCTATTAATAGGAAAGCTACGGATACAAAGAACGTCAACACATATCCTCGGTACGGTTCTCCATGTCGTCCGTATCCTTTAGAGAAAAAAATTAAACCTGGATAGATCTGATCATTTCCTAAAGCCTGGAGGAGTCTAGGCACAGACAATAAATTTGTTAGTGCGGTACTGAGGGTAGCTGCGAAACAACCCGCGTAAATTAGGGGTGACCAAAGAGACATTTCTTGCATCATCTGCAATAAGTAACTTTAAAGTAAAAGGCATTTCGTTAAAAATGAGCTTAATGGGATATTCCTGAGATTACAAAAAGCGTCATAGTAAAAAAAAATCGTTTTTATCTCTCGACAACGGTAAGGTAAAGCTTTTTACTAATTTTCTTTAAAATTTCTTTAGATATTTTTATACAGTATGTCCACAGCTAGGGTGAATAAGAGGTAAAACTTTTTTAGTTCAAATAACGAGCGTTCAAATAAAAACGTGGTCAAGTTGGTTCTGAAAATTTGGACGTAGGGCGTAGCGTATAGCAAATAAACTTAAACGTCATCTGTCAAAGCGCTATATCGCCACTATCAATTTGAATATTTTCGTTTTAAAAAGCGTTTAAAATGGTGTTTCCTCAAGAACAAAAAGTGTTTATCATAGAGTCCTACTTTAGAAATGGACGCAAGATTGATGGAATATGGAAGTATTCTATTGAGGAATGTTTCATAGAATTTCAAAATCAATTTCCCGGCGTTGTTGAGTACAAAATTTTTCAAAGTGCAGTTCAGCGTTGTGTTAATGTTTTTCGTGAAACGGGCAGTGTAACAAGAAAAGAAGGAAGCGGCCGACCTAAAAAGCGGACTGAAGAATTAAAAGAAAATGTCCAACAAATAATGGAAAATGCGCCAAGAACTTCTGTACGTGTTTTATCACAAATGGTGGGAGTATCAGTCGGTACCTGCCACACAGTGTTAAAAAAAGATTTGCGTTTGTTCTCCTATCGTTTAACTTGTCAGCAAGAACTTCATGAAGTTGATTTTCCGCGACGGGCTGTATTTTGTGAATGGTTTTTAAACAACTACGGTGAACTTCATAATATCACCTTTTTTTCTGATGAAGCCTGGTTTCATTTAAGTGGTTACGTAAACTCACAGAATATGAGAATGTGGTCTTCTGAAAAACCAGATAACTTTTTTGTCGAGGGCCCTCTACACGCTCAAAAAATTGGAGTTTGGTGTGCTCTCAATCGAAGGAGGATTTATGGACCTATTTTTTTTAATGGTACTCTTACTGCGCAAAGGTATAGAGAAGAAATTATCGCTCCTTTTGTTAACCAGCTGGAAGAAAACGAAATTACAAACTTTTACTTTCAACAAGATGGCGCAAGGGCACATACGGCAGGCGAGACGATGAATATGTTGAGGGAAGTTTTCCAAAATCGACTAATAAGTCTCAATGCTGAACATGAATTTCCACCGAGGTCATGTGATATTACGCCGTGTGATTTCTTTTTGTGGCCTTACCTTAAAAACACTATTTTTGAACTGCCTATTCCTGATTTAAACCATCTGCAGGCTCGACTTATAGACAAGATTCGTGAAATTAACAATACCCCGAGCATCTTAGAAAATGTCTTTAATTCTTTGAGGAACAGGTGTGAAAAGTGCTTGGAACAAGGAGGGGGACACTTTCAGCAGCTGCTTTAATTTATTGTTATAACAAGGAGGGGGACACTTTCCGCAGCTCCTTTAATTGTTTGTTATTGTTATCACGATTATTCTTTAAAATAAAGTCATTAACGTTATTGAAACTGACAGCTGCTATACAGCTCGTTGAGAAATGAAGTTAAGTTGGTCGCTATAAGCTACTCCCTACGTCCAATGTGTCAGAGCCAACTTCGACCACTTTTTTTATTTGAACGCTCGTTAGAAGGTTGTGAATAAAATGGCATTTTATTCTTCACTTGTGTCACTGTACTTCGTTAAAAAACCCCAACAGTAATTAATTATCGGATAAATGCTAACTACAGCAAAAAATATTCTAATGCAGTGCTACGACAAGGGTGATAACAGTTATCGCCATGTAATTCAAGATTGCAGATGGTTGCAGAACACAATCTCTAGATTGGCCGGCATGCTCCATATCTATGGCGCCCGCGATGTCCAGACTTAACAATCATGGACTTTTATTTGTGGGGCCGATTCAAACATATTGTGTATAGCAGGTGTTTGGACAATAACATAGAGCAGCTAAAACAACGAATTAGAGATGCTGTACAGTTCATATCTTTAGAAGAGATTAGACGCAGCTACAATGAATTCCTTGCACGCCTTCAAATTTGTGTGAACGTTGGCGGAAGAGTGTTCGAATAATGTGTTATTATTTTTTTCCAAATTTATTATGTTTTGTAAAAAATTAAACCAATTTTGTGTGCGAATTGTTTTATTTAAAAACTCAAGTAACTTTTTGCACGACTTTTGCAAAATATCACTTCTCAGAAATATTAAAAATAAAGGTAGTTTACTCTCGTGACATTTTCAGATTTTTTTATTTTCTGGACATGAAATGTTAAGTTTCACCATGGAAACCACATTTTAATTTCAGCAAAGTGCGCATTTTTTCCGTAAAATGTAAAATAAAAATGTTTTTCCTCTTATTCACCGTAACCGCGGACATACCGTATATTTACTCCATTATACTCCACAAAATCAAACTATTTTTTCACTCTCACGGTGATTGGTGCAATGATTCTTGGAATATTGACAAAACTGTATATTTACAACAACTGATATTGACCTCAAGAATCTCCCATTAAGCTGTGTCCAAGGACATTTAAATAAAGGGGACTTATTTATTTACATTTCTAGATGAAGCCTGGTCTATTCACAGTCTAATTGTATCATTGTTGTCAGCTGTATAATTATACTGGAAATGTACTTAATATTTTTATCGCAATTTTATCACAATTGTGAAAATTATTATTATTGGATAGTATTATTAAGTTATGCATACAATATTGTTAAATTCTGTACATATTAAACTATTTTTTATTTTTCATATTTGCCATGTTTGAAGACTTGGCAACTACGCAATAATTTGTAGCGTGTTCCTCGTTCGTTCTGCCGTGGTTGGCAGAATATGGCGTCTCTTGTTAGAAAATAGTTGTGATTTTAGTAAGTGAAACGTGATTAGTGTTTATACATGTGTTTTGGATAAACTTTTAAGGTGTGAATATGGTTAGACAGTGCAGAATTTGTAAGAAATTGGATTATAAACATCCACATCAGCTATCCTTCCATATGTAAGCGTGCTTGAAGGTGACTTTGGAATGTATATGCAACTGTGGCCATTGTCGTGCGTGTGGGTAACTTTTATTTGAATAACGGTAAAATTTTATAAAACTGACTTGGTATTTTTTTAAAATTTTTGCTGAAATAGTAAGAAAACAATAATATGAACCACGTTTGGCCATTAAAATCAAAGGAAAATGCAGCACCACAAATAAGTTATTAGACATTATTTATATTTAATATATTTATAGGTATTTCAATGTTATCCCTTATACCCAACATTACAAATTTTAATCATTCATCATTTTCATTTTCCTCTACGACAAAAACATTTTAATAAAAACTGAATAAATACAACAGCAAAAATATGGTGGTGGTTCACTTATACATAAAAATACCGAAGATGCAATCGACTGAAAGTTGCATTCATTCAACCATTTGATGTTCTCCTTTGGGAATATATTTTTATGTCTCACTGAAAATTTGCCTCAGTATTCTAAAAGTGAAATGTGAACGTTTTTAGGATGCTTGAGGATGGTGCAACAAGAAAGAAATGGTTACAGTTATTGGGATTCCAAGAAGTTATAAAAATATTATATATATTTATTATAAAAATAGCTGTTTATTTCAACAGTAGCTGTTGAAATATATTGACTTAGGACTATAAAATATTTTATTTTGACCCATCCAAAATGTACGACATTGGAGATGTAATCGCGCGCATCAGTTGGATGAAAATAAAGCCCTCTGCTTTCCCCTTGTCTAGCTTCACCCAACATATGAGATAGACTGTGACATGCATAGTCCCCTTTATTTAAATGTCCTTGGCTGTGTCCCATTTTTAATGAAGCACAATGTAGGTATACAATTTAATGAAAAATATAATGAATACCTGAATACTATTAAATAGGCCATATTCGCAACCTGTAGTACCAGCGCAAAGCGACACTTCATCGTTAATTAAGTCAGTAACATTTCCACTGGCATCTCTCAAGGCTGCACCTCCAGCGAAAACCACAAAAAGGGCGTATGACGTCATAGAGATCAACAGTGAGAGGAATGTCCCTTTTGGTATTGCTGTTGTGGGATCCTGAAATAAAAGGCGTGAAATATGTAGGTGTTATTTTATAAATTTTAATAGAATGTCTGTGTGTGATTGTTACCTTTAGATCTCCTGAAATATTAGCCCCAGCTTGAATTCCCGTTACCGACGGAAAAAATATAGCAAATACTTGAAAGAATTGGTAATCTACATTTTCTGCTGGTCTAAACTCTGGGCCCCAATTGTTAGAAAATGTTTCTCCTGAAATTATTATTCCAAATAATAGTGTACAATATATTCTTGATATTTTGAATGAGCATGCATTAGGAAAAGAAAAATAAGTAATATCTGTAAATCCAATTGTTTTTACACTGGATTGTTGAACTGAAAGTGTTTTTCAAGACGTATCGACAATGTGGACAAAATATATTGAAAACCACTTAAAATGATTTTTTTTATTAAGGAATGTTAAAATACAGCATTAAGTTGTTGAATAAGCTTCGAAATAAAATGTAAACTAATTTATTATTAAGAGGAATCGAAATTTTAGGTAATTATTTAGCATATTTTACTCAACACTATTTAGAACACTATATAGTCTAAAGTAATGTAAAACACTGGACAAATTTTATTTCAAAGGAAGTAATTTTCGTAATTTTTGTTCCAAATTGTAGATAACCGAAGGACAAAAAAATTACACCACCAGTATAACCAGCGCCCTCTACCGATAAGCATAGGTACTGTTTTTGTAATTCTCACCCTAAAAAACATATCTCCATCTCGATTAGTGGCAATGGTTCTTGAAATACTGACAAAACTTGCATTACTTCGACACTTTGTAGATAGAAAAAGGGGCAAGGCATGTTCCACTCTCAATGCAACACGGATCAAATCCCCATCGTTAATCCAAGTCTACCAAATTGGAACATGAGCTGAAATGGAAGGACAAATGAAACTGTTTATGGGCATTCTTATGGCTACGCGATAAAAAGAAGCAAGTAAAAACGGATGGATTACAGAAAATTTTTGAGACCCACTATCAGGTCGTGTACAGTGTAACCATATTCTGGATACTGTATTATAAAAGACACTTTGTTGCTTGAAATGCCAACTCTTCAACCAAAGCAAGCGGTTGCCTTGGTAGCAGCTTTACGAGACTTATTGAGCTGTCACATACAGAGGAAGAACTTAGGGATGGGGTATTTGATAATTATGTTAAGAACATAGTACTGACATGCCAAAACATGGAATTGGAATCCTGGTGATAGCCTCCAATCATGTTTAGAAACACTAAAAGAGGAAATGTCCACCTCGACAGAAATACATAGAAATGGGTAACGTAATTGATTCCGTTATGGACGACTAAACACTGAAAAAAGGACACTCAACAAAACCAGAAGAGTTGTAGACAGCTATTCCATAAAAAAGGCCACAAAAAAACGTCTTGTATCTCTTAAGACGGCTATACATGATGCCAGTACAATATATGGTACAAAATTCTAGTGATTAAAGCAAACGTTTTAGATGATAGCCTTATTGACAGGGTGCCAATAGCTTATTCAATTTGCATTTTGTACCAACTAAATATGGAATGCTCGTTTTTTCAAACTTACCATTGGTTACCTTAAGAAATATAAATTCGAGACCCATTTTGAAAAAAATATTGTAATACTCACAAAAATAGAAAATTTTCAATATTGACAGTCTTGGATAATAATCATGGAGTCTATTTTAGCAAACAAATAATAAAAATTTATTTTTTCAAACCAATTTTATTTAAAAAAAGTAATATATAACACAAATAACGACTGAAAAGAAAACGTCTCCTAATAATAAGAGACCGTAAACAGGTTCGGAAAGTACCCGTGGTACATCGACCGTTACGTGAGAGCGATAAAGAAAGTCAGAGAAATCCGTGCAATAGACAAGGATAGTTACATTGAAGACGTTTCATAATCTGAATAGTCACTCTACTTCTAACCCGAAACGGGCGATGCCTATTCAGATTATGAAACGTCTTCACTATAGCCATCCTTGTCTATCGCACGGATTTCTTCACGTTACTTTGTCGCTCTCATGTAAAGGCAGATGGACCATGTGGATTTTCCAGCCCTGTATTTTAACCATCTAAAACTCAAAGTAAGTCGTTGCAAACTATTTTCTGTCTCTTTTGCACTTTGGTCACACAAAATCCTCATCTTCGGCATCACAATCCTCACGAGCCCTTCAGTAACAGATTGCTCTTAATCCACTGTTCGCCATGTTCGTCTGCCGAATACAGGTCATTGCAAAAGAGGTACTCTGCATCATAGTTCTCCTCGCCATCACCATCACCAAAAATTACTTCCATGCTATTCTCATCAGTCGAACTATCACTTAAATTCATTTCTTCTTTTTCTTCAACTGCTTAGCATACTTTGATACGGCATTTTTTCAATTTTTTATAATTATTGAACTTGAACTTCTCACTTCTTACTTCTTGAACATTTCTTCAAACATTTGCTGAATTCAATCCTGTGCCATCTAGTAGGCAGCAACGGTACTACACATTAAAAGATTGCCCGAGGTCTCATATTAGGCTACTTTAGCTTAATTATTTTCATTTCAAAAATATTTTGCAGTGTTTCCGCTTTTAGCAGTTACCTAGTTATTAATGGCATCATGTATTACCGTGTTTAAACAAGTCAAGTTATCGATACGTGCTTTCGCCGTTCAATTTTTCTCGAAAATATAGTCCCAAATAACTTAACTACCTTTTGTCTATCTCTCGGGAAGTACAGGAATCCCCCGCATCGAAATTGGTACACTCTATACACATATTCCTTATTTTTCTAGTACATGAAATAGTGTTTTAGAATACTTACTACTGAAGCCAACGAAACCTTTAGCTCTTTGTTCATCAGAACGGGGTCCTACAATCGTACCTATTAGGAAGTCTAACATGGCGCCCACAATGGCGGCAATTAAAAAGTTTTGAACTTTTGACTCCCAGTCCATGCCGCCTGCACATATTAGTATCATAACCAGTATGGCCACAGTACCTGTTAATGAAAAATGAATGACTAATTTTGCTTCTCAGAAAACGGAAATAGATTTTTATTGCGACGTTTCTTTCTTCGGCAACCGTCATCAGTTTACTTTCGTAAAAAACAAGCAATGTTTTGCGCCAATGTTAGCCTAATTTTCGTCCGATGACGAAAACAATTAAAGCCAAAAAAAATAATAACAATTGTACCTGGAAGAATAAGTAGAACAGAGTGGCGTGAAAATAATAAATAATATTAATAAAGTTTATAAAAATTAAACTTATGGTGGTTGCTGAAAGACAAAACATCGCAAAACAAATTTTATTCCATGTTAGAATAGAGGAATAAAAATGGCATTAAAAGAATGTTCTTATTTTCGGGCAGGTTTTCAAATAAACCCAAAAGATAGTATAATTTTGAAAGCTGACATTTTTTGAAAAGTCCAATAAATTAAGATATTGTCAATTTATCCTCGAGAAACTAATATAAAATGAATTAAGCCACTTAGCTTCAATTTAACCATTCATTCTATCTTCTACAGTTTCTAAAGTTGCAGTGTTATACAGGGTGATTCACAAGTTATTAAAAAAAAAATTGGGAATAGATGCGTCATAAAAATTGAGTTAATATCGTAAACAAATTTTTGGTAAAATGCGTATAGTTTCCGATAAAAAAAAATTGTTGAAGTTGTAATATTGTCAACCTTTACACGGCTGGGCTGCTGTACCTAGTTTCTAGCATCATTGGAATGCATTCTATCCGCGTTGTGCGTTTTTGTGCAATGCGGTCTCTCTCCACCTAGCCCCAGGCGATTCTGAATACTGAAATCCGATTTTAGTATTAACATTTGTGCGATAGTGTTTACATTAGTTTTTCAAGTGTCAAAAATGGCTTACGTTTATAGTAACTCGGAGTTGATGGATATCGTTTTAAATTATGGTGAAACAAGACAACATTTGTGTTATGGAGAAGCAAGGCAACATTTGTGTTAGTTCGTAGAACTCGGTAAGACAGACCCAAATATTGGTGGATAAAATTTTGAACACTTGTTGTAACATCGGGTACCCATGTTAAATTAGATTTATTAATTAACACCACAAATTAATTTTATTAATTAATAGTAACAGCCGCAAAAGCCGTTGAATTTGCTGACATAAAATAGGTATTACAAAATTTTATTTATTTCTTTCCTTGGGAAATTCTTTCAATTTTTTGTCCGTTCATTTTTTATTACAATTTGCCGCCGTGCCGGTCGCCGACTGCATGCTTTGCCTTGTGCTGGGTCAGTTTTACAGTGGACTAGTTTCCAGTGCCGTGCAGAAGTGTATTTTTAAATCATTTTCCAACTGCCCTGATTCATTTTTTTTACAAAATTGTATTTGTAAGAGCCCTGTACATTCAAAAATTTTTTTTAGATAAGTTCTGAATCACTGTATATTAAGTACTCCAATTTTAAACAAAGCAGGAAAAGTGTGTAATTATGATTTTTACTTAAATTAATAAAATTAGAAGATAAGGTTAAAAAGTTACTTAACCTAAAAATTTGAGGTTTTTATTCTTAATATTAAATAATTACCTATTATCCTAGCGTCATTCTCATGGCCATCAATTATCTTATGTCCACCGTATTTATTTAGAAGGTCACTGAAAGAATCACAGAATCCAATGGTATTCATGGAAGCCGACACTGTATTTGCAAAGGCAAACACTACTCCTACAGATGCGCCAAATTCTGGTCCAAGTGTTCTTGATATGATGTAATATATTCCACCTGAAACATAGATGAAAATAAATATACAGTGTGTTTAGTTACTAATGGACCAAACGTGACAAATAAATTCTACTACGAAGTGATTCAAATAAAATTTTACTATAACTTTTTTATGCTTTGACTTTTTTTACTTTTAACTGAAAAGTATGAAATTTCAGTTTTTTAGTAAAAATTTAAACTTATCAGTCAAAAGTCAAAAAAGTGAAAGCTTAAAAAAGTTATAGTATGTGATGAAAATTGGTCAATTTCGTTTTAGTAGCGGACCGAGCACGTAAGAGTTAAGCTAGTTACCAAATATCATAAATTTATCTCAACTAGTTTCGGAGTTATTTAGAAAAAATCATCATGAGAGTGGCATCTGTAAGTGGCTATAATTTCCTTAAGAAGAATTTTTGGACCCACGTTTATATTAAGAAAAAGTAATCTTTTTCGACATAGTATACCCTGTAGAAATATTGCGCCCTTAATTTCGGAACACCCTTTATAAATACATACGTATACAGGGTATCCCAGAAGTATGGGAACCCCAGAATAACTCGGAAGTAAAGGGCTATACGGAAAAACGTTTCATACAAAAGTTTCAGGATTTTTCCCGGGCTATTCAATGATGACCTTCACCTTGAAGGTAATTTCAAGGTCAAGGTCATTTTTTTCACATGGGAACCCCTACTTTTTATCACGCCATTGGAAAGAGCGGAAAATTTTACGACCGAATATGGCTTTGACCATGACCTTGAGATCACTTTTGTATGAAACGTTTTTTCCTATAGCCCTTTACTTCCGAGTTATTCTGGGGTTTCCATACTTTTGGGATACCATGTAAATTAAACATATTGAGTCGCTTTTTAGTTTCTAACAAATTATTATCTTTGTACAGACCAACCAAGAATGTCAACTTCGTTTTTTAAATCATGTGATTTCGTTTGTTTATTTTTATGATTTATTTAAATATTTCTCTCCTTTTTACTTTGTCTTTTAATATTCGCATTCCAGTTCCAAATTTTATGTCCAAACTTGAAATTTCGTGTTTGATAAACAAAGAAAACGGTATGGCCTTTCCATGCTTTCATTGAAGTAACAACAAATTTAAAATATTCAATCATTCTACAGTATAATTGTTTTTAAAATCAAAGAAGTGGTTAGTTAATGTTAATGTTCACTAAAAAAAGATTAATTGATTTAATTACAGTTAAGATCATTTTGCAAATGTCCGCACTATGGTTAAATACATCTTCGATATATATTCAAGAAATTTCTCCTAACTGCAAAAAACGAAGTGAAGACCAATTCGTTTCTGCTGTTAAGGGCTGCAGTAATTTAAGGTGCTTCGATTGAATTTTGCTTTTCTTGCCACAAAATATGTAAGTATCATTTTGAAGGAATGTCCTTTTTATTGTTTTGTATCGCGGCCTGTCCTTCCCACCAACTACACACAAAAAACGCTATTTAATATTTCTTGTCGCTCTTTATTCGCGATTTAACATCGTTCGAGCCAGTCGTCGAGTTCAACGTTCAACAGTTCACGTTGTCGCTGTTCAAAAGTTAGTTGAAATACCAAACAAAGCGCCGAAATGAGTAACAACTCACCAATTTCGGCTCTACAAAAAATTACCGAGATGAGGTTTACATGTCCGCCATTCTACTTCATTGAATGCGTCGAAGAAAAACCTAGGGTAATCTTCAAGTGCGTAGTGAGAGTGTGCTCCGTGGAAGCCACCGGTTATGGAAGGTCTAAGAAAAACGCTAAGCAAGAGGCAGCCACATTAGCTTTGGCAATTTTGAACGCGTCGTCTCCATCTGGTTCTACTCAAGAGGGAAGTTATGTACCGCAGATCAATTATATCGGAGAATTAAATAGTTTTGTTGAGAGACACCGCTTGGACCGGCCTACGTACCAAGACGTCCCCTTTGATGGATCATCAACAGTTTTCCTAACCATATGCCGAGTTGGGGAGTATTCAACTGAAGGTTATGGTGCTTGCACCAAGGAATCCAAGCATGAAGCTGCCCGTAGTATGTATAAGGTGTAAGTGCGGCAGATTTTCGTCACTGTGTTGTAAACACATTTGTAATTTTTTTTTTGTTAAGTGTGGACTAACACATTTGTTGAAATTTTTTGTAATTCTTTTTTATTTCTTTAGGTTGAATATTGTTGGCCGCATTTCTGCAAAACGTCCAATTAAGAAACGAAAGAGATACAGACCTCTCATGACAAAGAAGCGCTCCAAAAAAACGTCGGTCCAGGAGAGGCTAAACAGTAAGTGCTATACAAATTTCTGCTTTTTCTGTCCCTTTGAACCAAATATAGTACAGTCATTGAAGCTTTTCACTTCCGAATTCTTTGAAACTGAACCGGTCGACTTGAAATTTGGCAGTTAGTTAGAAAAAAGGTCAATGAACATTAGTGACATATTGCTGATTGACGGTTCCACCATGTTGGGGGGTTGACACACCTTCTCGAGGGTGGAAAATTTTTTTCCAAAATGGATATCGATAGAGAATCAAATTTTGAGCAAAAAATATTCTAAAAATTTTTTCGAGAAATCAATAGTTTTTAAGTTATTCACGATTGAAAACTTTTTCAAAGTATTTTTCGCGAATAACTCAAAAACTACGCATTTTATTTAAAAAAGTCTAATAAACAGCAATGTAGCTTATAAATAAATAAAGAAAATCGTTTTTTAAAAAGTATTGTACGTCCTATATAAAGCGAAATATGGTTAGTGGATGGGGACTTGTTTTGGGGGGAATACTCGAATCGATGTATTCGTCAAATGACGGAAAAAGGATTAATTTTACGTGTATAACGCTCCTTGAGTTTTTTGTAATACTCAAAAAGACCTTCAAAGTGAGCACTTATAAAAGTTAATTAGAGCAAAATTGAAGGAGTTATCGTCAAAAACAGATGAGTTGCTCATATTTTTAAGGAAAAATGAGCAGTAAACGCTGTACCATTTCCATCAGAATTAAAATTAATGGTAGACCCTTTACAATTAGTTTTGTTTTAGTGTTTTTCATACGATCCTGAAGTTAGACAGGTTTAAAATGCGTATTTTTTTAATAATGTACGGTAAAAGTTGAAAACGTATTTTTCATTATTCAAAAATAAAATGCCTTTTTTTATATAATAACTGAAACTATGAAAGATACGTAAAAATGATAATGATAACAATGATATTTTTTCGGAGCAAAATAAGCTTTCTCCTTTTATATATTATATATTATATTATACAAATAAAATAAGTAGAAAAATTTGGTGTGATTATTTATATGCAGCGTAGCAATTTTTTTTATGATTGATTATATTTAAAAATAGATTATAATAAAAATATTTTACATTAATATTGGTAAAAGGGTAGTTTATAATAGTTGAATATACGGGAATTTTTATTTTAAATTATTGCACAATTATAGCATTCCAAGATTTAAAACGTAATTTTTTATCATTTTTTTAGCACAGGGGTGATTTATAAGGGTTGAAAAGTGTTATGAGATACAAATCCTTTCATAAGCAATGAGGGAATTTTTATTTTAAATAATTGCAACATTCCAAGCTTTTAAAAAGTAAATTTTTATAATTTTTGTCGATACAGGGGTGGTTTTAGGGGTTGAAAGGGAAAAATTCTTTTATTAGCTATATGGTAACTTTTATTTTAAATAATTGCACGATTTAATCATTCCAAATCTTTAAAAATTAATTTTTTATCATTATTTTTTGCATAGGGGTAATTTTTAAGGGTTAAATAAAGGGTCGAAAAAATCAAATATATCATAAAACATGTTCGAGAACATGGAACATTATTTAATCTTTGTGCTTGAACGAGATTTTTATCAATAAAATCCTTAAAACTTAATTTTTTCATTTTTTTCACTTAGGAGCAGTTTTTACCTCCAAAAAATAAAAAGCGTCAATCGGGCTTATGTCACTTTTGAACTTGAGCCTAAGATGAGCCTTATTTTAAATTTTCATGCAAATCCATGCAGTTTCAAACAATTCGGAGGTTACAGCTGATTTTCAGCTTCAATAACTGTACTAATAATATTTCAGTTCCTTACTGGAGAAAACTTCAATAATACATATAATAATTAATTAAAGAATTATTCCAGATGTTTCGAGATGTGACATCTTTTTAAACTACGACACTTTATATCTTGAAAATTATTCATAAGAACTTTTTTATAACCTAACATGATTTAATAAATCATCCTCTTATTATCGGAACATCGAAACTAGTCTATCGTTCTAAATTATTATTTATTATGGCATAATTTGAGTGTCCTGTTTATTTGTTTATTGTGCCATATGTCAATTAATTTAAAAATTAATTATTGCATCAAAAGGATCAATCAAGGGTTGTTTTTTATTAAAACAGATAAATAAAAAATATCCATCAATATAGCCTGCAACTTTACTGACTTAAACTGTCAAACTTACTAATTTTTTAATCTAATTTTTTACATATGGCAAAATCTCCAAATAAACAGGGAAGCAGCAAACTATTCTATCAAAGAATTGTGTTTATATTTTAACTTTGGTTAACCACAACATTTATAAAAATTTGTATCTTACAGATATCAAAAACTCAGTGGCAGAGTCAACACATATGGACATGGATTGGTCACCACTACAGTAGAAAGTAAAATATAATTGACCATAATTTCAAAGTACAGAAATAACTTGGTTTATTTTAATGAAAAAATGTTTATTTTTATTTTGTTAAAATTTCGTTAAGTTTATTAATTACATATGTTTGCATTTAAACAAATATATTTTGAGTTTAAAATATAGTAGGCTGGTTTTGTTTCGATATTTGTCCTATAACAAAATTTTTATTTTTTAAATAGATCATTTAATGATGATTAATTAATTTTTGCGTTATAAAGAGTGTTTCGTGAAGAAGTGCATAAACAATTATAAGGTAAAAATATAGGGAAAAGTTTATATACCAAGTTTATATCACGGTAAGTGTTCTATTAAACGTGTCAGAAGAACCGAAGACAATATGACTATGAAATTTTGTTTACAGGAGTTATCAGATATATATCTGATAACCCTCATAAACAAAATTTCAGAGTCATATTGTCTTTGGTTCCTCTGAAACGTTTAATAGACCACTTACCGTGAAGAACCCTGTATAGTTTATATAGGTTTATATTCCCAAAATGCACTGTTCATAGCCTTCAAAAAAATGTTCGTGTTGATTCAAAAACGTGTAACGTTAGCTTCACAGTAAGTTTTATATCTAGTACCTGCGACACTATATCAGTAATTCCGTATTTCAATTGCCAGTGTCGTTTCGAACTTATTAGTTCTCATTAGTAAAAACAATGTAGCTATTTGGATGTAGCAGCAATGATAGTTATATAATATACTTTGTATGTTATGTATATCTTACCCACAATCTATGTATAGTTCATTAAGACTACGTTTTTAAAAGAAAATTATTTTAATTTGGTCTTCCTCATCTACCAACTCATTACTCATCTTAGAGGTATTAATTTAATTATGTAACTCACCTCCTTTCACTTCTCCGTTGGTACAGATCGCAGACAAGGAAAGTGTCGTAATGACACATACGATTGCAGAAATCCCTATAATGACCAACGATAAACCTGAAATCAAATTACTACTGTACTGATAATACACTTTTTAAACAAAATTCAGTTCGATTTTTTTCACTGGCATAAAAGTTACAAAGCAAAGTAGATTACAAATTTGCTTTATCTATGCTACTGATCAATTCTTTAGTGAGAAAATTTTATCAAAAAGTGTAGGCCTTGTTACAGGATTAAGAAATTAATAAAAAATATTTGTTTGTTGCTGAGCTATTGCAAAAATATATTTTTTATCTCGTAACTATCATATCGTTAAATATTTCTATATTTATAAGGCAGTTGCTCTGTTTTCTTTTTTAACTTTTTTGCACTTGCTATGGGTCATTCTTTATATTACAACCACTTGTGTATTTTAAAATGTATCATAAAGAGATAAGAGTAAGTAAATAAAAACCTCAAAATATTTTTTGTACAGAAAATATTTTTACAGTCGTGGACATTTTAATACTAAATTAAAATAGAATCGTAGCATATTCTTTATTTTTTTAATATCATTCGAACATTTCGTGGAAACTGCTTAAACTTTGACAAATTGATTTTTAGCTGAACAAAAGCTTCACTCTAGTGTTACATAAATAATACTCCAAAATAAAATCGTATTTTTTCCCATGCCTTGTTAAAAATGCTGACTCTATTTTACTGGAAAGGTTTTGCAAAAACTACCGACTCTGACCTCTGACCTACCACTAATAATAAATAAAAACTTTTCTGTTTCTCTACGAAAAGAACTGCAGTTTTTTGAATATATGTTATAAATAATACAAATTAAGATATTTCCAACTGAAATTAAATTCGCCTAATTTGTACTCTCCTGAACTTAACAGAATAGAAATATCCTATAACCTAATAATAAAAGTGTTTTATAGAAGTGTGTATTGAATTCTGTAATAAGAAAACTTACCAATACCGGCTTCCGCTACGACCCATGACAGTCGCAGGAATAACATAACACCCCATATATTGAGAAGGCATGGTATAAGAACGCCTTGTATCCAACCCAACTTGACGGCATTTTGAAAACTTGGAGAAGCCTCTAGTTCGCTGTCTTTTCTAATTTTATCCTGCGGTAAATAATGAATAATTATTATAAGGCCGCTGCACCTTTTCTGTTCTTAAGTTTAGAAAAGAAAAATGCTATATACTTATTATTAAGAAAAATTTGTTATGATACTGAATTTTATTTAGTGTTCTTAAACCAGACTTATTTTTTATTTTAATTTTTAAATAGACCATCTCTGTATGAAATGGGTAGAGCACAATTTTATATTTAAAAATTTACGGGTGTATCTCTAATGATAAAGAAGATATACCGCAATGTAAAGGCACAATCTGTTCCAATAAACATATAATCCTTACTACTAGAAGTAGATCCATCAGTTTAGATTATTGTAATCCTGAAAAGAAGATTTCTATTCTAATAAGATGTAGTACAAAATTATACATTTTAGGATCATTGGATCAACCTAAAAACTAAAGTTCGTATACAGCTTAGTTTCCGAAATACAAGTTGTTAAAGTTTTAGAAAAATGTACATTCAGACAAATATCTCAAAAGATGTTTAATATAAATTGAAATTTAATCTGGTAGCTTAATTAAGTGAAAATTAAGAATTATTATGTGTTTTTTTAGTGTCAAATTATTCGAGTTGTCCCCATCGTGCATAAACTTTGAGAAGCATTCCTTAGGTAAAAATATGCACAATAACCTTTGGTCTTGAAATCCACAATTTTCTAGATATAGGCCTTCAACTTCACAAAATTCTATAATTTTACTCCTATTTATTCTGTATTTTAATAACCAGCGCCGTAGATTCAGGGCAGTCAACCAATGATTTTATTCTGTTATCAAATATTCCTATTTTCATAGATTCCATAGTAATGATTTAATTTTTTGCTTGTTTTGCAGTTTTTTTTAAGAAATTTTAACTGATAGGTCTTCACAAATAAACAACTAAATTTTAACAAAGTTAATATATTAAAATGATAAAGAAACATAAAATAAACAAAAAAATATATAAATATAAATCTGAACTAGGAATCTGTTAGCACAAAACGAAAAGTATTCAAAAACAAATCGGGACAAAAATATCCAGTTTTTTATGTATTTGTTCAAATAATAATAATAAACATCATAACAAATACAAAAAAAAGTCCTCAGTCAAAGTTTGTTGTTATACAGGGTGATTTTTAAATTTCCACTAAAACTTAATGTGTCAGACAACTTAGTGTAGGTCAACAGAGTCTGTAACCCAAAAAGCCAACATTCCTGGACTATATCGGAACAATTTTCAATTTTTGAAGCTCAGAGGTACTATTTCGTATAGCTTAGTGAAAATACAGTCCTGGACAAATAAAGTTTCCGACCCAAAATTTAAAAAGCATCTAAGAAAACAAAATTAAAAAAGGAATTGGCTTTTAAAAATCACATGAAGTGTAAGTGCTGTGGATAAACCAGTGACAAAAACTATATATTTTTTTTCTCATATTTTCTTTAGTCTTTGAATTAATATTTAAATTCTGGTAACATTAAATTGTTTAAGCTTTTCAATAATATTTTAATAAGGAAAACAGAGACCAAATTTTCAATATCACGACGTTTCTTGGTAGCTTTGTAGATCCAGTCCAAAAAGATACATTTTGAATGTGGGTGAGATATATTACTTTGTACCTACTGGCCTAAGATCTAAACAGGTCTATGTCTGGTGATTCTGCTGGCAAAGGTATTAGCTGTTTTCTAGCTTATTTCCCACAATATCATTAGAAAAGTGTCCCCTGCATATTTTTGCAAAAGCCTATAATGTGAATTTGTATTTAAATGCGATTTAAACTGTATTATTTCTACATTAACGAAAAATAGAGCAATTAAAGTTCAAGAAACAAGACTTTTTCCTCGTTTTTTGTTAATGGGAAAAAATTCTAATAATTTAACCTCATAATTAATACTTTGGGAAACAAAAATAATTTTTCTAATATAACAACTGTACATGATATTACGTACAATTTTTTCGTTTAATTTATAGTTACAACGCTATTGGCTCTCATTATCAAAGTAATATTAAAATGCAGATTAATAAAATGTTACAAGAAACTCATCATTATTTCGAACGTAGAGAAAAGTGTGATAAAAAAAAACAAGTACAAAGTTTTTGTCTTTGGTTCATGTACATTCAATATGCTGCATTAACTATAGAAATACATAAGGAAATTTTTCGAAATGATTAAAACAACCTTGTTAAAAAAATGAATTACCAAAACTGAGAATTTCATTGTTAATTGAAAAGTTAAGCTGAATGTGAGAAATTAACGGTTTCAGTCATTGAATGGTGTGAAAATGCAAAATGGGGATAGAACACTTTTGAATGGTATACTCATTGGTGTGAAGAAAAAGTTCATCATTCCATTCAGGTCAATCAAGAAAATGAAATGGAGAGGTTTAACATTTTTATTTAATAAAAAATACATTATCAGAGAGTGCAGACTCTACATCCTCTTAAAATGAATTTCGTATCCTCTCAAATATCTCATATTGGACTCTAACTGTGTTACAGGCTTCTTATGTTCGTTGTTCGGGGACCTACATGTTCTTATCTTGTTTTGCATACACCAATCTTTTAATCCAGTCCAGCATATTAAGGTCTGGAGGTATAATTGGCCATCGAATGATCCACCACGTTCTATCCACGTTTGCATGAACCACAAACCACGTTCTCCAGTACGTCTTCAAGTAATAGCAGTAACACCTCTTTTAAAATGTGTCGATATATGCAATACCCTAGGACCTATTGTTTACATTAAACTAAAAAGTTGATGTCTGGCTTCAACAATGGATTTTGATCAGCCCAAATGAAAATCGAAATTTCCGTTCTTCGTAAGTGCTGCCTCATCCGTGATTAGGATGAATGCTGCCAAATTGATACAATTAATTACTGAGATGTATGAGTAACTCTGAATGTGGTATCATCAAATAACATTTTTTAATGCTGCAATACTCTAAAACTGTTTAACTAGAAACTTCTTCTTGGTATACATCTTTATTTATTACAGTATAATGAATGTATTACTACAATATGTAACAAAATTATAAACAATGTGTTTTCGTTAAAAACTATTTCTAAACAATTCATAAGTTGCTTCCTTCTTAAGGATATTACAGTCATTCAGTTCAAGTCAATTTAGTTTTGTTTTTTCAAAGCATGAAAAGTTCGTGCCACATAGCCAAGTTAGAAATGTTGGCGATCATTTCTGGAGCACAGTTGTTCGTGTCTACAAGTTGATTAAAAATGGGACATGGCTTAAAATTTGATTGATGTAGTCAAAATTGGAAAAAGAAAAGTTAATGTTGGTTATAAACCAATCACTATACTTTTTATTTCTTTATGTCGACAAGAAATAATGAAATGTTATTTAAATTTTTGAGAAAATGGTACAATAGTTGTAAGTCGAATAATACAACCGACTTCGAAATAAGAGTTGTTTTTTATTTCATTGCATATTAAAGACAATTCTAACTACACATTTCTTTATATTTATTTTATTATAGCTTTCACAGTTTTTATTTTATTTTAAAGCTATCAAAATCTTGAGGAATGAAGTCGAACAATGTTCTTCGATATCAGAAATCTCAGTATTATGCTGACAAAGTGTAAACAAAATCGTAGCTGCTGATATTACTGCATATTTACCATCAATATGTAGCAAACATCTAGTAATAACCTAGACGTATCGAATCATTATTATTTTTTAAATTTATTAGAATTATCTTTAATTCTTAAATAGTATACAGAACGTGTCACAACTGGAAATGATACATAGATATATAACATTTTGTTAAAATCTTGACATCTTCGAAGGCCTGTAAGAATATATTTCTAACTTTTTCCATATAACAGATGATTATTTAATTTTTATCAGGGTCTGAGGTCATAAGGTGCTACAACTTTTGAAGTGAATTTAAGTTCATTAATAAAACACCAACTGTTCCATTTTCCCCGCTACATTTCGTCAGTTTCAAACAGGTTGAGCACCCTGTATGTTTCTGTTCTATGTTATGTGAAAATAAACCCTCTTTTATGTAAAAAGGCACTGGTAGAATTAAAGTTTTGTTTGTGAAGTGTGATTTTGTTTGGTTTTTAAGAATAGTTAACTTAAAATTTCCAATTGAATACTATTATATGTATTTTCACAAATCTCATTTAGTAAATCTCAGCAAAGTTAATAATGTAGGTTGTTTTTCTTTTTGCTTAAGGAATGCCCTAGATAAACTTTTAGACAATATTTTAATAATGTACTTGTTTGATTTGATATCTTCAATTTAGTTCAATTAATAAATAAAATAATCAGTTACTCTAAATTGTTTTAATCGATTACTATTTATACTATTGCTTCTAATAAACAGAACTATTGCCACCTACTTATATTCTAGGAGGTAATGACAATTCAATTTTCCTTCACTGGAATCTGATATTTTTCCGAAGATTTACGTCTATATTTATTGGGCATAACATTATTCCTTGGAAAAAATTAATCAAAAAAGTAGATATAACAATTTCTTCTATTATAAAAAAAATTACATTAAATATATAATATTCCAACCCTTAAAAAACTACCCCTAATAACAAAATATTTAAAAAAAATAGTTTTTAACAGTTTGAAATTATGTGATAGTAGAAACAGGATAAATTAATAACAAAGTTTGTAAAGATAACACGATATGAAAATGAAAAAGAAGACAATATCTAAATATTATTTGGTAAAAAGGCCCTGATAAGTATTTGCAGCGAAAAAATATTTAATAGAATTCTAATTTTTGAGTTATTTTACATTCAGGGCTAATTTGATAGTGATTCTTAGGAAAAACGAACCCAAAGAAAATCACAGATATCTCTAAAACATTTAACGTTAACCCTTACAACTATATTAAAACGAAATCATTTTTAATTTTACGTAATCTCCAACAGAAAATACAAGGTGTTTAATTTAAACTAAGAATCTTCAAATTATTAAAGAAATAATGAACAACAAAATATGATACTCATGATAGCAAAGAGGGACGAAATAAAATTATGTTCACAACTTATTTTTGTTTTATTCAGACTGTTAAACTAAAAAAAATAGAAATGTTTAAATTAAAATTCCTATGTTTTACAAATATTTTTCCCAGCAGGACAAAATTAGTAATTTAAGCTTCAAGATATGTACGTGTAAAAAAAGTTAAGGCTGTCTACTTCAAATTAATGACTATATAAGGTGTTACTAAAATTCTTGGCCAAATTTTAACGGCGGATACTACGTAATAGATTAATAAAAAAAATTCATAAACTTTCTCCCGAAATGTTTCGTGTACGAAATTAATGAAGAGATATGGTTTGTTTGAAGCTACAAAAGACAGTTATGGGAAATAGCGCAAATACTATTATATTTCATTCACGGGTATCGTTATTACTCGAATTATTATTGTCGTTATTTTAAAAATGACTTCATGTCGTGACACATTTGATATTAATTAGTTATTCCTGCTGGCATTTATTCCCAGAACGGGGGATCTCAGCAGCAGGCAATCAATTTAGTGAACATTGAAAAAAAAATAGTTAGCGAAAATTTTGCGATGTATGTACATACGTTTGTAGACAATCAATAAACAACATAAACTGCTTTAACTATGTTATTTTTAATGAAAAGAACTGTTTTTTAAACTTTGCACCACGTATTTTGAATTAAATGTGACGCAGAACCCGCAAATTAAAATTTATCCGAGCATTTCAGTTACACTTTGTGAAAATATAATTATAAGTTGAGGTGAGGAATAAAAAAAATTATTAACTTACCTTAATGCCATCGTTTTGCCCGTGTAACTCTCCTAAACTCGGCCTTTTGGCGGTTCTCCTTGAAGTCCTATAATTTTCCAATCTAGGAAATACCTCTACTGTCATTCGCCGGACATTAGTTTCATTTAGAGAGTTTTCCACGTCTTCCACATTAATTGAACTATAAGGATCATTTTCCACGGAACTACGAACTGTGTCATATTCGTGGAGGTGAAAGGCTTTGTTGTCCACACCATTCTCAACCTCAGACTGTTTAAATTCCATTTGAAATGTATGTAAATAGAAGGGATAAGCCTTTTTCAGTAAACATATGTTTTTAAAGATCTAGATTTACTTGCATTATCTCTGATATATTTTTTTATTATCTGCTTATTTCTCACTATAAGTGGTTAGATCTTGTGATACCATTCAATTTCGGTCAGTCAACTGAAGGTTTCGTATAGATGTGATTCCTTTTATAACTCGTTATAGAAACACGCTCGTATTAATTATTTTTAATCTCGACGAAACAAGTAAATACTAATTTGTGTTAGTAAATGTAAATTACCTCAAGTAACCGCAACTGGTTAAAAAATGTATTTTTATATGTAAGTAATATATATGCCTATATCTGAATAACATATACATTACTTGTTGTATATACAGTGGCGATCAGAAAGAAGGCTTCGCTTGCGGGTAAAATTAAAAGCGGTGTTCCAGAAGCCGTTTTATTTGAAAATGTACATATTCTTTGAAAAAATTAATTGTATTAATCGTTTTTCCTTAAAAAATAATTCTAAATGACTAGACAAAAAACAAATGTAAATTAAATTTTATTGCATTTGTACAAAATCTTTGTAAACTAAAAGAGAAAAATTATTCACTCGCAATTGTCAGTTTCTGGTAAAACTATTATCTTTTTTATATTTACTTTAAACTAGACGTTTGTAACTAAATGGAATGGAAACAGATCCATACAGGCTGTTAAAAAAAGTGTAAAAATTTTTAAAACCAAAAACTACTCCAAAAAATGAGTAAAAAAGTTCAGTTTATAAAAAGCTCTTTTCGTTTATATCTTCCAAACAGGTTGATTAAATCTCACGCTCACACTTCATACAGGGTGTTACATAGTAAGAGTTCCTTTACATATAATTTATCTTAATTTTAAAAAATATAAATTTGCGAAAATTTCAGTAGTGTAGAAATATTACTCAAAAATAATAATAATACCGTGTTTTATTATTTTTCAGTGCAATTTTAAGAACAAAAAATATAAACTTATTCATTTTCTTACAATTTATATCTATTAACTTAAAAAAATTAATAATAGAGGGAATTGGAATGAATTGTTGAAATTACAATTTGCATCATTAACGAATTTTGGTTTTTCGAATTTTGTAATATACGAAGAAAATGATTCGCCAAGTCCAGTCATTATGTAGGTTACCTGATGAGTCAGAAAGTAAGTAAAGTAGAAAAACCCACTCAGGTTTCTCATTAACCCGATACTCATATTAAATGTTGTAGAATGCTACTCGCTGTTGATAGTTTCGTAATATGTAGATTAAAATAACAGAAATTCTATACAGCGTAAACATAAAATACTTATAAAACAAAGTTGGTAAAATTCCCGAAAATAATATTAAAGCGAAGGAGTCTTGATTTTTTTGCTGCAAATTTTGGAAGTACGAACGTTGATTTTATAAATTAAGTTTTGCTTAACCAGAAACAACTCACATTGAGTAAGTTTTTGATTATACTCTAATTCAGGCTCCAGATTCCAGTGACTCGCCAAACATTTACCAAATACAGGGTCGGAAAGTCCCCATGGTTCATCGGCCATTACGTGAGAGCGATAAAGTAAGTCATAGAAATCCGTGCGATAGAGAAAGATGGCTATAATGAAGGCGTCTAATAGTCACCGCCCATTTCGCCCTTCCACAAATAAGATCCACTTCTTATCCACGCCCAGCGATCATAATCAAACATTTGTTATACTTTGAAATTTTATACCCCCGTAACACTGTTAGATCCTACATATTTTAACCCAATCTAGCTTTACACTACCGATATTTTCAGTATTAGTAGCATTAAAATAGCTGTTTAATTGAAATATTCATAAAATAGATATGAATTATGAAGAAAATGTTAAGAAAAAATTCTTGCAATTTCCAAAACTTCCATTTGAAGTGTTGTATTAAAAAAATTATGTAAAACTAGCGTGAAACAGTGGACGCTATGATATGAATATATTGTTAATAACTTTAAGAAGTTTACTTCTTAATATTGTTTCTTTTTCAGCTTTATCCATATTCTCACTATAAATAGTGTTTTTGTAACATTTAATCTTGAAATAAGAAATGATAAGTATTTGTTTCCAGCAGAACGGATCCAATTAATTCAAATCTGGACAACATGGCGGCCATGCGATTCTATCCATTAATTTATCTTCAAAAAACATAATTAAGTTGACACTTTTTAGTTCTTATTATATTTATTGTTGCCAATATCTCCGAAATGTAGACATTTATTTTACAATTAGTTTCGGAAATTGGAATTGTTAGGTCCCTCGAATAGCTTCAAATTGAAGTTAAGAGTTATTATTATAGACGGCGTGGCGACATTAAAAAATTGTTTGTTCCCTGGAAGGTGGAAATACAGTCCGTCTGGAAGATCGTTAAATTTTTAGTAATTTTTGTAATATAAAGTTTTTCCCTATATTACTTGTTTTCGAGATAAGTCGACTTTAATATGCAATGTGTGATATAACAGGAAAATCTATTATTTTATTTAAATCACACTGAGACAAAATATTCTTTTAAAATATTTTTATAGTGGCTTTATTCTCATCACATACTAACTAACAAACGATAAATTATAAAAAAACGAATGATCAACTACAGAAAAAAAAATGTACAAGGGTAAATCTTATAAGGGGCAGAAACGAACCGCATTTTATCAAATGTTATTAAAATTGCAGTCATAGGTGGCTCATGTCACTTGTTTAAAATAAAACAGTGACAGACGACACATATTAGTTTTCCAATAATTACAGTTTTATCAGTTTGCGTCATTCAATTTAATTATACTAGTTATACGATTTACTATTGTCCAACTTTTTTTCTATAGTTGATCGTTTGTTTTTTTATAATTTATTGTTTGTTAGTGTGGTGTGAATAAAGTCATTATAATAATATTTTAAAAGAATATTTTGTTTCAGTGTGATTTAGATAAAATAATACATTTTCCTGTTATCATACATTGCATATTGAAGTCGACATATCTCGAAAACAAGCAAATATAGGGAAAAACTTTATATTACAAAAATTACTCAAAATTTAACGATCTTTCAGACGGACTGCATTTCCACGCTCCAAGGATCAAAAAAATTTGTAGTATCGCCACGCCATCTATACAGAAAGATTTAAACTAACAGTTTTAACTACAATTTGAAGCTATTCGAGGGACCTAACAACTCCAGTTTCCAGAACTAAAATAAATTTCTTCATTTCGGAGATATTGGCAGCGGGAGTGTTGAATGGCACACCCTGTATATACCTTACAAACATCAGTACTTAGCGTAAAAATAAACAGGTCACCTTTTATTTACAATTCTAAAAGGTCAAGATTTCAGAATCCAGCATAAAATTCAAATTATTTTCACGGTCATAAAAGTTACAATGTGAAACAAGTTTGCGACTTAAGTAACTGAATATCATTTTAATATTTTTATCAAAAAATATACTGTGACGCCCTTAGCCAAATAATACAGTAAAAATATTAATTATAGCCTGTTTAAAAATAAAATGTTTAAAAAAACACAAAATCGATAAATCAGCAATCCAGGTAGAATTTATCAGCGACTGAAACTAGTGGTCAAATCTTTAATTTCTATGTTTTTTGACCCGCTGAATACGAATTCAATTCGTAGTCTGTCAGATTTAGCCCATAAAGTCACAAAGCATTCTTAACCTTAAAAAAAGCTTAAAAATCCACAAAGTTAATAATTTAGCTCCTATGATTTAACAGCAGCTGAAAATTAGTAGGTATTTATTTCTGTGACGCATTTCCGAGGAAAAAGGAAAGAAAATGTAGAATTCTTTATAGTAAATATTACCTATTGCCCAGTTAATGCGGCAAAATATTTTTTTTTGAATAAATGATGAATATAAAACTGAAGAGCTGTTTAAGCTTTTCTCTCTAACGTTTAGCGATATTTTAGAGACAACGTTACTTTTGGAACGTTTTAAAGAAAATGTCAATTAGGCAAGTATAGAAAATCAAGTGTTTTATGATTACTATTTAGGCAAAAGCGATTGGCAGCCAACTTTTTCAAAAATAGATTAAATAACGATTTTTCCATGTGGTGCATACTTACTTTATGGGTGACACTGTATACAACTACAACGGTATATTCGTTAAATGTCTGGTAAGTTCCAGATATAACCTGAAACTTTGCTTCAGCAGCGAGGTACAACACTCGGAGGAGAATTATTATATGGCGTAAGATAAGTTGTGCCACAATCCAATCTTACTTTACGTGTAAGTAACTGGTTCTGTCCGGATGTTGATATAGCAACAAGTTTGTTAAATAACGGGCTATAACGTTCTATTGTTTCAATTTTAAGACATGAGCATTGTGCCGCATTTGACTTAATATAATCCGGATACACTTAGCCGAGCTAGAACAATCCGATTTGCGAATATTTTTCTCAAAATAAATTAGTTTCCAGCTATCGTAAATGAGCTCGCAATGTCAGTGGGTTTGGTAAATTGAAATGTATGATCTCACAGGGAGCTGTTTCACGAAAGAATGTTCTCTACAATACATTTAATATCTGAACTGTTATTCAGGCCCGGTCTGACCAGGTCGGGAAGTCGGCAAAACCCGACTTATTTTGGAAGATAGGGCCCCAAACGACTAACGAGGCGCCAAAAGTATAAGAAAATTTTTTGTAAATTCTTGAGATATAGCCACCGTAAATTGAAAATAAAAAAAAATAATGTACAAATGAAAATTGAATCTTTTGTAGAAATGGGATTTTCCCAGGCCAAAAAAATAACACAAATTTTATTATTTTGCCCTCGAAATTTAATGTAGCTTTCTTTAAGCCAAAAAAAGATTCCGTGTGTAGTGCCTATAAGAATTCAGATCCCGAGAAGAGAACAGAAAAAATGATGATTATAATAATCATAATTTAAAGAAAATCGCGGTTCGAAATCTGAAAGACGAAAAATGATAAATCTCTAATAACAGCATGCTTTGATTTGCAGAAGGTGTTAGTAACGCCCAAGTCAGAAGTCAGCGATTTTTATTATAAGAGTAAAATCGCAACATACAACTTTACAATTTATGATTTTGGTAGCAATTGCTATGTATGGCATGAGTAAATATCGAAGAGAGGACCGGATGAAATTGGAAGTTGTTTATGG